CCCGCTGTTAATGTAACTTTAGAGAGAAGTCATGTAAATAAGGTATTGGGTACTCGTCTGGATCGGTCTGCTTATTTAAACAACGGTAATCACCACACGAATGCCAGCTCTGACCCTTCCTGAGCATCATGCTTAAAGGAGAAGCTTACGAGTATCTGGATTACTGGATGATGCTCAATTGCACCACATGTCCGAATTTTCTCTTTGAAATTTTCAACTTATCCGGGGTTAGTCTACGTGATTGATGAGTACGTGGTAGTTATGTGGTGAGATGTTTGTTCACTTTGGTTATCGGCCTTCGTAATGCAAACGTACTCTGACAGAACATCATTAAAGACGTTACTTGTCGGTTTAACCGCGTGAAGGCCGTAAATTTCAGCTAATAGCCGTACCATTCATCTACAGGTGAGTGTGTCTATATACCAGTTTTTTCATTCATATCAACCAGTAACTTATAAGCATTGAGAAAATGAGCTCCAAGAATAGATTTCTTTACTTGTTTAACTTTGAAAATCTATGAAAAAAGTTGACGAAGTTCAAGGTTTAATATTAATGACTGTTCACCGTATGTTTTGAAAACAGTTTTGTTGGCTCACTATAGTAGTACTTAGTCACCCGATATGAGCAAGGTTCAGACATATTGGCCAGTACATGAGCAAAAATCAGCATTATTCTACTGATATTATCGCATAGGGTTCACCAGATGATTGTGGCGGACCAAATTTATAAATTCCAAGTTAACGGTGACGTTATTACGAAAAGTGAATAGTTAGTTTGCTAATATACCAAAGTGTGAGTTATGAAGTGAGAAAAATTCAGGAATTTACTCAGACCGTCAGAAGACGTGTTTGAGTTACCTTTTTGGTCAAATAATCCACAAATATAAGTGGTTAGTGATTCCGAATACGATTGATATAATCCAAGGTATGCACACAGAATGATCACTTAGCGAGGACATCAATGTTATACGCAACATGGACAACGAATATGTTAAAGCTCTATTTTTGTGACAGCTAATAAGTAGAGACGAGAAGTGTGTGTGTACCAATGTAAGTGTTAGAGAATGGTGATGCTTCATACCACGTACTTATAAAACAGGCATGGAAGCTCGACATCAATGTTTCAGGCAGTAATTTCGCAGTCAAAAGCAGTGATTGTACCAATTACTTGAGATAAAAAAATTGGGCATAATAACAAAAATATATTATCTTCCTACACCCTAATAGCCGTAATTCACATTCAATATTATACAGTCCAAAGACCATGTTTTATTCGTTTTCTTTTGTTATGTACTTCGTATTCCTTTTCCATAATTAAAGAATAATCATGTCTTTTGAATTCTCTTTCAACCTCCTCAGCATTCTTCTCAGTTGCTGGTGATGCGACGCACATTAAACCTTAAAAATTCCTTCCCAGAGTAGACGACTATGATAAATGGCACTAAACATAAAAAACCCATTTAAACCGCTTAAAGTTAAAGCATCATCATTCAGAAGAATAAAAACGCTTCATGTGGAAAGCTGAGGTTCTTTGGAAGTCACAAGGTCTATGCTACCTTTAACATCCAGAAAAAAAAGGCATTGGTACATGGAATATCGGCACGATATAGAGATAGAGAGGGCCAATCAAGTATATTTATAAGTGAGGGAAGGAAACTTGGCAGTGCCTAAACCAAGTAAACTAATTCGAACCCGAGCTGGACAGAAAGGCTTAAATTCGAGAAAGATGCTATTGTACTCAGGTTATGTTGGTAGATACAGACTACCTGATTAGGATCCGCGTGACTATCTTAACTAGTGGTTGGAGACTGTAGGTGACATGGCTCAGAATCGATCACAGTGGTTTAGGTACATAAACTCTTTGACTTTCCTTAAATCATGAGATTAAAATTACGTCATATCCTTCTTTCTATGAATTAATCCTTTCTCGTTGCAATCTTTTGTGTATTACTGTCATTAAGATAACTGATTCTAAGAACTCGGTGTTCATCTTGTTGTGTTAATTAAGTATGGCAATATAGACTGATACATATATGTACTACGTTCCATATTGTAGCTGACTGGCTGACTCAAGTCATGAGGAAAATGCTTCATGTACTCATGTCTGTGATAATGGCTTGATCCTTAGTCAGTTTCGGGGTAAATTCGACAGTATTTCAGTTTGCAGGAGATTGGCTCGACTGCTTATACTTATGATTTGCATGCATGATTGTGTCAATCATGTTACGTGATTGTCAATGCTTTATGACGATATCCTGAAACCATTATGTTTAACTATTTATAATTTTGATTGAGGAGTAACCACTTGATAATGGGTATTGTTGTTCTAGGTGCTTCTGAAATAGCAAAAGTTTGTAGCGTTGAAGAATTCGAGCTGTCTACTAATATTATAGATTTCAACTTAAAAATATTCGTCTACATACTGTTAATTTTAATTGTAGGTTCCGGCGTTTTGGTTTTAAATGTTTGTTTAGCCAACAACTACATGAGGGTTTAGTTATTATACTGGTACAGTATACTAGTACTTAAATTCGGTGGTTTTATTATCTAAAATGTGTTCTTTTTAGGCTATTACTATGATAGACTAATTTATGAACCCAAACACGCATAGCAATAATGACTATAATAGATTAATTGACAAATTTTAAAGGTGAGTCATATGATTTTTAAATTTAAAAGACACAAAGATACAATCAAACGAATTTCTATTTGAAAGTATCTTCATGAATGCGAAGGAACTATTACTAAACTAGATGGGAGGACTTAATGCGTTTGCTTCTAGTGTACGCGTCACTTCGGGATTAGAGCAGATTTCTTTTATCGCAACCAATTTGGAAAACGTTTTAAGCTCATAAAAATGAATGGCATTTCCTCGTAGACATCATCATACGTGGGCCAGTATAAAAGGGTAATTAGCAATTCTATATTAATTTTATAAAAATATTGCTGGTGTTGCGACACAACGTGCCAGCTTATCGTTAGTCTTCTCAGTAAAGTTCACCAGCTAAGTCCTGCGACAGTCGATACTAGGTAAATGGTCCCACGTTTACCACACACTGCGATATTATAGAAACTGTCTGAGAATATTTTCCTTTATATATAGTACCAAGGATAAGATTACTAGTATGTAATAATTCAAGATATCTTGAAGTCTGATAGGGCGCTCTCTGAGCTGTAGACAACACATGCGTATCCACAAGCTGTTTGTGAATAATAAAAATATTCAATAAATGATAAGACGTTTTGGTGTTTGGTTTGAAACAACAAATTTCTGGCATATTGATGCATCGACAAATGAGCCAGCTTGTGAATGGTAGGAACGAGGCTAGAGTAAAGGCTTCGGGCATAAATGAATGTTTCTAGTCTGGGTTAAACATATATAGAAAAGCCACCACCATATCCTTTCAACCTCTCACTTCTATGTCGACTGTGGTCATCAAACGATCTGCTTCAATTCGATGTATTACTGGGTGTCGATGCTCCAGTTAACATAATAAGTGATGGTTCGTGAAGCGATTTATGCAAGGCTAAACATGTCCTTTTATTAGAGACAAATCGATCGTTGATAGAATGTGTATTAACTAAACAGTTCACTAGGTTAAAATAGGTGGGACCATCTGGAATAGGGGAACGTTTTTGGAATTTTGTGCGTGATATGGGAAAAGCAAGGGTTTGGAGATGCTTCGTTAGCCCATTTTGACAATAACAAGAGTTTGAATAAGATTCATAAAGTGGATTAGTGGAGTTGCTTTGAAATGTTACTAACCAGGATTGAATGGGTAAAATTGAGAACTAATTTATGGATACCTGTCCCGACATATAAGTTCTGCCCCTCAAACAAAAGCTAAAATCGTCAGAGCCACCACGACTCAGTGAATTACACACAGATTAAGACGTTGTAGTGGTACTGGTTCCTAATCATACTATCTTTGAAGCTGAACACGTAATCGTTGGAAAGATTTACATTCATCACGCAACACTTAAAGAAGGTCAAAAAGTGAACGCGAGAAAAATTGATCAGTATGGCATAGCTCAAACTTACAGGCGTAGTCATTCTGTGTAGCTCATACCTTTCCACACTGAATATATTATTTTATCTATGGCCTAAATGTGTTCTTCAGAAGTGCTAAGCATCATAATGCTGATTGTCACTATAGGACGAGTAAGTATAGACAATGATGTGACTTCCACGTAAGGCCTTATAGGTTAGGTAGCCACATCATGACGAATCTACAATTTTGGAATTAGGTCTATTATTACAGTAACAAAGATAAATGTACTAATACCAAACTAGACCATTAATCTACAACACGATATCTTGAAAATCCACTATGAGACTGCATGAGGTGCTGACTATTAACATCAACTATAAACCACTGAAATTTAAAAGTAGACAGAACAGATCTGGATAGGAGCCATCTGACGACAAGCGGGACCAGTATTTGGTAGTTCATTCTGAATATAAGTAATTAAGGCTGAGGTGTACTTTCTGCCTCGAGGTACACGCCCGTGTGACGGATCGGTGCCTGAAAATGCACCAGGTTTATGGTGAAAAATCAAAACCTGTGGCTTTGAAACACGACGAGTTGTAGGGACTGTCTTCAGGATCGCCCCTTAGGATAGTTTTATTATACGACATTTAAGTTGTTTACAACCATCTAAATCAAAACTAGGGTAGGATATACAAAAAGCACACATCAAGGCTGCGAAAAATGACAGCAAGTGATCAAGGTGTCGATTAATGGTAGCACAACGATTGCCATATAATAACGCACGATATTAAGCCACCTATCAGTAAGACAAAGTGTTGAAGGCATATGAGTACCTCAACACCAAAACTAAAGGGAGAAGCGCTGCGCTCTAAGGCAAAGTTCCTCATACTTATGGGAACGGTGAAGAGTGAGATTTGTCTGGGAATAAAAGCGTTTTTCAAAGGTGGAAGTGGCATGAGTATTGTTTGGAAATAGACCTCTGTAAGATGCAAGTCAAGGTGCATCACAAATGATCCAGAAAAGGCTACAAGGATGCGGTACGTAGGGTTTTAAAGGTTCGTATTAAGCCAACAACTGAAGACACCACCATAACATCTGGTAATTGTCATAAATACAGAGACACCTAGGATTGTATCTATCAATCACCTAGTTCAATAAGTCTGAAAACAATTAGTCCGGTTAATCTAATAGTCGTAAACCTCAGAAGTTGGATACCCCAACATAGGCATTCGAAGGATGATACAGTACGAAAGCTAAGACAGACAAATAAGCTTGATGCGGTTGCAGGTGACGAAGGCCTTGACAGAACATGAAGGGGGTAGACTAACGGCCGGTTGTTCTACAGAGTCAAACCTTAAGATTTAAACAATAGCTATGGGACTATAGAAGCAATGGCAATCACGGTCTGTAATTCGAAAATATGACATCACGAACCTTGGAAAGAAAGAACGATAATACTGAAGAAACGGCGATTTTTCTGGAATGCTATTGACAACAGAGTGAGTTTGTAAGACAAAATAATTTTATTAGATGAGATAAGGAACATAAAAAAAATAGGGAAGCACTTCAGTAGTCACTTCGAACTCTGTGTGCTTACTTACATTCCTCTATTTTGACTACTTGCGTTGAGCTGGTACTGTTTTAGTCAAAAGGAAGAAAAACTTGATGCGATAGAAGCAGGAAACACTGGCTTCAAGTATATTTCGACAGTTGCTTGGGATCAAAAAGTGAAGGAGTGTGAGGGTTGTAAGGAAACATTAGTCATAGGTGGGGGAAGGTAAAGTTTATAACTTGGCTATCTATAAGAAGAGGAACCCCACACAGTCGGTTATCTCTTGATCCGATGGTGACGCTGACAATATCTTCTGATTTTCGTGTCTATTAAAACTAACCAGGTTGGCGCCGATGTCAACTGTTCACTAAATTCAGCCTTAACGAGTTACGTTACATCGCAAGACTAATATTAAACTCTTAGTTGGAATGATGACAATAGACAGAAGCAACAGCTCTTCCACGAGCTTTTGATATCTATATGCTGGAAGTAGTAATTAATAATATGGAGTGGAGACCTAAAATAGACTGTGATTTTCAACCGACCGACCGCCCGGAGACATGACAAGGTTTGGTTACAGTACACCCATTTTTCTGTGACAAAATCACTCACCCGGCCTTAAAATGTACCGATTTCATGTTGCATTCAAAGGGTTCACATAGCCTCAGTGGACGATATGAAAGATTTAAAACCATTTCTTAACCTCAAATTAACTGGTTTACATCATCCCATCACAAAGAAATGCAATCTTAGATACATATAGTCAGATCATGGATTTATAAACGCAATGATGAGATTCAGTGTTGACAACTTTAATTTGTGAGCAAAATATGAGATATAGGAAAGTATGAAGTCCTCTTTAGTGAATATCAGGATATGCACAAATCTTGTTTTACCGTGCTAAGCTGCGTGTTACTTTAACACCAGTCGGTGTTTTGGAAGTGTTGGACATGAATCTGTTCAGCTAGGTTAGTCCTTCTGAATTTTGTGAAATGGATCTCTCGTTTCACCATTGAAGCAAGAATTAATCTTGTTGTTTAATGTTAGTTTTGCTAGTTAGTTTTTGTCCTCAGTGTCATGGTGACCACCGTAGATCTACAGTTGCAACGGTACCTTAGAAACTTGGAAACTAGATATATTGCCGACTGATTTAGATATGCTTACTACCAGTAATTTAAGTGTCATGTTATTGGCACGAAAAATTCACAATTAGCCATCAGAAGTTAGGCTACACAAAGTTATTCCTTGCTGACCTCGCGTTCTAGAACGCGAGCTTCAATTAAACAAGAATGGGAAATAGAGGCGAACTTTGGGGAAATACGGACGACACTAACTAAGAAAATCTGGTGTCAATTCATGCGATATTAAAACTAAAAATAGCCTTGCTCTCCTACTCTGGGTAAATAATGAGACTTGCCTAATCTTGGAACGAAAAATTCATAAGTTCACACCTTAGTGATCGCATGAGTTCACCAAAGCTTCAGATATCACCTACACTTACGATATACATATTCCAGTCGTGGCTTAAATATTCCAAAGTTTTGCCTTTGCTTCCCCATGAAAATGAACATTAATGAGCATTCAAATTAACGCATAATATCAAATTTATTTCGATAATTGATGTTCAACAGAAATTATTATGGGAGGGATACGTCCCCTAACTGGCAAGTTCTATTGTCATCTGACAAATAAATTGCATCACTTTTAGTGAACAGTAGCGATGTTGCAGATGACAGTAATGAAGAAAATGTACATTACAAAATTAATTTATTAAAAAGATGCAAGATAAGCACTCAGTTCGGTGTCTTATTAAACAGTATTCCTTCAAGTCGCCGTCTTGATCATTATAGACTATTCTGAAATGTTTATCAAACTTCTCCATAACTACATTTATAATGAAGATATCCCAATCGCCCGGTGACCATAAATTATAACATGAAGTCGAACTCACAGTAGTGTTGCACAAAATACTCCGTTGTGCGTAAAGCGCCTTTCCTATGGGGAAATGCTTTACGTCAAATTCCAAGTTGTTGATCATTCTATACCAGTATGTGGTTGCTTCGTGTCTTATTTGAAATATGCAATGGCATAAGTACCATCTTAGCTAAAAATAAACGCATCCAATTACTCGCGATGCAACTTAGTGAATATAAATTTGTGTATAAAAATACAAGCCACATTTCTAATGAGATCAAAGCCTTTTGTTTGCCTACTCAATGAAGATATGTATTTAAATTCGAACGTGCAGTTGAGTTGATGACAATCGAAATCTTCAACTCTAAATGCGCCTAGTCTGTATTTACCGTGTAGAAATCTGATCACTTCACTAATTGCATCTGTTATTCTAACCTTTAGCCCTTCTTGTGAGATGCTAGTCACTTAAAGTAAATGTTCTCTTTTACTTTAGGATCAGTGTTCCAAGCTGCTCTTCCCTCCTACTTATCCTTTTGCTTTCATGACATCCATTTCTACTACAAGGTTGTGTTAATTGTGCAAATAGCTTACTGTATGTATGCTAGTTGTCTTTCTCAGTTACTTTGATATGAAAAAGTTCTTAGCCCATTGGACAAGGGTACATTTTGACACACTGTAACTAAATAAACACTTATTTAATCTCGTAACTCTCACATACTCGAATTTTCTGTTGTGATATCTAAATTAATTCGCCACTTATGTAAGGTCACATGTGTTGGAAGTTAACAGTTTTAAAAGTCGTATCCTCACTATGAATATAACGTAATGGGAAATTCATATTTAGCTTCTGAGTACGTTTCTCCGACCTTTTTTTATAACATCGTCTACTTACAAGAGGTAGTCTCGTGATATGTGGGAAATTTCACATAAACAGATTTTATTGGTACTGATTGTTAAGTCAAATCCACAACTAATAAAATTTTGACATTCTATTTGCAAAGTCCATCTTAGGCAGTAAAATAGATGTCATATACAATTAAGTATCTCTTTCAAGGTAGAAAGTGTCTTATTTGCCATAACTTGTTTTTGGAACTAATTGTGTTAAGTGTAGTGTAACGGATATCTCACCTACGCCAAAAGTAGTAACACAGGTCAGCGAAATACAGTCGAGCTTTCTGAATCCGTGTCAAGATTCTGGCAGACACCAGCTCATCAGGACTAAAGACTTCCAAGATGGGTGAGGCAGTCGATACACTCAACTAACTCGCTTCCTATCATTAATTCAGGCGCTGATGTAAGCCAATCCTGAAGCTACATTTTACATTTGGAGGGCGAGTACCGTATCCCAAACATGCTTTGATTGTTGCTTAAACTGGTCAAGAGACTGCATTTTTTTCAGCGTCTTGACGAAACAGAACTGTCTGCTTATTCCAAGACAACAAGTGAATCTGGTAGATCAATCCTAGAAGAGTCAGACTGTTATTTCTAAAAGCATGTCTATGACAAGGTTAAATAAAAATGAGGAAAGCGGGTAACTTTGATGAATACCACTTAAAGTAACCACTTCCGATGACAGTTTTCCATGAGCTCTGACTCGACCAGTATTAGTAGTGTTCGTGTTCAGAGCATGTACAAGGTTAATGTATCTCGGTACGCCCTTCAATGACAGACCCTACCACAGAAACTCACGATCAATGTTGATCGCTGTCTTAATGTCAGGGAATATAACTATAGTCGGTTGTACCTTAAAAAGTATGTCTATTCCAGAATCTGCCGAAGGGTGAATATTTGGTCTATACAAACACGTCCAGGCTTGGAACCAGCCTGGTTCTCTCAGGTTTGCTCCATTTAGGCATTAAAGTATTATTGAGGTTAATATTTTAGATATAGTAGTCAAACTAATTCCTCTGTAATCGTCACAAGAGGGGTTTTATTCTTTTCTTATCGATTGGGATGATCAGCTATTGATACCACTCATGGTTGACTTACTCCTTATCTAGTTGTCTCTAAAATATATTATTGACTTTTCCATCATTATATTGAACTCCAAGGAGTTTTCTTGCTGTGGCTTTTCTACGTCCAGTATGACCCAGACATGTATGTGCTTGTAGTTGAGCATGGTCTGAGTCTAAACGTGCTCAAAAATGAGATGTAGTCTTCTATCGAGCTTCTCCAACGATTGCATTGCGGTCTATTAGAGTCCATCGGTGAGTCGACTATGGGGTTCGCCATGTCAGATGATTTTCCTCCTTTTGCTTAAAGTTGGTTCTCTCTAGAAACAGTCTTACGAACATAATTGAAACAGACGGCCACTATTATCTGTTCTCTAAGCCACAACATCGTAAGGTTCACCTGGGTATTGAAATCATTTGACACTTATTACACCTGAGCGTTTAACCTTTTAAAGGCGGTTAAAGAACCATACGTCCTCATATTATGGCAGTATTTGTTTGAGGATTACGGTTCTCCATATAAACTTCGTAGTATGGTATTGCTTCAAATAATGTGTCAATGAAAGGCGTACTTTAGAAGTACATAAACCTTGTAAGGGCTGTCTACTCGAACACTACCTGTCAAATCAGAGCTTATGGCGAACTTTCATCTGATTCTACAACCTCAACTGGTGTCCGGCAAGGCTGTCCACTATCTCCATTTTTGTTTAATTTCATTATATATTTACTTCTGGAGATAATGTTCTCGTCATCTGAATTTTCGGGAATCGATCTACCGAGAGGTCCACTCATCGAGTCAGAATAGGCAGATGACATAGTTCTATTTGGTAAATACGCTGATAAAATGCAGTCTTTTAGTATCACTGAGCAACAATGCTAAGATGTTTGGTATGCTTTTCTTTCCGTCTAAATGCAAATTGTTGCTTCAGAACTGGTCCCTGTCAACGCTTGAACTAAGGATAGGGAGTGAAGTAGTCGAACGCGTCGACAACTTTACTTATCTTGGAAGTTTGATCAGCCCTAATGGATTGGTGTCTGACGAAATCTCTGTACGGATTTAAAAAGCTCGTTTGGCTTCTGCCAAATTACGTCACCTATGGCAAAAGCGAGATATGGCCATGCGTATACAGCCGCTACCAGTAAGTCCTACTCACTGCTTCCCGTGGCAGGGATGTTGTCTACGAATTTGAGAGGACGAGAAGCGGGTTGGTGAATACGGAGGATACATCTAGGGGGAGTTGGAAAACCCTGATTCCATACCAATGGTGCACATGGGCTCCAGTATCCTGAGGGAACAAATGGCGTATGAACTCATAATTGGTCACCGGCTACCATAGAACTGCATCTCCTTACGTTGCCCCACTGCTACGTGGATCAGACCTTTGGTCAAAGGCTCCCAAAGAAAACCTGCTTCGATTTGGGCACCCAGACAGTATCATAGCTCACACACTAATCAAGTGGCTTGTGTGGCGCATATGTATTCGGTGCCCCTTTGTACCAATATTTATGTGATTAAATAAATAATAAATAAAAGTATTTGCTCACGGATGTCTTAGAAACACTGCCAGCATCTTCTGGGATCACCGGGTAAGCAATAATGAGGTTAGATACAGAGTATTAGGGAATGATGGTAAATCAGTCGATGAGGTTGTGAATCTTCATCGACTAAAATGGTCGGGCCATATATTACGCATGCCTAACCACCGATTACTAATGCTGACTAGTGTTGAAGATGGTTGGAAGAACGTTAGGGGCGGTCAAAACAAAACGTTGCATCAGTCCATAAAATCACTAACTTTTAATCTGAGCCAATTTGGCAGATGCAGACTACTTGGTTGGGGTCCGGTGGTTGGAGACTATTTGCGGCGGTTTGGTCTGGTAAGAAGTTAAGATTTTCTTATATTCATTGATGAAGAAAGTGGAGTGTCGATGGTTCATGTTCTATTATATACGGGCTCAATAGATTTCCTATATACTTGTAGAGCAGAAAAGTTGTAGTTTAAACTGATTGCAATCTTGTATTCGAAGGACTGTTAAACTAACATGGATTATTGATTATTAACATGCCTCTCTGTATTCAGTTCATGAGGTTTTAATCAATTAGTTAGATAATACAACGTTCATTGTGTAACCCTAAGACTAACTACTATATTTGGAGAGTACGAGTTCTTAATTCGCGAACAGAAGGAAGACTCAGAGACACGACCCAAAAGCTAACTATAATATACAGTGATCCAAGCGACTTTCAAGCTCTTTACATATGTTTTTATACCATAGAGTGGATCATGGTGGATGTTCCCTTACTAACTCATATATCTGAAACTACAGACTGCAGCTCATCTTCCTGCCAGGCATCATCTGCTTCAGACGATTCTGTTCCTGAAGGCTATTTAATCTTGACATTCGATAAAAAGAAGAAAGCTGTTTTAAAAACCGCTGTGTTTGCAGATGTTTCGGATCCTAGATTTGCAGATGAGTGAGTTATTTGAAGTAAACTTTTTTTATCATTTATCAAATTAAGCCATCTTGTCATTTAGTGTAAAGACGTCAGTAGTTAATTTTGCGAACTATGTAGATGATTCATTTTATGAATCTAGGTTAGTTCTTAATCTACTGTTTACATAGCATCCGTTTTCTATTCTGGTTAATACAGGCTAAACTGTCGAATGCTAATAATCATATAATATGTCAGTATGACGTACTCATGTTTAAGCAGTCTACCTTTTAACCAATATGCTATGGGTTCGATACCCACTTTACCCGTTGATATGTAGGAAGTGAATGCCATATTCTGGTCAATAAGAATGCATCATTTACAATATTTGTACAAACTTGAAAGTGGTTATTGATTTACATGTAATTATTTGTTTATTTAGTGACTTCAAAAAGTGGAAGGTAGGCGATATCGTGCTAGTTACTTTGGGCTGGAAATGATTCATAGACCTTTTCATAAATACCTGCAAAAGGTACGAAGATAACTGACTATAAAGTTAATAAAGATAATCTAAATGTCTCTACAGTATTACTGAAAACTTTTCCTTACTTTTTAGCTCCTTGAGTGTACAGTTATCAAAGTAATAGTTTTTACTTGCCTGAGAACTTCGCTCAAATATGTATCATCATTATGATCTTGCGAGTTTTCGAGTCTGTGAGGAAACAAGTCATTATTGAATGTCTAATATATGAGCTCAATGTGGTTAACTGTTTCGACTATCCAAATCAACAACCATAAATGTCAAGAGTTATAAAGCGTTAAAAATGAAAATGCTGATAGTATTATTTTTAAAGCTGAACATAGGAATGAAGTACATGGATCCCTATACAGTCTATCATAGAGCATCTAAGCTATCATATATTACTACTACCAATCAGTCGTAAGCAATGAATTATAAGCTGTTACACTTCGTATTCATAGGGCTAAAGGAGATTAATAAAGGTGAAAGCCAAAGAGTGAAAACAGCAACGATAGTTAAAGACTAAACAGCTGATGTAGTCGAAAAGGAATATATGAAATCGAGTTTAGGAATTGTGAAACAATAATTAAGCGATGTATAAAAGTTGAGGAATAGATAAATCTACACTGACTGGTGTGAACCACTTCATTTAGGGTTTCCGTGCTTATTTCATCATTTCCTTCCAAAATTCAGTCATCAAATTTAAACTGTCTGTAAAAACTTAAACGACAACTGATGACTTCGTGTATTGATGACACGTCTTGGTTCCTTCCATAGTGCACCAGGGTACACGGTTGTTGGATATGTGTAAAATATACTGAAGTTTACTTAGCTAATGAACACTTAAAATCTTATCAAGTTTTCCCCATACTTATTAACTGTCATACCTTTACAAGCTATTTGGTCCAACCTACATTGGTTTTTGACATATCTAAACACTCAATAGTCGCGCGCTTATAATCTCTAATCAATTTTCCATCATGTGCCTCAGTATCTCTCATTGGATAATTCTTCATGCCTCGACGAATATATATGAAACGCTTGCCGTCGAAACATCAGCATATTATTCAACTGTAGTAATCACGTTGTAGTAGTGGACGAATTGATATTCACTCGATTTTACGTAGCTAACTGTATATCACATTTCAGTGTATAATGGTGTATTTAAGCCAGCGCTGACTGCATACATATCAGGATTTCCTTATCATTGACTGGATCATAATAGTTGGTGTAAATAATAAACGAGGTTGAGAATAGAACTTTTTGTCACTACTTGTCTCCGATTTAGAACAACATTCTTAATCTGACGAATCAAAATGAATATCCTACCCAATCGTTTTACGGGCGTCAGAAAAATTGAGCATTGATACTCACCATATTTGTCCAATGTCTTTTTATGTGTCAATAATCTGCTCTTAAAAATATTCACTAAAATCACTCTGAATTCAGAAAGCTCATCGGGTTGTAATCTTATATGTTCATTATATGGTTTCTATTTTGAAGTCCCACGATAACACGTTCCCCACAATCGTTTAACGCTAGCTTTTAACTAAAACGACCTATTTTGTTGTAAATTCTCAATCCATCAATTTAAAATATTATGGTTATTTGACTTTGATTGACAATTTGTAACTGCAGATGCGTTTTAAGTCCAATTATTTCTTTTCCAAGTTATGAAGATGATGATGAAGAGGAAAGTAATGATAATTGTTGGCCACTTCATGAGTCCAAGTTAGCTGTTCGCCAACAGGAAAATGATGGCGTACTTGAAAATGAAGTTACTGATGCCAAAGGTTTTTTGTCGAAACCTCTTGTTATTTCTACGGATGCAGCTGACAAAACTTCATCTTATACTTCATGTTACGGCGAAGCCTTTTGGGTTGGTGAAGATGAGCTGAACGCAAAACAAAATACCGCAGGTTCTTGGGATCTATCGCCTGGTAACAAAGCATCCCAAAGTTTAATACGTACTAGTCCTTTGACGTGTGATACTCATTCAGTGACTCCGACTTCAACTTTACAGTCATCTACTGAAAGCTGGTCTTTGAGCACACCTCAATCAACAATAACTCGACTAACCGGCACTTTCCCTTATCGCAAAGCTACATATCCAATTAATCATCTTGCCAGAAAATACAACCATAACACTTTTTCTTCTCACTTCCAGCCTAAATGGCCTAGAGCATTTAATGTCCATTTAGGTGATCATTCCAAGAAGATGCTCAGGTGTGACCAATGTGGTAAATATTACCGTAATGATTATAGCCTACATCATCATATTTGCTTAAAGCGCAAAGATGTGTGGAAGAAAGGTGATGTGCCTTCTGAAATGATTGATGGTCAAGTTATGTATTTTTGTCCCAGTTGCCGTAAGCCTTTTAAATGGCTTGGTAACCTTACACGACATTTCTATGTGCATACAGGTCAAAGATTCTTTCGGTGTGATATTTGTTCTAAAGAATTTTTTTCTGCTTACCAAGTTAAAAGACATATGAATTCACATACAGGTGTCCGTTTCAAATGTGAAGTATGTGACAAACCTTTTACATGTAAATACGCCTGTGCTTGGCATACTAGACAACATTATGCTTATTCATTAAAATGATTTTAAGAATTTCTCTCTGATTCTTCCAAATGAATTTTTAGCAACGAATATATACATACCTACACTTTGCTTTTTTACGTTTCAATGAGAGATATTCAAACATACACCTTGCACAATGATTTATTTTTTTACTAATAAAATTTCAATATTAGCCAATGTTTTTAATATCTTTCTTGTATTCAATATATATTATATCACATTAATAATTCACGTGCCTTAAGTTACGCTACATAATGCTCGCCATCAGCGTCTTGGATATTTTGATAACTTGTGAGTATATTTATTGATAATATACACTTACATCACACTTTCTAATCAACTGAGAGATTGCTCAATTCCCTCATGGTGTGTTTGTTACATCTCAATGATATTTCATTAAAACAGTATTCTTTTATATTATGATTTTGCCTCTTATGATAATTATCAACTGTGGCGGGTAATAAATACAAATACTGTGCTGTGACATAGAAAACCTGTTTGCACCTCTTACTAGCCTTTATAATAAACACTATCGTTGAGTATTTCTTTGTTTTTGTAACTATTTTTTATATACATGTTTACACTGTTTTTGATAGAGTATCGTATTATGCAACAAAAAAAGTGAACAATCTGACATAGGTGACCCTTCGCCAACACCTGTTCTTCCAAATATTCCTATCTCCTCTATCATTATTACCTACTTTGGAATCTGTTGTGCCTTGCTTTATTCGGTTATAGTAGCTGTTTGCCTCTTTGTATGCACTTGGTTTTTATATATAATTGCCTTTTTTCCTAATTATTATTATTATTACCATTTATTATTAACAATCTAAATTCAAGAATTTTTTTTGTAGAAATTGGTGATTATTTTTTGCTTGGTTTCTTATTGTTATTCTGACAATTTTAATGAAAATAAAATTTCTTTTTAAAAAAAGAAAGTGCACTCGTAACTGTTTTATGTGTAGTTAACATGTTTTATCCTGTTGTCTTTTTTCTATTCATCAAACTAACATTTTGAATATAAGTTGATTATGTTGTTGATATAGAAAACAAGGTCAATGCAGAATAAGTCAAACTTCAATGTAACGGAAGAGAATATAATTATAACGATAATAGTGATATCATATACAGCAGCTCTATCTGCTTCTAGCCCCTCCCATCAGCTATTCTGAAGACAAGTCTTGTTAAGATTTATTGAACGAAACGAAAGAAGAATAAATTTACATCCAAGTTAATTCAGTGATTGTTAGTCACAGAGTTTTATTAACTGAGCAATTGTCAATGAATACAAAGTTATGGTGAAATAATGCAGAGAAAATGCATTGAGAATCAATGGACTAAACACAGTGAAAGGTCAATAAAATGCGCTCAAAGTTGACTGGGCAAAGATCACTTCAAATTGATATACAAAATTGAGATTGATTTTTCCTCTCGTACACTATGTGTAGGAGGTATAATGTCTTCAACGTCACCCTCTGTAGCGTAGGGAAATGCGATTTCAAACCGTTACTTGTTATATCCAGACATAAAAATGTAGAAAATAGACTCGAGTTTCTCTATGATTTTTTAGTTTGGTATTAGCATAACACTTGCTCGCTCATCATTAGTGCACCATAAAATAGCTGTTTACCGAGGTTCTAGATCCTGAGGAATTGAATATGCGTTAGTTTAATGAGTGAATATTTAGCTTCAGTAGTCATATTGTGATTTTGACTGATCTTCATAAACCCGTGTTTTCATTTACTGTAACTGTTTTTATGATAACTTGGGAATATTTCTTAACGTTTTTGTTAGTGGATACCCCTAAATATCGGTCTTTCAACTTATATATTCAATTCGGAAGTGTACCACCTGAAATACCTCAAAGCAGCAACTAATAACTGGTTTCGTGTTCTTATAGCGCACATTTGTTCGGTCAGGTTTAGCCTTCTCCCAAATTCTATTCCTCTGTTAGCAGGTGTAATGTTCCAGCGTTAAGGGTTGGTTATTCAATATACTTAACGTGCAACTCATTCTTATTAATTGATAAAGCTTCACAGGCTCTTCAATCGATTTCAACTTTCTTTTTTCTATAATTCGTTAGTTATGTCCTTAAATAAATGATATGACCAATCAGATTATACTTGAAACACCCACTCCTTTTGACTCAGTTGACATTGGTGTGTGGCCTGTCTTTTTATGCACGTTAACTACAAATCGATTAAACATGCAAACAAGCAAATTTCTGGCTGTTTTGTGTAGAATTCTAATGTTTGTTTCAGCAACGAGACTAAAAAGTCCACTTGAGCGTCAAGTCTTGATGTATGGTTTATAATTAATTTATGAGTAATATGGAAAATAGTGCTACCGTTCCCGAATTTTTTCAATAGTATTATCGACAATAAAAAAGGACATAGACGATATAATTCGAGAAAATATGGGTCGGGATAAGAGAATTATAATATAAGAGAATACAAAGATTGAATGCATCTGCTCCATTGCGACCAATTCTAGATCATGTTACTTTTGAACCTTGGTGACTACGATAGTCGTGCGGAGCTTAATCAGGTAGTCTGCAACCACCTACGTGGCTCAGTCCAATTTTCGATGACTTCATGAACTGATCCAGCGTCTTGGTTTGACGACTAGTTTTCTCCCAACCTACTATACCGGACAATACCCCCTCGAGGTAGGCGGTAGTTGGGGATATGTAATAAATGTCTCAACCACCTCAGTGATGAAGATTTACTGCCATCCTTATCCAATGCCTTGCGTCTGACCACAGGACTGTTCATTCAGACCCACTCAGATTCATGTGTTCAACTTTGAGTCATCTTTATGTGAGAGCTCGGGGAATTATAGGGTTCTCAGAAAAAGTTAGGTGGAGCGTAGTTCGGATATGCGACCTAATCATCGAAGGTTAAGTGGTCTAAGGACTAATTTGCCACTTTTTACAAGTGGCGTAGAAAACATTCAAAATAATATTTGCTAGAATGCATTTTGTACGAAGCTGTTCGAATAGAACAATCATGTTATAGTCTATGTTAAAATATACCCCACATTCAATTTCATTTGTATCTGTTGAAAAAGCCGAAATTCGAAAAGTATCGAAGGTGCATAAAGGAGCAGACAAATATAGAGTATAATGCATGAATATGGTAAGATAGGTGAACTAAGAGTCACTCAGTTTTTACAGTCAAATAACAATGTATAATATGCATAGATGCATACATAGTAACAGGCGCACATAAAATCTGGAAAAAGTAGTTTATATGGGTGAATAAATACGCGAAAATAGGTACAAAATATCACGAAATACTTAGTCGAGTTAGACTAACACATTTACTGGTTAGGCCAAAAAATGGATAGAGGTGTGATGAAGGTTGCTACAGTATCTACCAATCGTAAAGAATTAATACAAACACTGAAGTCGAACATAATCTACATGTAGCAGCATTATCATCTTACAGTGTAGACACTGGAGAAATATCAACCATTCATATACCAATAACAGCATTCGAACAATCGATGTATACAATAAAGCTTCCGCTTTCTAAAATTTTCTCCTATTCCTAATACCGATTATTCTATCATTCGAGTACATAAATATGTACTTCTGGTGAATGAGTTATTTATTATCATACAAGTATGAAATAACAGTTTCTCAGTTAATATTATTCAGTTGTTATGGAGTCAAGAATATGTTTATTGATTGAAAAGCAAATGAATCATGTGTAAGGCAAATACCAGGAATTCCTCGTTCCTCGTTCACGGGGCCCCCAAATGCCCTGGTACGGCCGAGAGTGGGGAGAGTCCGCTCTCCCTCTCGAAATACTCTCACACGGCCACGCGTATATAGCCTCTGCCAGGGAAGTCCTACTCACTGCCTTCTCGTGGCGGGGGTGTTGTTTACGAAAATGAGAGGACGAAAAGCGAATGTCCGGCTCTTTAACCGGATTCCAAACCAATGGTGCACATGGGCTCCAGTATCCTGCGGGAACAAATGGCGAATGAACCAATTGTTGGTCACCGGCTTCCATGGGACTGCATTTCCTTACGATGCTCCACTGCCTTGTGGATCAGACCTTTGGGTCGAAGGCTCGGGGTGTGGCCCCCTAAGAAAACCACCTGCTTCGGTTTGGGCACCCGGGCAGTATCACAGCCCTCACACATATCGGATGAGATTTGTGTGGCGCATATGTATTTGGTGCCTCTTTGTACCATTATCTATGTGTTGAAATAAAAAATAAAATAAATAAGGCAAATACAGTGAGTGTTGAATAATTTTAAATATACCTTCCCTATTCATGACGTGTGTCTAGTAGTGTTTCATCAACTGGAAATATTTAGATATATTTAAGAATACTATTTAATCTTATATGTAACGTGTGAAATAATTCATCAGTATTAATTTATAAACGTTCATGAAAAAAAGGAAGTTACCTAACTACGAGTTACATCTGTATTATAAGTCGTTTTTGTTGTTGTTGTTGTAATAACTGATCATTTCTATCTGTCTCTTTGTTAGTAAAAAGAACCAGATGAAATAATAACACATTTAAAGATTAATTGTTAAATTATTTAAATCATAGTGTTTTCGAACTAGACTACTGAGCCCTTTCTGATGCTAATCAACATATGCTCACTAGTGACTGGCTTCAATATATATATCCTGGAGCTCTAATGAGAAACAGTGACCGGTGGAGTTCAACCGGATCAGTTGTGAGGTAGTAACTCACTGATGACTGGTGGATGTGTCGCCCAATTTCGTGGATTAGTTGAAGTTAGACATTAACAGCGTCGGATGCCGGCTCAGTGGTCCAGTTGGTTGGTGGGTCCTGAGTTCGGATCCCACGGGGCGGGGTCGTGAATGCGCACTGCTGAGGAGTCTCACAATAGGACGAGACGGCTGTCCGGTGCTTCCAGGTTTTCCATGGTGGTCTAGCTTCAATTGACTCATGATCTCAACTGTTTAAATTAACATTATAATCTTGTTCCTATCCTAGGATTTATTTCTATGAACAATCATTATATGAACGTTATGAATTGAGTGGATCCTTCATTGAATGAATGCAAAAGTAATATTTACATTGTAAAAATGGTGACTATTTAAAAAAAGCTTTAGAATTATCATTACATAAAATATAGTAGGGATTTAAGTAATATTTAAATATCATCAAATCTATTCGGTAAAAGATGTGAATGATTTCAATCTGGATAAAATTTCATTAAATGTCGGTCTCTTAATTGGTTCGAATTCCCAACACATATTCATAAGTGTTAACCTAAGAGAACAAAAAACATAAAAAAAAACTTAATTACATGTACCAAGTATTCGTGATGAAAAGTTATGATTAACAGTCATCACTTCATAGTTCACTCCGTTATTTACAAGCTATATATGTAAGAAAAAAAACAGTAAAACCTGAATGTAATTGTTATAACGCTCGGTTTTACTTTGTCTAATGTTATAACGGTTGGGGTTTCCACGTTTCCACATATTGGATGTTAATTTACCTTAAACGAATATCTAAACTAGATTCCTTCCCAGTGTCTATTCTACAGGATGTCGACACAACTCAGATCAAGAACACGTGATTAGCTTGATCACAACGTTATGTATTTCCACAGCAAAACCCGACACAATTCAACAACAATCAATAATAAGTGAGTCAGTATAATAATAAGGATAGGGGAATATATAACTAATCTGATACCTGTTAGACTATCTACATGTCTGATTAAGCAGACAACCAATCATTATCATTCTCACCCACACATCAGTAATTTCATTACAACCTCATTAGGAGGATTATAAAATTGAGATTCATCAAAATTTGTATATTAAACATTATATTACTGTTAAGTAGTTTACATAGTTTATGCAAAATTACTTATTCTACTCAAATAGATTTTTATGCTATGTATATCAGAGGAGGAAAATTTGTGAAATATTAGTTACTGAATCCTAACTTAATGACCAGAAATATTACTCTCAACGAAAGAAAAAATAAAAAGTCTTGGGTTAGAGTATTTTATAAACAATTTCAAAGAGTTGCAAACTGTAACCATCTACCTAACTACTTACTCATCTCCTATCGATTATGTTATTTCATCAAGATACAAAATATCTTGAAAATGAACGATATTGCAATATTGTTAAATAATTAATAATGATTTCTTTTGTTTATCTGTCTAAAATTTTTCTTCTTCAGTTATGAATTTATATACCCTGCCATATTTGACATTTCAAAATATATTGAAAACTAACTAAGTTATTGGCACTAATCTTGAATATTGAATAAATAATACTTTAGATGTACCATTTTTGTTTTTCTTTTCTTACATTCAATCATGGCTACTTATTTTTATTTTTCTTCAGAAATTTATTATTCGTGTTTTCAATTTATTAACTGAACAAGTTTTTTTTTGTGTGTTAAAAACTAACTTATCATTTCCTATACACGTGAATGTTTAATATAAAGATATAATGTAGGTCCTGCTCTCACTGCCTTCTCGTGGTGGGGATATCGTTTACCAAAATGAGAAGACAAAAAGCGAATGTCTAGCGGTTTAACCGGGTCGGGGGATATGGGAGGTCCACCTAGGGAGTTGGAAAACCGTAATTCTAGACCAATAGTGCACATGAGCTCCAGGATCCTAAAGGAAAAAATGGCGTACGGACTAATCGTTGGTTACCGGCTACCATGGGACTGTATCTCCTTACGTTGCTCCATTGCCTAGTGAGTCAGACCTTTAGGTCGAAGGCTCCGGGTGTGGCCTCCCAAGAAAACCTCCTGCTTTGGTTTGGGCACCCGTACAATATTGTAGACCACACATAAATTAAGTGACTTATGTGACGCATATGTAGTCGGTGCCCCTTTGTACCAACATTTATGTGTTCAAATAGATAAATAAATAAATAATGTAGGCAAAAAAAAAGAAATATTTTTGGTTTAGAAACACATAACAAAAATTTAAAATCAAACTTACAAAATAACAGGTAATTTTGTTGTAAATTCCGGTAGATTTAAATGTCCACCTTCGCATACGAATTTCATAACTTCTTCATGTGATAAACCGGGATATGGTAAAGAGGCAAATGTAGCTATTTCCCATAATACAACACCATATGACCTTTGTTTATTTTATTTTTTTTCATATGATAATTAGAGGGAAAAGAAACATGCATACAATATTAATTGTAATTCATTTTATTAATATAAAAACTGGATAATAAAGTATAGTTTATCAAATACAAACACGTTTAAATAAGGTTTCAAATTAAATTTGATTGTTTTTACAAAAGAAATAAAAGATTAGTGATAGTAGTTCAGTGAAGTTAGATACTCTGTAAACGATAATTTGTCCATTTCATTGTCCCTTCAAAATGATATTGTCAACAATAGTTTGATAAAAAAAAATGACTGAGGTTTGAGAATTTCTTTACAAGTGATTTATATTTTGCTAATATTGATAATAATGTTCTACAGCAACAAAGCAGTTTTGAAAATTTGACAATAATTTGCATTGAAGAAAAAAACAACAAAACAATTTCATTAAAATCATTCAGGTGAATTACAAATCTTTTTTCACTATTTCAAAAGCATACACGAATAGTAACACACTTCTTGTCGTTTATAATTTTACTGTGGTATTCAGAACATTGTTGAGAATTTATAACTGGAGATCAGTATACAAATTGAGCGGTAAGTTCGATTATGAAGATGGTAAAGAGGAATATGTATGTGCTAAGGTATTCTAACGATGGTATCTCCTAAGATGAGATCCACTAATGTTTTCAAAGAAAATAACTCATATACCCATACAGATTGTTAGTAATCGATAAACAGTCGTAATTATATGTTAAAATCAGCCTTGTGTTATATCTTGAAAGTTGATTTCTCGATATACCGCGTATAACAGAGCACTAGAACACCAAAACCCTTTCAAGTCTCAATAAGAAGACAGAAGACTAATGAAAGGAATATTATTCCAAACAGTGTCAATCATAGTACAAAATTGTCAGGTATTTATAGTTTTCAGTAAGAACAAAATCATCATTACAGTCCTCCAATCCGCATACAGGGGGTAATTAGCATTATCCAATCGGGAAGCTACACGTGGGAATTCTAGAATATTCTTCCGAAAGGTGGTTAGATGGAACGTCTTCGGCTCCTTTTGAGCCTCTTACAGCTTCCTCGAGTTCACCGGTCGTCCGTCGTCACACATTGACTTCATTATAAAATAACTAATAAAGTAATTACTGTTATAAAAATACCTTCGAACGAACTATTCTATCACTTTTCAAATCTTTAAATAATTGAATATTGGACTTAACACAAACGGCTTATACTCCCAAAACAAATTACAATGTTAATATAATAGATTTAAAGACCAATTCGGATTTAGTGAATAAATGTGTAACTTAATATCGTATGTTCTATTTATTATCCGAGCATAATAATAATGTGGTCACCAATGACTAGCTTTCAGAGTTAATTCCTGGAGTTCTAGTAAGAAGCCATAACGAGTGAAGTTCAGCCATCTCATGTTTCAGGCAGTCACTCAGCAAAAGCACTAGAAGATCGCTGTACAATATCAGATGGCTGTTCAGTGATCTAGATGTTAAGCTATAGCCATGAAACCTGAAGGTTTTAGGATTGAATTCTCTGTGGGATTATAAGTACATACTGCTTAGGATTCCTATAAAAGGGAACAACAGCTGTCTGGTAATTCTTTGTTTTCAGTGGTTGTCTAACTTGAGATCACTTCATAGTGTAAATTATGAAATCTTGAAGAAATTTGAAACATAATGGAACTGAGAAATGCAGGACTATATTATGTAAATATTTATTACACTAATAACACTGGAAACGTTTTGTACTCTTTTTATCAATATATACTGTTATTGTAGATATATCTAAAATAATACCAACCATGTGATCATATCACATTAAGTGACATCTTTATACATTTTTAAGATAAAAAATTATATTAAAACACAATTGTATGGACGAAGAATATTCTTTTCAATAATTTCTCATCAGGTTCTACAATTATCTCATATTTAAATTAATAATCCATAAAATTAACCAGATTTAAGATAGAGATTACATCATTTGGAAATTCTAATATGTGAACTGAGAATTGTTGTTTATCATATAAAACCAATTCAGATCGTTAATGTTGGGGCTGTTTAATATAAAGTGTTAACTTGAATCAGTTTATAAGTGAAATGAAATTGTGCGATAAATGATCAGACTAAATATGGTTAACATAGGGTGAAAGAGAAAATAATGGTATAAAAATCGAAAATTACGTAATATGTAGAATAATATGAATTAGTTTTACTGGTATAGAAGATTAAGATCATGAACCCATTGATGTTAGACCACTTTTGGAAACCTGGAAGCACTGAACGGCCGTTTCGTACTATTGCGGGACTCCTCAGCAGTGCGTATCCAGTGGCCCAGTAGGTTAAGTGTCCGCGCGCGAGACCTAAGGCCCTGGGTTCGAATCCCGCAAGCAGGATAGTGGATGCGCACTACTGAGGAGCCGCACAACAGGACGAAACGGCCGTCCAGTGCTTCCAGGTTTCCAAAGGTGGTCTAAAATCAATCGGTTCATGATCTCAAACAAAAATATGAATTAGGTCAGATATAGTAGATTTGGGGGTGGACACAGAATAAATTTCTCAAAATGGTGGGCAAGTGTAATCATAATCACAGTGGTACAGATAACAGTAATAGTAATAAGATAAGTTTAGGACATAAAATGAACATTAATCAGATTACGTCACCATATTATTAAATTAATTATAACTAGTTGACCCCAAAGTTGTCCAGGGTAAAAGGAGTGGCTGAACATACTTATTTTGGATGCAAAGCTCTGGCTTTTTGATCCGAATAGCGATTGCTTCAGCCGTTTGTAGGATTCGCAGTCTGATGAAATTAGGTAGACTGTTGTTAACACGATAGACTATTGCAAAAGATTGCTCTATGTTGGCTGTATGTCCTGTTTGACCTAGATGGTCTGCGATTGAGCTGTTAACAGTTTTGACTAAACCTTTGCTTGACCACACGGGGAGGTGCTCACGAGCCCAAATGTTCAACATTAACGATCTGAATTGACTTCATATAACAAACAACAATTCTTGATTCACATATTAGAATTTCCAAATGATGTAATCTCTATCTTAAATCTGGTTAATTTTATGGATTATTAATTTAAATATGAGATAATTGTAGAACCTGATGAGAAATTATTGAAAAAAAATATTCTTCGTTCATACAATTGTGTTTTAATATAATGGGAATTTTTCAGCGAGAAAATTATATATATATAATCTTACAGCATCGCAAACACACTGAAAACTTTAGAATGGTTCAGACGAAATCACTGTGAAATTTACTTACCAAACATCAGATTTAGTAGTAAAGTATGCAGATGATAAAGTTTCTGGTGCCATCCAACGTACAGGTAAACGGGCTTGTCCAATTTTTCTATAATATTCTTGATTATTTACAAGACGAGCTAAACCAAAATCTGTAGAAAAAAATAGATTGGTGAACTTTTATTCAGGATGAATGTTAGTCCTGAAAAAGTAAAGATAATCTAAGGAAGATCAATTTGACATAACTGAACGATCTATCGAGATTGAATTCATTCAGAAAACATTATTATTATTATTACATCCAAACATCATAGTCTAATGAATCATATTTTCAACAGTATACACTCTCGAGGAGAATAAAAGTTAAGCCTAAGTTTCATTAGGGCTCGAGTACACTACAGTATGTGAATCTCTCAATCGACTATATGTTTCAAAGGGATTCTTTTATGTTCTATGGCCATTCAAATATTACGTGAAACAATTCCTAATCAAAATACCAACTTTTATGACCCTGAGCCTGTGCTAAACTAATGACACTTTAACCAGCATTAGCAGCCTTTAGTCAACTCCATATCCTTATTGGTCCTCTGTATAGAAGTCTCTCGCTTATCCCTGCCTGTTGAGTCCAGAATAGCAATATCAGCCTCCGCTGTGTTTATCATATATTTCAGACATATCTAGTTTACATACAAACAGACCAGACCGCATCAAACCATAAAATGAAGAATACTAATTATACGAAATCAAGCCAAAAGTGACTGTATGAGATACTGTAACTAATAAATTGGGAATAAATTAAATCATATAACAGTAGTCAATAGGTTAAAAGAAAGCTTATGATAAAAGGAATATGAATATATACATAGAATCTAGTTGTTTAACAGTTATAAATAAAAAGACAAGGATAATGTGCTCCTTTGGTGTGAACACTTTATTTACAAATGTACCTAAGAAAAACTATTGATATTTCGTGTGACTGTATCTCTTTGATGAATAACCTTCCATTGCCATTTCCTGTCAACACTCCTAAAGATTTATTATTATTGTGTACTAATAATGTAAAATTCACTTTTGAGGGTGTGCACTTTGGACAAATCGATGGTATAGCTTTGGGTAGCCCTTTAGGACCGTCGCTGGCTGACGTGTTCATGGGATATGTTGAAAATCTAGCTGAAAACTCAATTCGAAAGATGGGTCTGTATAAATGGTATGTTGATGATATCATAATCATAGGGGGTAAAGGTGAAGATGTAAACTGCTTGTTAGAAGAACTCAATACAAGTCAAAAGCACATTTCTCTTACATGTGAAGAAGAAGAGAACAACCAACTTCCTTTTCTAGACATCCTGATTAATAGGAGAGATGATTGTTCCGTTCAACGTTCTATGTATAGGGAGCCAACATGGACAGGGTAATATCTTAATTTCCTTAGTCAATGCCCAATTTGTTACAAACGTGGGTTAATAAAGGGCTTATTCAATAGAATCAATCATATTTGTACTAGTGATACTAATGAAGTAGAGCCGAAGCTCTTGACTGATACGTTAATGAATAATGGTTATTCATCAAAGTTCATAAACCTGTGAAAGGGTTGCAATACGACTAGACCTATTACGCTTCTGATACCCAGAAAGCGAGTTTACATTATGTTGCCATTTAGAGGCGACACAAATAGTCTCATGTTGAAACAGAGATTTAAATTAGCTATCAACCAGACATTTTATGCGGCCCAATATGTCGTTATCGAAAAGACAAGGTCTGTGTTTCAACAAAAGTCTAAACAACACGTAGGCGATTGTGTTTATCAATTTACATGCATGTTCGGGAAGACGTACATAGGGAGGAGCAATAGTGATTTGCAATTAAGGGTTGGTGAACACATACCAAAATGGCTACAGGAACAAATGGATTCCAATGGTCAAATAAGATCACAGGATAGACAGACATCATCTTCCACCGCAAAACATTTGATTGAGACTGGTCATAAGGTTGACATCAAGTCAGCATTTGTAGTGTTATGCAAAAGCCTTCAAGGATATATACTAAGGTTTATTGAAGCCTTGGCTATACGGAAATCGAAACCCCCTTTATGCGTTCAAAAAAAACACTTAACCTACCCTGGTAATACTGATTTATTATCCAGAATGGTAATCACATTGTTTTTGTGTACTTTAACATTATTTTTTTGTTACGGCTTACCTTTAACCTGTCTAGTTTATCATTTAATTTTCATATAAAAATCTATCCTATAATTCTGATAAACTTCATCTCATTGCTTTTTATATTGTTAGAAAGAAACAAAAAACCCCATTTATCAGCTGATATCAGTTTATTTGATAACATTTACCTAACAATTTGATCACTGGTAAAAGCAGTTTCTATCAATAGGAGTCACTATTGATTAATCACAACCTTTTTTTTGTTGTTGTAAATAATGTTAACAACTTAAAATGTGATCATTTATTTATTTTTTATTTTAACACATGGATATTGGTACAAAGGGGCACCAGATACATATGCGCCACACAAATCAAATGAGATTTGTGAGAGGGCTGTGATACTGCCCGTGTGCCCAAACCGAAGCAGGAGGTTTTCTTTGGGAGCCACACCCCGAGCCTTTGACCTGAAGGTCAGATCAACAAGACAGTGGAGCATCGTAAGGAAATGCAGTCCCATGGAAGCCGGTGACCAACGATTGGTTCATATGTCATTTGATCCTTCGGGATACTGGAGCCCATGTGCACCATTGGTTTGGAATGAGGGTTTTCCAACTCCCCTAGGTGGACTCTCTATGTCCACCAACCCGGTTGGACCACCAGACATTCGCTTTTTGTCTTCTCAATTTCGTAGACGATATCCCCGCCACGAGAAGGCGGTGAGTAGGACTTCCCTGGCAGAGGCTGTATACGCGTGGCCATGTGAGAGCATTTCGAGAGGGAGAGCGAACTCTCTCCACTCTCGGCAGTACCAGGGCATTTGGGGGCTTGTGATCATTATCACTACAAATTTTAAAATACTTCTACTATAAAAAAAGTCGAGTAGTAGTTGTAATGATGAAAAGAAAACTCTTGTTCAGCGATTTATAATAAATTTATGATTCTAGAGAATACAATAAAAGAAGGGAGAAGGGATCTATTTAAGCAGAGTACAATACAAAAATTATGATACATTTAAACTACGAAAATTAAGATAAATAGAAAAATAACCCGAATACATTCTCATATTATTTAGTAAATGTTTTATACAAACTTAAAGTACAATTCAATTTCTCATAGGATTACTTTAGATTATCATCAGTAAGTGATTTTAGAGAATCGGTAACATGTGTTCATTTCACTATTTTAGAATGGGAGTTCATGGAGATTGTAGTAATTTTTTTAATAGCTGAATTTATGAATTGATTTAAGCTAGACCACCATTGAAAATCTGAAAGCACTAGACTAATGAATTTAGTTATTAAAAAATTACTACAATCTCCACAAACCTCACTTCTAATAATAATCATGATATTCTCATTTATGACTATTTTCAAGACGGATTTCCTAGAACTCTAGTGAGAAGCCGTGACCAGTGGTGTCAAATAAGTGTCGGGTAGAGACAGGTATCTACCTCAGACAATGGATGAAGGGTTGCGCAAGATCATGGATCGATTGAAGTTAGATATTAACAACACTGGTTGCCAATTCAGTGGTCTAGAGATTAAGCGTTCGCACGTGAGATCGGAAGTCCTGGGTTCAAGTCCCGTATGCAAGATCGTGGGCTCGCACTGCTGAAGAGTCCCAACGCTTCCAAACTTTCAATGGTTATCTAGTTTAGATAGACTCATGAATTCAACAATTAAGATTCTATGTTATACTATAAAAATATATATATAATAATTGTCATTTTCTTTGCAACAACATACCTGCAATTTTCACAGTTAACATAGAATTGACTAAACAATTTCGTGCAGCTAAATCACGATGTATAATATGTAATTCGGTTAAATAATTCATACCAGTAGCTAATTGTATAGCCCAATTAATTGCAAGTTGAATATCGATTGATCCTTGTGGACAATCATCTTTCGACATTTGTTGACGTAAATATGTAGCTAAATCTCCAAAAGCCATATATTCCATGATTATAACAGGATGAGTTGATGGCTAATCCATCAGATAACAAATATTGAAATTGTTTTTAGTCACAAGATGTAAACTTTGAAAAAAAACTATTAGACTGTGTATAACAGAACCAAAATGTTCTTTTTAAAAAAGTAGTGTCAAACAGTTGGATGTGAGAATATAAATCTAACATATAAGTGCCCGAAGGGTTGTAAATGATTATGTTACTGGATAGAAATCAGTTGATAAAAGAGTATTCAATCTTTGTACTACTCTACAGGATGCCTGAATTGCTGAAAATGTGAATCGGACGTCACAAAATGGACTTTAGAAAATCTAGCAATCAAGTACAAATTCACATAATCGATTGTCATTAATACTTTATATGTAAAGGTTAATGATTGAACTCGTTGTTCAAATTGAATTAGCAGATAAAGTATAACTCAATTCTATAAGTTGGTCGAATTCCTTAAGTAATAAGTCGTCATTTTGCATGAATGACTTATTGTACAGCACATTATACACTAAAAAAAACAAACGTTCAAATGGACTACAAATTTGAAAGAGCTTTATGTACCTAGATATAAAATCAATTAAATGTTTGTCATCAATAATAACTACATACAGTGATGTTTCATCTCAATTCTCGAAAAGAAATATCAAAAAGATCAGCATTTCAAAGTGTATCGTAATCGATGTTTTTCTTATGAAGTCCTAGTAAAGCCTTTTCAAAAGTTGACCGATAACAAATCATAGTGAATTGTGGAGAGATATAAAATTGTGAATCAGATTATCACAGATTATGAACTTTGAGAAAACTGAAACAATGAATCTAAGTAATTTACCATAATCTATTCATAAAATAAAAATATCCCCATCCTTTGTTTGTTGCATCGATCTTTACTTCTCTCTTATGAAAATACGTTAAATGTGCTTACACCTGTAAGTGTATTCCATTCCACAAGTGAGAGCATAGGAACTAAATGTTTAATCAAATTTATTACTGAATTCACTAATTAAACCTAACTAACTAGTGATACTATACACTAAAAACGTCAATGGTAACCTTAACTAATCTAAATAATATCTAACCCGAACAATAGTTCTAAAAACAACCTGTGACATGTAATATGGTAGACCTGATTGACTGCCGTAACGAAGTAATTAAAGCTTTTATTGTTCCGTGCTATCTGTTCCCGTTTAATTTTCTCTAGATGTAAATGGTTATAATCACTCCTTTTTGAAACTGCAAATGACCTTAAATACATTGTTCACACATCAACAGAATGTCTCCTTAAAAAGAATTAATAGTTCCCGACTGACGCCTTGAACTGATGTAGTACATGTTAAAAAATGTACTAACTAAACGATTTTTGAAGAAAGAACACTTCAAAAAGTCTTAGATCACATGTATCCCGTACATTTAATATTAATGTCGATATCAAGCTGTCTATACTTGTAAATCGTCATGAATTCAGTTTACATACACCAGAGTCTTTAGTATTTACAAAGTCATTTTAGAAGTGATTGGTTATAAGCTGCTTGACTAGGAATTCTTCGACTCAAAGTCAAAAAGTTATGTATGTGATAACGGTAAGAATGTTTCGTTAAAAAAAATAATAATTTTTGTAAGTCACAAAAACCATTTATATCTATGGTATTCTTATCTTAAAAACAGATAAAATGCTCATTTAATCGATAAAGTTGTAAATTGTCAAGTACTTTTTAAAATATGATACAACTGTCAAAACTGAAATATTACTTAAGATTGATCAATTTCCGGATATGGAACTCATTTACTAAATACCAACTTTTATATGAAAGGAAGTGCTATTATCTGGTTTATCTAAGTGAATTAAGTAGAGTAGATTTATTAGTTAACCTTTACATATTTGGACAGCATCATTGATGAACATGGCGGGTCTGATGCAGATGTGAAAGCGCGGATCGGTAGAGCAAGAGCAACATATTTACAACTGAAGAACATTTGGAACTCAAAACAACTGTCAATCAACACCAAGGTTAGGATTTTCAATACAAATGTCAAGACAGTTCAACTGTATGGGGCAGAAACCTGGAGAACTACGAAAGCCATCATCCAGAAAATACAGGTGTTTATTAACAGTTGTCTACGCAAAATACTTCAGATCCGTTGGCCGGACATTATTAGCAACAACGTACTGTGGGAGAGAACAAACCAGATCCCAGCGGAGGAAGAAATTAGAAAGAAGCGCTGGAAGTGGATAGGACACACATTGAGGAAAGCACCCAACTGCGTCACAAGACAAGGCCTCACATGGAATCCTCAAGGCCAAAGGAAAAGAGGAAGACCAAAGAACACATTATGCCGAGAAATGGAAATAGACATGAAAAAGATGAACAAGAATTGCATGGAATTAGAAAAGAAGGCCCAGGAGAGAGTAGGTTGGAGAATTCCGGTCGGTGGCCTATGTTTCATTAGGAGTAACAGGCGTAAGTAAGTAAGTAAATTTATTGGTTGAAAGTAATTTGTTTTAATCAATAAGCTGCTACTAACATTCACTCTATTTCATGATTAATGCACAAAGAAAAACCGATAAATATTCATATCATTTTTATTGATACATAAGATCGAATGAATAGCGTATATCTCAAAATCTGTCAGGCGAAAAGTGTATTAAATATAAAACGGCTGTCATAATTGTAATTCAAAACAATAATGATAATAATAATTGTAATAACATTAGTAATAAACTGACTTGTCTTAATGAGATTCCCAAAAATTGTACAATATACTTGCAATTAAGCTGTTTCATAAATGACGCCTCGTTGTAGAACTCACGTATATCATCCATAGTTGAAGCAGGGAACAAAGTCTGAATAACAAAATAATGAAATATTGTTGTTCTTTTAATCGATAAACGGTGGTTTTTATTGCACAGAACAATTTAAACTGAAAATATCAATTTGCATGAAAATCAAGAACTAGATAAATCATCTAATTATATAAAAGCACTTATTAGAAATATATAGAGGTTTTGAATGGTATTGTATATTTGAAGCTGAAAGACATATTTTAATTTTTAAAATAGTCTCTTATTATTACTGGAGATAAAATCACTTTTGAATTAGTTAAAACGCAAAAATAAGGGGTGAAACCTTTTGATGAAAGCATTTGATTAGCGGAGCATCTCTCTCTTCAGAGGCATTCTCCCATGTAGTCAAATCATTAACGATAGAACGGGGCTGTAACCAAATTAATAAAGAAGTTCTATTGACTAGCTTTGCCGTAAAAAAGGGAACATAAGATGACATTTGTTCGGCAATTCACTCCATGAACAGACCATAAACCGTTACTGGCCGTATTTAGGTCAACGAAAGGAATTACTATTTATACGGCTAACCGACTACAACGATGGGCAACGACACTTGTAGGCTATAATTTCAAGATAAAGTACCAGTCTACTACAGCTTTGTGGCAAGCTGATGTCTTATCTATATTATTAGGTTCACAGACAAAAATGTCAGGAGACAATCTCGTGGTAAATATAAAAGCTGAGATGGAAGTTCAACGCTTATTGAATGCTGCAATCGATGAACTACCAGTTACATTCGAAGATATCGAAAAAACCACTGAAAATGACAAGACATTAGGATAAATCAGAAGTTATCTTTTTACTAAATGGCCAAAGCATCGCTTCGAAGGAGAACTTTTGCGGTACTTTCCTCGACGTGACTCTTTGATGATTCTTGACTCATGTTTTATTTTCGGTGGTGGAATTGTTATTTCAGAATTACTGCTCCACAAGACTCTTAAGCAAATTTACATTGGTCACCCTAAGATCAATAAGATGAAATCGTTAGACTTGAAGTCACGCTTATTGGCTTCCAATGAATAGAGATATCGAAAACAAATACAGTAACTGCCTATCATGTCCGCAAGCTGCTAAAAACCCTTCGAAATGCAAACCACAGCAGTGGCCTAAGCCTTCAAAACCCCGAGGGAGACTTCACGCAGACTTTCCTGGTACAGTACGAGGGAAATATTTCTAGTTATTGTGGATGCATTTTCAAAGTGGCTGGAAATATATACTATACCTAACTGTACAGTCACAGAAACAATCAACAAGTTATTTAATTTGTCTAGTTATTTCGGAGTCCCGAGGATCTTTGTGACAATTCTTTTCGGACTCATTCAAGCACTTCTGTAATATGAATCGAATAACACATCTACGCTCTTCACCCTGCCAAGTTCAAGTGTACGGACAGACGGAACGCTTTGTCGACACTTTTAGAAGAGCGTTAATAAAAAGGGGGGACGAGAGAACAACTAGTTAAGTAATCACAAAAATCTTAACAGCTTATAGAACTACTTCCAACCAACGTTTCAAGACGTTAAAAGTGATACTGGTTATTATGCGATTAACAAGAAAATAAAATACAAATGAATTCTACCTTACAATCAATAAGAAATTGCATAACAGAAATACTAACTATATGAGTGGCAGTTTTCTTTCAAAAGGAGTATCACATCGCTATAAACATGTTGATGGGTTAGTTAAAGCTAGACAATATGAATAACTAACTCAGGAGCAATCACTGACACTCAAACATGACATAAAAGTAACAACAGAAGAGTTAACTTGATACGGTGGGTCAATCAGTAATCACCAAAATGATAGTGCACGTAATTAGTCAGGGAATAGCTTTATTTTGCAGATAATGAAAAAATAACCAATGGAAAGTTTACTTTTCCAACGGACCATATATATGTAGAAAAAGTGTACAGATTTTTCATTCTTCACCTTTTCTTCCGAGTAGTCAGGGTTATGTACAGGAAGAATGAGTATACGGATACGGTGCATTACAAAAAAAAACTGAAATTATGTGGCGAGATCTTTTACATTGACAGCAAGAAATATTGTATAGTTAACAAATTAACCTACTTTTACAGCTACTTCTAAACCGATAGATCCTCCTCCTGAAGCAAAGCATTTCGAATTTGTAGTGGATTCTCTAACAATCCCATTTGAATCAATCATAGATAATTGTTGACTAGCTGGAGTAGATAGACGTAATATACATCCTTTGTATACCATACCAAATGAACCTCGACCCAATCGTGTATCAGTGTCTATTATTAAATCATTCATGGGAATTATCCATTCATTGGAAATACCAGCATTTGCTAATTCCCATTCTTCATCTCTCCATGGTTTGTTTTGCAGTCGTTTCCTATAAGTATGATTTAGTTTATTAACTGACATTATTTGAAATTGTTTAATTAATATCGAAACATTCGTTTATTTTATATGATTCAGTTTCACTTAAAATCAGATTAAACTATGAGTACTAAGATTGGATAGAAGTAAAATAACGTACAAGTAATTGGTTTTAAATAGGAAAAAGAGCATTCAGCGAAGAAAATTTTCTTTTTTACGAAATACTTAAGCTGTACATTCGTATATATAGTTCTATGGAAAATATATGTCTATAGGAAGATAGAAAAGATTACATTATAAATTTATTGCCTATGTAACGTGTCCCACATGAGCAAAAAAATTTATAGATACACATTGATATGGCTCAAAGCCGAAGTTTATCCTTAACACATCCAAGAATAGTAGGCCAGTTTGAGAAAACAATTCGGAGCTTAGCTGCGTAGAACGATTTATTCAACGATTTTGAAATCCGTTTATTTAAGATTTCAGCGGCCGTGTCTCCTTTAAATTCCATATTTGTAAACAAGGTTTTCTTCTGTACTGTCGATGCTTTTTCAAGATGGGGTTTAGGTGTTATTTGCTATTGACGAATCTAGGTGGATAACTATTTCTGATGAGAGTCTATCGAAGTTGAAATAGTTCCTCATCTATTGTGTCAGTAGAACAGATTCGCTTGATCCTAGAGGATAAAAAGTGAACTAAGTTTCTCTTTCTACTCAGTGGGACCCAACTATTGAAATTCGTATACTGTTCATTCCAGGTAGACTTTCTATACATCGATTACTCTAAAAAAAGCCATCCGGCATTCTTTCCAATCGAACATCAAAAAAATGAAACGCATTGTTTGCCTTTGCTTCTAAGGTGAATTGAATTGAGGGGTGACAATTATTGAAACTATTCAAAATTTCATCCATATATCTCTTACACAGATGAAATCTCTCAATTACTGGTCGAAGTACCGAATTTTCTAGATTGGCCATGAAACAATCAGGCAAGAGAGGATCTAATGGAGAACCTAATGCAACTCCATCTATTTGTCTATAGAAATCATCAATAAATCTAAATTGCACGTTGAGCATACGTCGTAAAAGTAGTTCTTTTAGATAATTTTTGGAATACACATATCAAGGTTATTGTTTTCGATATAGTCACATAAAAAACAAGTAGTTTATGTGAGAGGAACATTTTTAAAAAGAGAAGTGACATCTAATGAGATCATTTTCTTGCCAATAACGTCAATGGATCAAAAGAATTATATTTATTGATATGATATTTGACAGATTGTAAAATGTCAGCTGACCATTTAACAATCAAGTGATACAGAGAGTAGACCTAGAGCGACATTATTCTTATGAACGTTTTGGAGTCCATATAGTCTTGGTATAACGGAACCCGATGGTTTAAAATGTTCATAAAGATCACAATCGATAATAAACTCATCTTTCATCTTCCTTAGGATTTTAAATAACATCCGTTCAGTTGTGTCTTTTTGAACGGTTTCTTTGGAGAGCTTGATAGGATCGGATAATATCGAAGATATTTTGGTAACATAGTCAAGACGATGCATAAGGACAATTCGTGCACCCTTTTCTAGGCGACATAACACTAAGTCCTGATTTATCCGAAGATCAGATAATTGAGCAATAGTATATAAATAACTACAGGGTATTAGAATTATTATACTATTATAACAGATACTCTTGAGATGAAGGTTCGAACCCCTATTAGATTCCTACTTTTGGATAATTCAAATACATAAATCTGTATTTCTTTATTGAATAAAATTAATTTGTACAAACGATGAAAAAGGAATTAAAATCAAAGTGATTGAATTTAAAAACAAAACGGTGTACTTTTAAATTGTAATTCGATTAAAACTATAATCTTAATTGTCAATTTTTTTTAAAAACCTCAGTGAGAAGATACAAGCCAAACAATACCAAGTGAATTGAAATTCACTCCATTGCACAAACAAGTGGCTATCAAAACTCAGTAACTGAGTGGATCACGCGATGGCATCTGAAGCGAATGGTACTGGGTTTGAGTCCCAGAGTGAACATCAACTCTGAGATGCAGGTACATCCAGCTGACGAATCCCAAACAGGACGAAACGCGCGTCAAACTGTATTCCACTGCTAGCCACTATCCATCATTGCTTACAAATAACTTGTGAATTAAGGTAATATCAAGGCAGTATGCCAATAACAGACTGATCAATTGCAGTCTTAAACCTCAATGGGAAGATATAAGCCAAACAATGCTAAGTGAATTTAATTGTCAAATGATATAAATAATACAAAATCAAAGAAATAAGTATTAAAAGAAAACAAAAACAAGTCAATTTACAATTTTATACATTTAATTACCTGATAAAGGAAATAGATAAGATTATGCAATATATTTCTAAACACACAATAATAATTGGGTTTAATTAGAATTTGATTACAATAGTAAATATTAATTGAATTTCAATTAAAAGTATAATTATTCATTCAGATTAAATAAACAATAAAATGGTGTTTTATAATAAGTAAGGTCAATATTAATGTTTATGTGAGAAGTAATCTATAAAAGAATTTCTCCTTATTTGATATGATATTTCAAAGTTATAGATTTTATATTTCAACAAAGTAAACAGTTTCCATTATTCAGCTCATTGTATTCACACACACATATATACACACAAACACTTTGAAAATGATTGGTTAAAAATTTATCAAGAATTAAGAGTATGCATTTCATCCTTTTTGATACTTGTCAGGTGAATGATGTAACCGTTGTACAAGGTAAAATCTACTTGAAGTCGATAGCTTAATATATAACTTGTTAGTGCTTTAACGGAAACATACCGGGTTCGAGCTTGAATGTGAACATCAATAATCGGATCCAGGGATATTCATTTGATGAGTCCTAACTAGGAGTACATAAGAATCCTGGTTTCTATTGCTAGCTATTATTTAACTTTCAAAAAAACTTGTAACTAAATTATAATATCGAGATAATCTACTAACGATGGATTATATGCCAAAGGAGATTGATCAATGGTACACGTTAACAATAATAACGGGAAAAATAAAAACAATAACCAAAGAAAATGGTCATCAAATTTGTAATTTTATTTTATTAATAAATAGATATGTAGTGTGCACTACTTAAGTCGACAAAAATAAGTAGTGTGTAGCAGAAATTGGAAGCTAATTCATTGTATGGTTTTCATATTTTACAAAGCTACTGTTTGATTTTGCATAAAACAATAAATTGGTTTTCCCCATCAAATCGCCATTCACTACAGATATACTGTAGATATTTATTTCGGTTTGATAAATTATCTAGAAATAATTTCATGTGTTACTAATAAAATATTACAATAAACGATTAGACCATAATTTACGGACGATTTTTGAGCAACGCAAAAGTGACCTTGAGAGTGTGTACCTACTTAATAGGGATAAATGAAGGTTATAAAGCAGTTTGATGAATAAAGACAATAATTTACAGTTGACGGTAAGGGTTAGGATTTGGATTTATGGTTTTCATCATGAGCCGACATCAGCTAAAATGCCAAGACGTTATTTGGACGACTTGGCCAGTGGACTTCGCGCCAAAACCCAAGACCTTTTATCCTAAATTTGCTTGGTTCGTCCATAAATCATAATTTCGCCCAATAAACTACCTGATTATACATGAAATCTATTTAAGTAGTATATTAACGACAACCAAACATTGAAAAGTATAAACATGATCAACAGTAATAAATACAGTAGTAAATAGAAATTTACAAAATCAAACACACCAACGTTGGTAATCATATAATAATAATGATAATAATTACCGTGCGATTCTCCGTTGAATACATACTGCTGCCAAACTCAGAAGAATGATATTGAATATAAAACAAATGACCAAAATGTAGTAATGTTCTATTTCAATGAAAAAAAAAAGAGACATGGTGTAGTTTTTACGAAAAAGATTATTAATAATTATAGATGATAAATATAAATGTTTTTTATACCCCAATAAGTAGAAAATGGTATTTCTGATGTTTCGTGACTTCATATAAGATATTTCTACAGAGTAAATAAACCACTGAATTAAATTAACACAATTGTACATAATAAAAAAGGAAACAATGCGAAATACTTTAATTACAATCATAATAGATTGGTTGTCTTATAAAAGGCTTAAAATGTGTAAATTTTGAAGATCTGTTGAAATATATAGATTATAGAGTTCAATTATAGAACTCAGTGAAAAGAGTAAACCACATTTTTTGTCACAATATATTGATCTGGTTACAAAATTAATATTGTTATAAGAAGAATGAAGAGAATATACAACCAAATTAATTTATCTAGTACAATGTTTTTCGTTACTATACGTCAAGATTAAGAATTGTATAATTTTTAGAGCATTACATACTTACGCCTGCTACTCCTCGTGGAGGAGCATTGACAGACCACCAACACACTCCATTCAACTCTGTCCTGGGCAATTTTTTCCAGATACTATTCATTCTTTTCATGTCTGCTTTCAATTCTCCGCGCAATGTGTCCTTCAGTCTTTCTCTTTTCCATTTACTCTCACCATTCCAAGTTAGCCACTGCTTCGTAATGCAGTTTGGTGACTTCCTCATAGTATGTTCTATCCACTTCCAACATCTTTTCCCAATTTCCCCTTTAGATGGAAGCTGGTTTGTCCTCTCTCACCGTAAGCTGTTGCTCTTGGTATCCGGTCAACGGACATTGAGTATCATGCGTAGACAACTGTTTATAACTACTTGCATCTTTTTGATAATGGTTGTAGCAGTTCTCCAAGTTTCAGCTTCATACAGTAGAACTGTTTTGACGTTCGTATTGAAGATTCTCACTTTGATGTTGGTTGACAGTTGTTATGAGTTCTATTTCCTATTGAACTGTAAGAATGCAGTCCTTGCCTTGCCAATCCTCACCTTTATGTCTGCATCAGATCTTCCTTGTTCATCGATGATGCGTGAAGGATTCCACATATTCCAGAGCTTCTCCGTCACGTGTGATTGTGTTGTATATGAGGATCTTGCTTCCTCCTTTGTGTATGTTGAAGCCTACTGATATAGAGGCTGTTTATACACTAGTTGACTTTATCTGCATTTGTTTGTGTGTATGGAATTGAGTAGCCAGGTCATCTGAGAAGTCCAAATCTTCTAATTGATTCCGAACTGTCCATTGTATTCCGTGTTACCTCTCAGATGTAGAGATTTTCATAATCCAGTCGACCACCAGAAGAAAGAGGAAGAAGGAGAACAGGCAACCTTGTCTGACCCCGGTTCTTACTTGAAATGCGTCTGTCAGTTGTCTTTCATGCACGACGTTGCAGTGTAGTCCATCGTATGGATTTCGTATGATGTTGACGATCTTCTCAGGTACAGCATAATGCAGACGACGTTTCCATAATGATCTATTCACACTGTCAAATGCTTTTTCATAATTAAGGAAGTTGATGTATGATGACGAGTTCCATTCAACTAATTGCTCAACAATGATGCGTAGTGTAGCGATTTGGTATGTGCACAACCGATCCTTACGAAATTCGATCTACTGATCTCGAAGCTGAATGTCTAGTAAATTTCTCATCCGGCACAACAACACTCTATTGAAAACGTCACATATATTTATTATGATTAAAGCCTACTCATATCGATGTGGATAGCTCTTTAATCAAGCAAGTATAATCTAAACAATTGAAAGTTACATTGTTACTTGGTAAAGGCTTACGTTACTGAGAAGTTTGAAAAAAAGATGTTTGCAAAACCGACAATCGTTAAGTAGCAGTGGGTTGTAATTAAAATAATCAAATAATCGCAATAACTCATACATAATGCTTTCAGAGACTAGACGGATATCAATGTACCGCATGCAATCGTATATGAATATGTAACCGAAGAAAGACAAATATATAAATTTTAATAACCCTAGTAGAATTACGCAACCGGTATTCGGAATATACACTCTTTCACGTCAATATATGGATGTTTGGTTGAATAATTCTTTGTTAGAATATTCATAAGTAATAAGATGAGTGTGGTAGAAGTTGAATATTTCGAATGCTATTAGGATATTAAAAATGCAAACATATTTATAAGAGTTATACTTTGAATACTTTTACAAACTATAATTTAATCAAACGCGATAGATATGGTTGGATTGAAATCGCCATCATAATCTGACAAATATTCGAACATAGAAGTATATGTTTGAATTTCATATCAACAAAAACCAATATCATTAATGGGCTTCTCTGATAAGAAACTTCAGATCAACAAGTATAAACGTCTAGACTAGCTAAATCTAGTCAGTTTATTTTGAACTACCAACAATAAAAGAAAGCTATGTAAGTCGAATAGTAGCTACTAGCTGATATAAAATGTGTTTTGAAGTAAAGAACCTTTATTGATGATATAAAAGATTTTGTCACAGCAATATAGAAAGTGAGAAGAACAGTTGATTCATTTGCATTATTTAATTGAATTTGCCTGTTAACGTTATGGACTGGAATTGATCAGTCTTTTATGGCCCGAATAGGATGAAACGCACTTCGCAGAATCCTCTGACAGCCACTATACAACGTTACTTATAAGATACTTCTAACCTGAAAAAAAATCAATATGATGCACATATTCCAAACGAGACTGATAGATTGCAGTCCATAACATCAACGGAAAGATTCAAGCAACCAATACAAATATATTAAAATTCATCCCGTTATACAAGCTAGTGGCTATCTGTACAAAGTAGCTAAGTAGCGTTTGAAGCGAAAGGTACTGAGTGAGTCCTAGTGTGAAAATCAACAATGGGCTGTAGGTACACATGGCTGACGAGTCTCAAATAAAGTGAAACATGCGTATTGGATTCCATTGCTAGCAGCTATTTCACTCTGTTCATAATAAAACAAAGTTTGTTTTAAATAATTACTTGAAAAAGTGATAAGGATGTCAATCTTTCAAATATATATATTAGAATAATGCAATTATTAACGAAATTTCAAATACTATTTGAAAAGAAACTCACTTTCTAAGAAATCCCAAGTGGAATGTACACTAGTGTCGAACACTTCGAAACGTTTAACAGAAGTCCATGAACCATTTCCAGCTAAAGAAACACTCATAATTTGAAATTCATAAACACCGGAACGCAGATCATATAATTGCACAGAAACATAACGATCAGTCACAGTATTTTGATTTGTTATAATAGGTAGGTTAATGGCATTTAAACATATTAAAGACCAAGTTCGTTCCTAGTATTGAAACAAAAAATAAAATTAATGAATAGATAAAACAAAATTCTGTAGAGAAAAAAGAAACCATTACTGATAAGAAAATCAAATTTATTTAAAAGTGTTTTTTAAGAATCGATTTAATTTGTAGTCAGTATTTATCACAGATCAATCTTGTTTAGAGATGTTCGGAGTGAAACAGTTATCATTAATAACATTCTATGATCGTCACAATATATCACAAATTGATTAACGTTGGAATTATATAATTGGAGATCGATTTGGTGATTTTAATGTTTAAGAATTCGCCATGCGATCTGAAGATCCTGAGTTTGTCCCTAAGTTATATGAAGAATGGGCATTAATGGGGAATCCCATACAAGGTCAAAACAGCCGTCCAACTTTCGTAGTTTACAGTGATACCATATATGAGAGCAACTAAATTTATTGAACACATAGTAGAAAAGTAATATGCTAACTTATACTACGAATTAAGCGTTAAATTAAAGTTTACAAGTGTATTCGACACTACTTTTCATTCATTTTAAAACGTAAGAAGCAAAAGTAGGGAACGTTTGTTTTTCATGACTTCAGTTTATCTTGAGAGTTGCCATAAAATTGTTTTCGAGATTGCGTAGAAAGTATGTAACTTTGGTGAAGTTTTGTTTTTGGAGCTGGATGGATTGGTTATTTACCGTTCACATTTAGTTATTTTGTAATCTGTTAGATTTCCGCTAATGTAGTTGAGAATTTGATGTGTGTATGAGTTGACTTCCGGTTTTCCTGTATTGGTTCTAGTGATCAATACATCCAGGAAAAATGATAATTAGATTAAAACCGTCAACATAGAGAACGAAACTCCACCAGAATAATTTTGCCGATTTGCGTACCAGCTCAAGAATGATAGTGATGATGATGCACTACTCATCAAAACGATGAGCTTAGAAGATATAAAACAAAAATAAACATACACGTGCCAAACCCTGTCTAAAGTATCTAGGTCATTGTGAAGTTTATCTTGTGTCCTGTTTCTAACTTATGTAACGCTACCACCGACCTATTCTCAGGTTTCTTCAGATCAACCAAGGATTTAAGAAAATTTTTCAAATATTGTTTGTGTTCCTTCAATCTACTATTCAACTATCTAGATGTTTCTTCCACTTAATCTGCATAACAATCACGACAATTGATCTCATAGACAACATTCTGTTGATCTTCTTTATCATTCACCAATGCTAATTTTGTGGTATCACTGGCACGAAAATACACTTACATTATGCTTTTTTAGAATCCTCTTAACTTTTTCCAATGTTTTTTACAGTATGGGATGACTACGGTGCTTTTCCATTAGTTCGGTGTACACTCTGATTTAGTATTTTTTTTCATTTGTAGAAATCCACCTTAAAAACTCTTTGAAGTGATTATTTGGTCTAAGTGTAGACAACATTAAATTCAGCCTGTTGGTCTTCTATCTTTGTAATGAAATAACAACTCCTTTCGCAGTAAACAGAACAGAAGTGGGGACAATCGAATGTATGTGACACAAACTTACAGAACTTGTTAATAAAATCAAACAATCATATAGTAAATGCTTAATTTGCAAAATGTCCATCAATTGTCTTAAGATGACTCAAACTTCATCGCTCTTGCATTTTCATACAAATTGCATTCTTTTTCCATTCTTTACTGTTCGATCCTCTTGTCTCTCTGCTGCCATACATTCTGTTCCTGACTAACGTCATATACTACTTATGTCAATATAAGTAACACACACCACACTGTTAATTAAATTATACTCATCTCCCAATATTTGCCAAAATAATTATCCAAATGTTGACGAATATTCTTATAAAACCACATCGTTTTTTTTCTACAAACGAGAACGTTCAAATCGTAATTTAAACTTCCTTCCGTAATGTGTTCTCCAGTAAAAATTAGAAGAGATAGAATACAGTATAATAAGGAGAGAAGGTGTACATGTGAAGATTAACCAAATATTAAAAACTTTGAAGAAAATTTTCAATATAATATCTGAATTATGGGAACTAATATGAGTAAATATTATCAATACTCGGAAGATTCATGATAGTATCTTTGTTTGTTATATGCGTTCAAAAATCAAGCCTAAAAAAAACCCACGAGCACGGTAAAAGTTTAGGAAAAAAAAGTAGCTAGACAGTCAATCAGTAGCGATTTAGAACCTGTATTAAATGTGAATCGGTTCAAATGACACAGTACAATAGCATAACTATATAAAATGATCAACATAAATATCAGATTAGTAGAAATTACAGCCTTATTAGTAGTAGAAAACATTAGATAAAATATGATTCGAGTAGAAGAGATGAACTCACGAAAAGAAAATGATAAAACAATTTTATATGTCAAGATCTAGTGAAATCAGAATGGGTTTTGTGGAGAGTTTAAGAAATTTCACAGGTTGAAATCATGAGTCAGTTGAAGCTAGACCACCATTGAAAACCTGGAAGCACTGGACGGCCGTTTCGTCCTGGTATGGGACTCCTCAGCAGTGCGCATCCACGATCCTGCACCACGCGGGGAAATATAAAGAGTGAATATTTATGCCAACAGTCAATAACTACAATGATCGATGGCATAAACTGACACAGTGGAATAGAATAATATGATTTCAATACGTGTATTAAGGATAGAATTAAATCAGTGATGAGTGTATACATTGAGAAGTCATGATATTTACTTTTTTTTTCTCTTGTAGATTGTTAAAAAAACTATTTCTGGGTGATAATCAGAAAAAAATCATTCAAAATTTTCTTTATTTGATCTATATCAGTATAAGGCTTACTTCATGATTGTCATCGTTGGATAAAATTGATGATGGCTTATTAGATATCGATTCTCCATCTAAACGTCTATATCGAATCCAATAATGCAATGTTAAACCATTAGGTTGTATTGGAGGCCTCCATCTTAATTGTTTAACTGATATTTTAGCAGGAGTAGAAGAAGAAGATAATTTTCCTATTTTAATATGATTAAATTGTGAATTATTGACAAAAGTGAAATTAAACATTTGATTACATAGATTTGATTCTTGTTTCATTGATGATGATAATAATGATTCAGATGATAGACAATTATTATTAATATCTGTAATAAGATTTTCATCAATTAACTGAATGGAATTAGAATCAATATCATCTACACCAACAGAAGCATCTGTACGTTGTTGAATAATACTTCGAGTACTGCACCATGGCATTTCCACAATAACATTGTAATTATTTTCATTGAAATAAGTTAAATTCTAAGAGGGTATAAAAAAAGGAAATTTTGTAATATTAATAATGATAATCTTTAGTTTTGAGAATGGAACAAATCCTTGAATAAACACAATGATTGAGAGGATAATTTATGATAAACTTTCATCAGTTACGTTACTACTAAACAATAAAAATTCATTTTTTATTGATTGTTTGAATCTTCCCATTGATGTTTAGGACTGAAATTGATCAGTCTCTTATTAGCATATATGCATCTTGTGCAGACTGCCTCAATATTGCCTTAAATCACAAACATTATAAGCAGAGATAGAAAGTGGCTGGCAATAGAGTTCAGGACGCGCGTTTCGTCCTAGTTGGGATTCGTTGGCTGGATGTACATGCATCCCAGAGCTGAAACTTATTCCGGGACTCCAACCCAGTACCGTTCGCTTCAAATACCATCGTGTGATCTACGTAGCTACTGGTTTCAAGTCCCGGAGTGAACATCAACTCTGGGATGTAGGTACATCCAACCAACGAATCCCAGATACGATGAAACGCGAGTCCTGAGTTCCACTGCTAGCCCCAATCCATATTTGCTTGAAGGAAAAAAAGTACTACAGTGACTATTAGGATGAAAAATTGTGAATCAATTGATTGTAAGCTGTATATTGGTTGATATTTTATGTGAATACAGTTTTCCTATGTTATCAAATCTAGAACTAGTTTCGTCTAGATACCAGTGAATAGTATTTGAAGGTGATTTGATTGACCTATGTAATTAAACAAAACTAAGCTAGTCAACTTAAATGCATCCACTATGAGATGCGTAACGTACTGAATGAAGTATGGCCGAGTTACAACATGGATTTATGCTTTAACTATTAAGTGTATAAATCAGCTTTCCGAAGTAATTCACTCGATCGTTTTTTAGATAAACTTATCTATGTTTTATCCAACCATTGATTATACGTATCATATATATCTCCAAAAGTCACAAACCAGCAAGTACACATTTAGAGTCCCATAACGATGATAGCTTTGAATATTGAAGAAAAACTGAAGTGGATTGTTAAGTTGATGATAATAATGAAGCATCGGTTATATGGAACAGCCATACTTCTATGAAAAATTCATTTTTCGGTTACTTGAATATCACAGAGACGATGGTATTATGTAATACCAATAACAAACTCGTGGTGCTTTGGCAGAAAACATTCCTATTATTATATTTATACTAGTATTTTTCTAATTCCAGAGGAATTTTAACGCTTAGTTGTGAATACTGAGTGATAGATCAGTATGTTTTCACGAAACATGTCGATAAATATATCAAACGTTGATCAAACGAACATTTGAAACTAGTTATCGACCATTAATGTTCAGTTAACTATACTCATAATATAGGTAAGTCAAAAATAAATAGCGCGGAAATGACTCGAACTCAGGTTGTCTTTTGTATACTACTAATCAAACATAAGAGATGAAGTTTGAATGTATAAACGATTTTTTGAGAGTATGGGATTTATTCTTTCCGTACAATCTGATGTTTCCTAGATTTTTCTCTTTGATTCTGGTTATAGTAAATATACTAAAAACGATGAGATAAAGGGATAAACTGTGGCAGATGATTTCAGTTTCACAAGTTCGAAATCATAATACTTACTACTAAGGAATCTTAAACACTAAGATGAAAAGACTGTCAATTGTTTTTTTTCAAATATTTTTCAACAGCTGCACATAGCTGTTGTTAGTTCGAGTGATGTAACAATTAATTTTTTTTGGTTATGTTGTGTTTCCTGGGATGAATAGTCTGATTGCAGAACTTTCATTCATCGCGCCTGATTCACATAAAGAAGTCACTTTTTTAAACGATTCATAATACAAATTTTATATAACACGTAAAGTGCAATGACCAAAACCAAATTACTGATAACAGTAATAATAGATGTGCTAAGGTAATTAGTGCATTTAGAAAACAATTACATTTGTATTCAATGGTTCCCCATTGGTATCATGCGGTGAATGACATGCTGATATAACAAATAAATATTCTGTATAATGATGCAATCCATCAACAGATACACCTATGATATTACTGTTAATTGATTCAGTATTCTCAACAGTACTTGAATTGGCACTGATTCGTAAATGACCATCCCATTTAAGTGGATAATGATCGTAATCACGCTGTTCCAATTTACTGAAGTGCAAAGCTGAAATTCAAACGGTATATATATCTTAAAATATATTAGAAATACGGAAAGACCGGAACAAACGATTATATTTGACAAAAAGATTAAATGAATGGTCAGAAACCCATACAACGTAGTGGGGTAATGGAATTTAGTTATATAGAGAATTTAGAACCGAGCATAATTTCGCATTTAGATCAAGTTGCTAGTATTTACATTATCATCACAACACAACAAGAGGTTTGAAAATTTGTTATCACGAAAGAAGTAGTGGTAGGAGTAGGAGTATAAAAGACGTTTGAAGAAATGAATGAATGAAAACTGGGAATGAAAAGCATGAAATAAAAAAAACGTAAAAAATCTAGAGAATGAATAAAATTATGGAGATTTGTAGCTCAGTTGGATGATTTTGATGGAGTTTTGTTCTTTGCGATGGATAGTCTGGTCGTGGAGCCTTAACTTCTACCTGACGTTTGTACTGATGATGTCGTTTAAAAGAACAGTGAGAGTTCCGCGTTCAGACTATCCAGTTAAGACAACAAAACTTCCAAGAGAATGAATAAGTGTACGCTAGCGCGATTTATCACCAAAGCCATACTACCTATGTTCTCCAACCAAAATACAGTTTAAAACTGGAGCTTCAAATATTTTCCAATAATCAGTTTAGTAACAAAGAGAAAGTGTGTATTGTAAATAATCATTCAGAAACTGAAACACGAAATGAGTTTAAAATTTTAATAATTGATGCTCGGTATTGCGACCCAGACATGTATCATTAGTACACAATATAATTAATGACGCACATCAACTATTTGTTTAGTTGAATATTCAGGAAATGCTGCTAGCGTTAGCAATCGTTTGAGTGTTTTATCGATATGTTTGTTAAAAGAAACCATAGTCAGTGTTTATTGAATAAATAATACTGTTGGATGTCACCTCAGTGATTTGAAGGATAAGTGTTCACTCGCGATACCGAAGGTCCTAATTTCGATTCCCGAATATAGGGTTATGGATATGTACTAGTGAGGAATTTCTTAATAGGACATAACAACCGTTCAGTTATTTAAAGTTTACGAAGCTGGTCAAAGCTAAGACTAGTTCAAGATTTAAACTATGAAACCTCTAGAACATCGACAAAGTCTTCGATATTAAAAATGATTACTAAGACTGATAACCTTTCGAAAAAATTGAACATTGACAAAAGAAATACTCTATCAAAATTTATTGAACATGCTAAAAAATTCAACTGAAAACTTACAATTAAAATCATCAATTCTTATTCTTCTTTTTCCACGAATTTTTACAGGTGATTTTCTAAGAAGGAAATAAATGTTAAGTATGAATTTTCAGAAATAAATACATCAGATCACAATCACACTAAGAAAGTGTGTGAATATTAGGCAAAAAAAACCCAGTGAAAACAAACATAATAGATAACACGAACACTCCTTAAAGAGAGAGAGAACAGCAAAAAGAATAAAGAGCAGAGAGTGAGCGAAATAAACAATGAACATGTGTTATAATATTTAATGACGAGTCATGGAAGTAACTACAGTCCTAAAACTAAAAGGACCAAGTGAAGAATGTTAAATTCTTCTATATAACACTGAAGGAAAGTAAGCTGATAAACTGGTATGAAGTCTTTTATAATTATTTTTAGATTGAATCCAACGTAGAATGATTTTAGGATTAGATTGATATATAAAGCACATGACTTAGAGACAACAGCAGATACAAAGGTTTCAATTACCAAAAACCTGAAAGCTGCATGTGTATTACAGTCTTAATAGCATTACTGAACAGCTGTAGGATGGTACATAAAGGAGTGGTACTCAGTATACTCTCCTCTTAATGGTTTACTAGATTGACTATAGTGTTTATAGCTGGTTTAAATCAATAAGTATGATCTGAGTCATGTGTATATCCTAAATTTTATTCGTAGATCAATTGATCGTGGCAGATTACACTCCTCACATCAGTAGAAAAACTACCATATTTAGCTGATATATACCAGTCATACATTGCTATCTTACATTTGGCAATTACTCACGATGCTCACATCCTGTATGTCATTTGTGAACACTGTCTACGTTAAATGGTCTACGAAACAGGGAATTAACCATAGAAATATAGAAGGAAGAAAGTTTTACCGTTTACAAGTAAATCTTTGGTGAAGCTGAAGAAGTAAGGGGATATAGCACGTCCTCGAAAGGTACCATAATTATTAGAATGATAGAATTTAAATAAAAGGTAATAGAGTAAACTTTGCTGTTCGGTAGCTTCAAATAGACAGTTTGTAAAATAGATTAGTAACATGAATAAAAGTCAACACAAAAGTTCAATGGATAAACTTACATTCTCGGAAATAATAGTAAATTTTGCAAAGAATCTTCAAAACGAATCATATCAAGGCGTTCAACTCTCGTTGTTTTCTCATAATCCCCATTATAATGATCAGTTATATCAATTTTTCTATTAAATATGCTACTTTGACGTGTATTTCTATCCTTATCCGTATTCGACAGATGCACTGATGGATTAAAACAAAATGCAGCACAACTAGTGCATGAACATATTCCTTTGATAGTTTTAGAAACACCTTCATGTGAATTTGAATTTTGATTATTTTGTACAATGTTTCCATGTGTAGTAGTTGATGAACCGATTAAGTGAGATGAACGACCTAAAAAAACAATTAACATGCGATAACAATTAAAAATAACTCCACCTGTAGCTCTTTTAGAGTTACTGCCGGTCCATCAGACTCATACATAATTATACATAGTGGATTAAATGTCTAAATCACAGCAAGTAGACAAATAATAAAATAGGTCAACGAGCTTACTACGAAACAATCATTTGAGTGGAAATCGCCATCATACATCAATTTCCTTAATTATGAAAAAGCATTTGACAGTGTGAATAGATCATTATGGAAACGTCGTCTGCATTATGATGTACCTGAGAAGATCGTCAACATCATACGAAATCCATACGATGGACTACACTGCAACGTCGTGCATGAAAGACAACAGACAGATGCATTCCAAGTAAGAACCGGGGTTAGACAAGGCTGCCTGTTCTCCTTCTTCCTCTTTCTTCTGGTGGTCGACTGAATTAAGAAAATCTCTACATCTGAGAGGTAACACGGAATACAATGGACAGCTCGGAATCAATTAGACGATTTGGACTTCCCAGATGACCTTTTCTACTCTATTCCATACACACAAACAAATGCAGATGAAGACAACTAGTGTATAAGCAGCCTCTATATCAGTAGGCTTCAATATACACAAAGGAGGAAGCAAGATCTTCATATACAACACAATGAGCACCAACACAATAACACGTGACGGAGAAGCTCTGGAATATGTGGAATCCTTCACGCATCATCGATGAACAAGGAAGATCCGATGCAGACATAAAGGTGAGGATTGGCAAGGCAAGGACTGCATTCTTACAGTTCAATAACAAATGGAACTCGAAACAACTGTCAACCAACATCAAAGTGGGAATCTTCAATAAGAACGTCAAGACAGTTCTACTGTATGAAGCTGAAACTTGGAGAACTGCTACAACCATTATCAAAAAGATGCAAGTAGTTATAAACAGTTGTGTACGCATGATACTCAATGTCCGTTGACCGGATACCATGAGCAACAGCTTACGGTGAGAGAGGACAAACCATCTTCCATCCAAAGGGGAATTTAAGAAAAGATGTTGGAAGTGGATAGAACATACTATGAGGAAATCACCAAACTGCATTACGAAGCAATGGCTAACTTGGAATGGTGAGAGTAGACGGAAAAGAGGAAGACTGAAGAACACATTGGGCCGAGAATTGGAAGCAGACATGAAAAAAATGAATAGTAACTGGAAAGAATTGCCCAGGACAGAGTTGAATGGAGTGCGTTGGTGGTCTGTCTGTCTGTCCACGAGGAGTAGCAGGCGTAAGAAACAATTGAACATATATCTGATATTTTGACTATAACTAACTTTGTTTACCAAATAAACATACGATTCCTATATAAGGACTTATCTAGATTGTAGAATTTTAATAGGTTAAGCCACGAATTGTTCATAGCTAAACTACCAATACAAATCTGGAAGTACTGGTACGCCGCTTCATCCTAGTGTGTAACTCCTCAGCAACGCGGATCCATAATCAAAAAGCTGAAAACAGAATCTATGAACTTCGGTCTCACAATTGGATGCAAACATGTAAACCAGACCATTGAGACAGTATCCGATGGTGAACAAGTCTAACTTAAATTAATCCACGATATTGCGCAACCATCCTACATTGTCTTTGGTGGGTATCTTTCGCATTTCCGACACAGATAAGCTCGACTGGTCACGGTTCCTTCATGAGACTCTGGAGATTTCCTCTCAACGTTGGTCACTAGTGAGCACATAGGATAGTAAGAATTTCACGGAGTTTAGTGTGGAGCCGTAACCAACGGGTAGTGCAAACGTTTTTTAAAAAATATACTTTCACTCTCAATCTATTGAACTCCTCTTCTGACAAATATCTTATAGTTGATTCGGAATGTACAAACGACGCTTAGAATAAAGCGAAAGCAAGATGGCCTTCAAACATAAGCTGACGATATAAAAATAACTTGACTACATCCAAGTTAGGTTAATGGATTCTGTTGGCTAATGTAAGCCAGAGACATTTTGACATAAGACTATTGAAGTCCATTTGGGACTTAAGATAGAAGTAAGCTGTGTTATATTTCATGACTGTTGGACACACCTACTAATGATTTGCGAAGAATTCAAGTTCAGAATCATAATTGTCTAAAAAAGCTTCTAATGATCGTGGTTACACAAATCTTGAACAATAAGTTTGTGGATCCATGTGAACGAAAAGGACTATTATATTTGTCACATATGTGCAAAACATCCCAGCTATGGAAGTGTCGAAAAAATAATCTAGGACAAAAAACTCAAGAATGGTTATACATCAAGACATATCATTTAAGTCATAAAGAAATTTTATGCTAAAATGTGAAAAATGAAAGACTTTTGGCTTTGACACAAAATGTGATGGATATTGGTAGTTGCAAATGTTGAATAATATTACCGAAAATAGGCTACAACTGTAAGAGAAAGAGAGATTTCCTCATCCCCTTCTACTGCCAAATCCTTTAGGCTCACTGTTCAATAATTCGTTCCTTCTGATTACTTTTATGTAGTAGTATTTGTAAATATAGTAATTAGAATCAATATTTTATCGCTTTAAATTCGAAGATTTCTCTCTTCCTTTCAGATGAAATAACCGGAAGATACAGGATTTAAGGATATATTGTTCAAAAATGAAAATAACCATTATTCATGATTGACTGGACTTTAGAAATTTGAAAGTTAATGTTTTGAAAAGTCAATTACTGCGATCCATTTCACCAATAAGCCTATAAACACTATACACTAATAAGCATGAAGATGTATTATACACCGTTTACTTAGGAAGTCAGTAACAAACTTCTTACACCGTAATAGTGTTTAAGATAAAGTCAATTTTAAGTAGTGCAAAGTATATAAAACTAAAGTAGGTATTAATATAAACAAATTATTTTAAAGAAATATTGATTCAATTTACCATCTGTACAAGAAATATCATTATCAAAGGATGAAATATTTACAAATAAACGTCTATACCAAAGATAATATTCTACAATTTGACCGTTTGGATTATCTGGAGCATTCCAATACAATTGTATTTTATTTGAATTTAATGAAAAAGCATGAAAATCAATTGGACTGCTAGGTTCTATGAAATGAATAAAAATAAAAACGATTAGGTGAAACATTTATTAAGTCTCTTACAATTGAAATCATCAAGTTATTTTATATAGAAGAAAGGAAAAAACTAACGAATGTAGTACAACTTGAAGACTATTAAGATAATAATTTAACAAAGCTTTACCATGATGATAAAGCGTGTTATGAGGAGGAGCTAACTTAGTATTGAAATTAAAACACGAATTTCAGCGAAGGAATCTCTTTTCAACGAATTTATTATCAAGCTGTACAATCGTATATATATGAAAATTTTATTTTTGTAAAAGTGTGAACACAGTTAATAAAAAAGGGTTATAATACTAGATTACGTACTATGAATAATAACAATAACAATAGATTTAGTGATTATAATAAGATGATTAAAATGTTTTTGTCATAATAATTAAAGGTGATAGAGGTGTAAAAAATAAAGTGATATGATGAGCGTTCATGAATAAAACAATGAGAATATAAGACATAAGTAAAGGGGAGAATGCAGTAATAATAATAATAATAATAATAATAATAATAATAATAATAATAATAATAATAATAATAATAATAATAATTGGATAATCGAAATACTTAAGTCCAAGGTAACGATAAGACGTACTTCTTTTGTACGTATAGTTCTGGTTTAAGCTCCTGGATGATAAGAGCTTCGGCTATTTTTAAAAGTTGGGTGCGAAGAAATCTGGGTAGATTTGAACGAATCATATAAACAACCTTAAATTTATTTCTTGGATCTGTGGAATGGTTACAGTCGATTAGGTGTTCAAGTATAGAAGTCCTAACTGATTTCCTTTCCCCCTTATAGAACCAAGCTGAAATATGTTCCCGTATCCGAGTTGATAGCGAGCGCTGGCTACGGCCAATGTACCTTGCTCCACAAGAGCATGTGAATTGATAGATGCACATAGAGGCGACCAGATGCGGAAGCTTGTCTTTTATGGACACGGAAAATAAGTTCCTACTCGTGAAGTTTATTCGCAATTTAGCTGCATTAAATGTTCTTCTAATAGTTGTTGTTAGACGATTTTTGATTACTTCTGATGTTCGATCACCTTTAAATTCCAGACTTATATAAAGGTTTTTCTTCGTAACGTAGCAACTAGGTTTCTTATCACAACTACTTCTATTCATATTCTTTTCTATGAACCGTTTTGGGTAGCCATTTTCCGTCAGGGTTTTCTTGAGGAATTCAAGTTCTTCGTTAATGCATTCCTTACTGCATATCTGACGTATTCGATAACATAAAGAGTGGATGAGATTTCACTTTCTACTTAACGGAACCCAGCTATAGAAGTTAGTTAGCTGTGTTTTAATTTTAATGTTTAAATGGGAATTATCTGTCAAACTTAGTATTGATTTATACATATGCTTAAAACATAAAAACGGATCATAGTATAAACGACCGTGGAAAGTGGATTGAATAAAAAATTGTCAACTTTTTTTAAAAATCAAGTCTACCAATGAAGGAGCGACTGTACAATGCAGCAGTACACTGTGTGTCATTTACAGCTGTCATAAGCGGTTTTTCAAAGTAGAGTGTAGTCCTAGGTCACTAGTACTCCATCATAGATGTTTTAAAGCATTGTTCGCGTATGTTGAGATCACCGAGTGAAAAACGTTGAAGTTAGATGCAGGAGATCAGCCAAAGTTGTAAAATCGATTGATGAGACTATCACTCTCGATAAATTAAGTAAGATGGGACATTTGCTACATATTTCTAACAGCTACCCGCCTTCATGAGTAATGTTGCTTAGTGTGTTAGTATGAATAGGTTCGAAGAAAATTGAGGGAGGTCAATCTAAAAAGTGGCATCAGTCCACAGTATTATTAAACTGAGGGATATTGGTAAATGTCTGCTATCTAGTTTATGTCAGAATGATTATCATAACCAATAATTGAACAAGTTGAGTGATATGACATAAAAAAATGCTTATTTACTATCCAACTATCAGTTGGTTAAAGGATTGATTCCTTTTCAACGAGGTAAGCATATTTTGGTTGATGAATTAATTGTTCAGTAACTTCATGAGCATGTTTAAATTTCTGAATAATTTTTTTTGTTTCATCAATCGAAAAATAGTTCATTTATAAATGCAAATGCTCCAATTTTCCTGTTATCGATATTAAGGACGGCATTTGATCAGACTTAACAGCTCAATGGATAGCTCATTGATACTGGAAGTGAAAAATACAGAATTCGAGTCTCAATATGAAAATCAATACTAGGACGTGACAAGCATGTACAATGACGAGTTTCAAATAGGAAGAAAGATGAGACGCGAATTTCCTTGTTAGCTATAATACAAATTTATTAACTGTTCATATAGCATTAAATGAGGGAAGTGAAACTGATTAGTTATTATAAAGTGTAAACAGGTAGGTAAGATACCAATAACTGATAGAAAGGAAAATTTGGACCAAAAGACAGGTTTCATGACTTGAATAACGAAGTATTCTGACTAACAATTAATAACGCCATTTATCATAAATGCACAAAAATTACTACGTAATCTTAAATAATTACAAATATGAATAAATTTTCATCTACTTACTGTCTTGTTTTGTTTGAAAGGTAAATACTTGACTAACTGCTCCCTCTGAATTAAACATTGTACGTATTTCAACATAGGCTTGATAACGTTGTGCCGGATTCAAATAATTTACTTCACATTGAAGTTTTAAACTGTTAGGTTGTATTTCATGAATTAAATACGAATTTCTCGTAGGTTCTATTATTTTTTGACATTTGGGTTCATGTATATGCCAACTATAGATTTAAGAAAAATAAAGAGATCAATGGCTATCTCTACAACATAGTCACAATAAAATAAAATTAAAACAATCTGAAAGTTACACAAATAACGAAAACAATTCAAAATATTAATAAAAACTCCACTATATCAAAGTAATTAAATAACAGAAGTAGTCAAGAAGTTCGTGTATCTAGGTAGCTGCATAAGTGCTGGTGGTGGCATGGGTGATGAGATCAATGCACGTATGGTAAAAGCCAGAGCGACTTATGCCAATCTGAGCCATTATTGGCGCATTCGTGATGTTAGTCTGGCTGTAAAAGGTCGGATCTACAACGTGTCGGTGAGAGCAGTTTTGCTCTATGCTTGTGAAATCTGACCTCTCAGAGTTGAGGATGTTAGACGACTATCTATGTCTGACCATCGTTGTCTCCGAAGAATTGCTGACATTCAGTGGCAACACCATGTTAGTAATGCAGAGGTTTGGCATCGTGTTTTGGACGCAGAGGCGATAGTTCAATTGGCGTCACCATCTTGAAACACCGACTTCGGTGGCTTGGACATGTTCTACGAATATGGTCCCAGAGAATTTCACGTTGTGCATTATTTGCCGACTCTGAAACTGGTTGGAAAAAGCGGAGAGGTGGTCAGTGTATGACATGGTGTCGTGGGATGAAAGAAAGCTGCAAAGGACTGGCTTCTGTTGGTCCTTTACGACTCCCTGGTTAGGGTCCTAGTGATGGTGCAACACAGTGGCTAGAGATGTCATCAGATATGACTCAGAATAGAAACCAGTGGCGATCCTGCTGTAACCTTCTTTTGCTTTCTTCATAAAAAGTGGCTGTAAGCTATTTAACTGAAAAAATTCTTTCCGGTTGTACCTTTCTGTTTCTTCCATTATTATTTCCCTACAATACACTAATTTTTGGTCGTTACTGTTCTTTTCCACGCACCTTACATTCTTAATCTTTTCCTATTCTCATTGTTATTGTGTGGAGCATATGTATCTGATGCCCCCCCTGTACCAATATTTATGTGTCCAAATAAATAAATAAATCTGCTAACCCTAACAAGTTTTATTGTTGTGAATGCCACTCATGTCGCTACTGGCTTTTATTCTAAGTGATGTCACTGTGTTGCATCATCTCACAGACTACAACCAGAGGTCCGGAAGGACTGACAGATGCCAGTCCAGTATAGGTTTACTTCATATCATGGTACCATATCATAAAAATGACCAACTCTCCGTTTTTTCAATCCAGTCTCAGTGGCGGCAAATAATGCACGGTGTGGACTTCCCTGTGGCAGCATTCGTAGTACATAACAAAGTCTTCAAGGTCGATGTTTCCAGGTAGTCACACCAATTGAATTATTGTTGCTGTGTTTGGACACATGTTGCTGAACCTTCGGATAACTGACAGTGCTACTACTGAACATCAGCAACCTTCTGTAGACAACAGTGGTCAAACATATAGTCACATAACATTCCCAACTCGGAGGTCAGGTTTTGTGGACATAATGAGACATTGCCTTCAACAATGCCTTGTAAACACAACTTTTTATAGCCAGACTAACATCATAAAGGTACTAAAGATGGCTCAAACTGGCATAAGTTGCTCTACATTTCACTAGACGTAGATTGATTTTATAACTTACATCAACACTACGGCCACTTACATAAACGCCCAAATATGCAAACGTTTCTACTACTTCTAATTGTTCACTGAATTATATATAAAACACACAAATTGTAATATATTCGTCTCTCATTTTTCAAAGGATAAGGGATAGAAATATGTAAACAGATTCAGTGTTCCGATTAGAGTTTTCCAGTATTAAGCATCGTGCAATAGTCTGCAAACCTTTTACAATGACAAATAAGTACATATATTTGGTAATTACTCAGTTAGAGCATATATATATGGCAGCCACTTGAAGATAAACCATTGTGAAGAGTACACATTTCAAGATTTCTTTGGTGAATTTTATCAAGCAAAGTAGAAAATCAAATTGCACAGTTGAAAAACACAGGACTTTAAGGGTAGTATTTACTTCAAATAATCACATCACATCATTGTAGGTGTCATTACCAAGGTTTGATTTGATAATTTCGAATAAACTGAGCATTGGGTTCATTGTTATAAATAAAAATAATATATTTGTAATATCCCAATGAGTAGAAAATTGGATCTTCTGACGTTTTGTGACTTAGTGTAAGTCACTTCTTCAGAGAATAAATAACCAAATTAAAATTAATCCAAGTTTAAACTTAGACTGAAGAAGTGACTTACACTAAGTCACGAAACGTCAGAAGATCCAATTTTCTACTCATTGAGATATTACAAATATATTATTTTTATTTACATCATATCATTATTATTATTGATTCAATGATTTTATTTATTTACAATCGTTTTTTTTCTTCTCTCAACAGGTTACTTTTCTTGGAATAAGATCTCGTACATTATCATCTAAATCTATTAATTTGTGATTAACGCTGATTAATTTTGTATTGAAACTTTGTGAATATGATGAAAAATCAATGATATTGATCATATGAATGAATGAAATCATTAAAATTTTCACAACAAAATAGATGATGTAAGGATAGAAGCAGAGTTTTCATGTTTTGTATTGATCATGATTATATGATGTACACATAATTGTACACAAGAAGATCAATATAAATATACTGAGAAGAGTTTGGAATAATCTAAACTTAATATGGTTATGTAAATTATCAAGTTTGATAAACTTATCAGCTAAAATGTCCAGTAATTAAATAACTGTTTATGTTTAGTAGTTAAAACACTCGCTTTCAACCATAGGGTTTCAGGCTCGACCTGTAAGCAACTGATGTGTGACAGTGATTCATCCTAAACGAATTCTCATGAATATCATTTACACGAAAATCTAGTTTCAGATATTTTTTAAATACTGAGATGATTATTTACTAAACACAAATATTAGTACAAGGAGGCATCAAATATATATGCACCACACTTCGTCATTCAGTTTATGTATGCGATGGATACTACTCGGACGACCGAACCGAAGCAGTTGGTTTTCTTGGGAGGTCACTTCCCGAGCCCTTGACCTATAGGTCTCATCAATAACACAGTGGAGTAACGTTAGTAGATGAAGTCTCATAGTAGCCCGGGGCCAACAATAGGTTCATACGCCAATCGTTCTCACAGGATCATGGAGCCCATTTGCACTATTAGTTTGAAATCAGAACTTTCCCACTCCCCTAGGTGGATCCTCTATATCCACCAACTTGGTTGAAGCGCCAGAAATTCGCTTTTCGTCCTCTCAATTTCCTAAACAAAGGCCCTACCGCAAGAAGGCAGTGAGTAGGATTTCTCTGGCAGTGGCTGTATACACGTGGTTATGTGAAAGCATTTCGAGAGGTAGAGCGAACTCTCCCCGGCCTCGGGCGTACCTGATCATTTGGTGACGTTAATACTAAATCATTCAAAGAGACTTATTAAACTGTTTTGAAGACGTCTAATACAATAGCAAAACAAAAGTCTTTATAGTTAGTCTAGGTTGTCAACTTCATAAATAGGTAATAGATGAAGAAGTATTGGAAACTAAGAAACACTGAGCCAACTTTTCAAGTAAATCGGAGACTGACGAGTACAATTACAATCTCATAGTAACATACTTTCATACTATTGAACAGGATCTAGTAGTTCACAGTTTTAAATCTGGTCAATCTCTAACATATGGCTTCATGCTTTTAATATGTTTGATTTCGTGAATAGTTATCTGTGCGCAAATTTTCAAGAGATGGGGCACACAATCGAAAAATTCATACACCTAATGTTGTTGGTTTACGATGATTTCCCAGTAGGTATTAATTCGTAACAACCATTTTCATAATTTAATCTGTAATGGTTTCTATTGTCCAGTTATCAATAGTTGGACTAGATTTTAATCAGTCTTAGTTACGATGTGTACATCCTGTATGGATTACCTCTATGCAGACTTTATATTACAAATAGGATGAAATTCACGACCTGGATTCTGCTTCTAGCCATATGACATCTAGTTAAGATCTTCACAGTATAAGAAACCCCACAAAACACTTGGATTGGATAATTTAATGTAAACTATATCAGTTGAGACATAATAATTTATGTAACCGCTTTAAAAATGTGCACGATGAATGTTGTATTATAGATACTGTTTAATTTTAGTATATTAGAATTCAAGAAGACTATGCAAGTTTTATAATGTGATTACTTAATAATTTCTTAGAGGCCACCGTCAAATGAAATAATAAGTATTTTCTGTATGGTACAATTTATTACTGACTTCGCCTGTAGCTCTTCTAGAGTTACTGCCAATCCCAAGCCCGGATAAAGGAGGAGGGTTGGGCATGGGGTCGGCAACCCCATCCCGTAGTAAAAATCTTGCTAAAAAAACGCCAACATGACTAAACAAACTCTGCCCTGGGAGTCGAAGGAAGAATTATGACGCATCAGGATGAAAGCTGAGATTCTTCGGAAGTCACAAGGCCGATTCTCCTTCTATCAGCCAGAGTAACAATTTTTATAGGTACAATTTATTACCGGTGACAATTTTCTTTATCATTTCAATAATTTATTTGGTATAAGAAATATTTTAAGTAGCTTTTTTTATCAGAGGAGATTTGTTGAGTGGTTTTAAGGGAAACTTTTAAGCATTATATGAATGCACTTGTGTGTGTGCAGGGATGTGTACAAGCAATTCCGTAATATTGGTGTAATTTTGTTGTTTTCTTTTACAAAAAAAGGGTTAAACAGGTCAAGGTTCAATTAATGTAAGAAGAAAACCATAGACAGGTAAACTTACGATTTATCACAGATTGTTTCAATGTTTGATTCCGGTTCATCCAGTCCACTGGTAAAAAATAAGACACAGAAAAAGAAGCAGAAGTTCAAATATGAAAAAAAATTATTACGTTTCGTTTAAATGATGCTTTACCATCATCTGTTTGGTATTATCTACAAAAGAAAATTGAAAATACCAGGAGAAATAGTTGGGACTAGTCGATATCAGATACAATGAAAGTGACAATAATTATTATTGATGTTATAGAAAGCCATTCGTTGTGTCAATTTGCAAACTGATCAGTGTAGGAAATGTGGACGTAATGGAATGTAAGATGTTCATCTCAACTTCCCAACTGGAAATGAATATGATTTTCTAAGTATGTTCTAACTTTGAATGATTCTTTAATGGAGATGTCAGTTCATTGAAAAAACCTAATGCAAATGATTACTTCTTTTAAAATAATAATTTAATACACGTATGTTGTAACCGTGCCTAACGATAATGTGATTACAGTAACATAAATAAATGTTGATTTAAAAAACTATAAAAATTATAGATGAGCATAATTACAATAACTTTCATATGTTGATTACATAACAACCCAAACATTACATTTATAATTTGTAATCCTCGTCTGACTAAACAGAACTAGTAAGTGAGATTTAGATGGTGGTTGGAGGTAGTCAACAGGAAACCCTGGACCCGGATTTCGTGCTACTTGGCACTCGTCAGCAAGGTGTACCTGTAATCTTGAGGGAACTGGTGCTCCCTGGCGGATTCGATCTCGTGTCACCCAGCTTCACAATCAGAGACGTTACCACTGAGCTATCCGAGCCGTGACTAACCACCTGTAGGACTGAGATGTAATCACAATTGATTGATCACTGGGTGGTGATCAATGTAATGCTTGTCTAGTCCTTATTAGTGCAGATCGAATGCTATCGATCATGTAAGTAAATAAAGTATGTAAGCCTTTTTTTAAAGTTTGTGTTATGAGCGGCGTCCGATATCGGATACTGAAGCACAACCTGTTACATACTATAGATATATATACATCTGCTCTAGTGGTAATGTGATTGTGGTTATCTGTTGCATTATCGCATTATAGTAGTAAAACGTGGAAAAGAGAAAATAAATTTTATTCATTTGTTATATTACGTTCATTGATACCTGTTTCGCTAAGCTGTGAATATGAAAACAACTAATTGATTAGATAAATGTCATTACTTTATTTGAATGAGTATTTTATTTCTTAAACATGCAATAAACATGCTTATGATATAACTAATAAGGATAATAAACTTGAAATACATAATAACTAAGTACTAAGTAGCTTTTGTAAGAGAATAAAATGAACAGGAATTTATGGCTTACATATATCTATAGTAAACAGTTGTAGGCAGCACTTGACGAAAGTCATTCCAAGCTGGGGTATTGGTAATAGTAAATGATACAGAACGTTGATGAACATAATTTATAGACAAATTAAGTCTATGAGTTCGACCTTAGGTAATGAAAATAATAATAATAGCGATGATAATGGTAATAATAATATCTAAAGTATGGAAACAACTATCAGATAAAATGTAAATTTTAGAAATACAGTAAGATACACGGTAACGACATAACGGTTAAAATAAAAATTTTAACTTTTGGGTGGAAGGTTCAAATCTCCGACCAACATCGTACGATTTTTGAGCAGTGAGTAAGTATTACTAACGCTTATCTCAAAAACGTCAACTTACCCAACTAATTCACTCCTAATGATAAGCTTGAGTGTCGATTTAATATGATCTTGAAGCAATATGTTATGTTTAAAAGGAGATATATGAATTTCAAAAACTCTTCAATTATTGATGAAGGTGATCAGAAGATCCTAGCATTTATCTAAATCTTCCCCAAACAAATATATGTTATCTACACAATCTAAATTAACTAGTGAATTACTAAAAATAAGATCAATTCTATAGAGTTAAATGTAATTTCTAAAATAATGTAAATGATTAGTTTAAAACAAAAGTGAGCAGTAGACAATCCTGAAGAATACCAATTGAAGTACTTAGATTCAGATGATAGTTCTTCATAAGCTCTGGTTCGAAAAAGTGGTAGAAAAAATAGACTTCACAAGGTCCATATACTCCTAGAGCCAGTGTTCAACAACAAGGTCTCTGACAGTCTGAAACAGCTAAACAAATTTGTTAACTCAATAACTGTTTATTCCTCTGTTCAATATGACATAACATATATTTCCAGTTATTTCGTAAATGCATCCACAATAATCAAATACATTTGTTCTTGTATTGAACTAGGCTTAGACCACGGCTGTGGTTTACGCTTCAGAGGTTTGTTTGCCTACAGCTTGAATTCGCCTGAAGACGATCACATCTGAACACAATTACTCGGTAAACCAGAACATCCCTCCAGTATTGCTTTATATGAATTGACGAGTAAATACCAGATAACACTAAGTCTAAAACTTGATACACCGATATTCAAAAACACCAGTCGTTACCCGCAGCTCTTATTGCAGATTTCCTTGTGTTGGAACGTTGTTACTCTTTTCGCTTCACTACGCGAACATGGGGGCGTGTGGGCATCCGAAGTTTTACTGTTGGGGAAAAAGTTTTTAAGTCATACCACGAGAGGAATTGATGGGGACTTTAGACTAAAGCGTATATTATTACTTTTCGTTTTTTCTTTACGATTCGGGGCTTAACTGCAGAAGAATTTTATAAATCTAGGGCGCGAGTGGAAGACTTATCATCCTAACAGTTTGTGGGTAATCTTGACAGTTTGGAAACCTTTGGACCTGTGCCAAATTTGATAAGAGAATAAGTAACAATCTAGTCAGAATGTGACATAATTCACCATTTTAAAGCTTCTAGAGTGTTGATATTGAATACTGACTGGATGGAATGTTCTCTGATATTTCTATGGCTTCTGAAGACTTCTCAAAGAATTTTCAGAGATCCTAATAAATATGGTGGAGAAGATTGAGTTGATATCCACATATATGCCAGGTCATATGTTGTTTATTACTGAGTAACTTATTTCACACGTATCAACGTCTGTTGTATTCTTAAGTTATGAATTACGTGTTTACGCGTATTGATAAAATTTAGTCGGACTACACTTTGAACTGAAATTATTTTCTATGAATGTAATAGTGTTATACTGAGTATCATTTGCATAGTATTATACTCTACGTACTTTTAAACATAAGTTATTGTAGCTTCAGTTTTACAACAATATCATCACATAAAAAAACATCACAAATTAGGAGTACCTATCACACTTTTATGCTAAAAGAAAACTTACACAATCCAATAGCCCCATTTGATTTGTCAATTAAATCAGACTCCAAATTCGATAAATTACGTGACAAGTTAACATTAGAGTGAATAAATGTTTTTACATTTTTTGGACATAAATTACGATTTAAAGTAAACACTACTCGTCCGCGTTTAATAATTAAATTTGTAGTAACTGGAATCCATAAACTTTTCAGTTGACTATTCCAAGCAATTTCTAAGACAGTTCTATACATGTCAAGTGAAAAATTAAAAAGTAACATAATAAAAGGGAGCATGTATTTTTATACAGTAGAAGCCTATATATATATATATATATATATATATATATATATATATATATATATATATATATATATATATATGCATCCATCTGTTGGACACTAACTCAATGGTCTAGGGTTTGATAGTTTGCGCACGAGACCGAAGGTCCAGGGTTCGAGTTCTGTGTGAGGGATCGTGGATGCGTGATTTTAAGGAGTCTCATACTAGGACAAAACGGCCGCCCCGTGCTTCCAGTTTTCTAGTGGTGGTCTAACTTAGATAGGCCTATAATTTCAATGAAAATAAGATTCCTTGCTTGTAGAGCCCATACATATGAGCATATAAATTATGGAAGAAAACGTTTGTGCACAGCATTGTCACCAAACAATGCTTCAAATCTAAGCTGTCCAACTACAGGATGGTTGATTTAAATATCAGCAGTTTTTAATTTTTTCCTGCTTAATTATAGTTACTTCCATTGTCATACAATGAGAAACGGAACGTGTCAATGATTTAAATATCACTGATATACACGAACAACAGTCGATAAATGAAAGTAAAGGGGTGAGATATGAAGTTCTGAAAATATTTCTATTAGTAAGACGACCATCTTTAAATGCCACACTGTCATAATTGAAAAGAGTATTTCGTCAGATCCAGTTTTTAGATACAGTACAAAATGTACAACAAAGTTACGTGCAAACAACTCAACAAAAAACCGATGATATTCTAAGATGTAAGAGATTCATTGTTTAAAGTGTTTGCATGAACATTATAAATGACTAGCATACATGATTTAGGTCAACACACCTATGTTGTATATCTGACTAACCCTGACTAAGGGAGGAGTTCGACAAAGGGTGAAAAATGCATGGAAGCAATAGACAAGCTCAGTTTATACTGTAAGGTAGAAACATAAGGCAAACTACTCCAACGTAATATGCTGAAAATTAAAATTATGTGGATTTTCGATCTTACATCATTTTGTTTGCTACCTGTTTTATTATTCCACAAGTACCAAGTTAATTCATTTCGACGACCTTGTTTGTAAATGATTATCTACACAGTCTTTTTCATTTTTATTAATCATTTGCACTCTGATTAAATGTCTTTGTTAGACTGACTTCGGGTCGTTTAACACACTGATTTTGTACGTGTAGGTTGATAAATTTGTTATTTTTCGATAAGACTGATCTGAATACCATGTTGCTAGTAAGTTGAAATAAGCACTCAATATGTCCAATGAATGAAAGCTTCGTAAATAAACCACTAAGAACAGAAAACGCGTCACTGGAAAAAAAACCCACCAAACCTACATTAGTAGATATAGCTAGTCTTTAAAGAATAGATCAGCATTCATAGTCTATTACTTTGAAAAGGACGAGAATATTATTTGTTTTTAATAAAATGCTTTCATAAGATATTCTTCTTTACATGCTAGTACTCGGTTAGATCAAAACACATCACTAGTCGACAGATGATTATGACTAAACTAATACAATTCCACGGTTGTGATATTTGCACATATTAAGGTTTATGCATATTTCCTGATAAGGTTAAGAAAATAGAACGAACATCTTCAGACTATTCACCAAATAATTATAACAGAATAAAATTGAAACAAATGAACAATTTTGCACATACTTAGTTGGACCGTTAGGAACACTTCCATCACGCTTTAATCCATGTATGATTCGTAAAGACCGAAGAAATGTTAATGACTGCAAAGAATCAGAACTGATTACATGTAGACTAGTATAGATTTCTTCCAGATCTGAGAATGCATCCATAAATTTTGAAGTATCGCCATCTAAGATAATAGTTTTTTAAAAAGTAATTTAAAATAAAATTAAAGTAAATTAAACGGTATAAAGTTTAAATCTTGTAGTTAGATTTCACTTATGTTATAGTGATGAATAAAACTACTAACTAATAGGTATCGACACCAAGATTGAACTTGATAGTTTAAAGTAAGTTGAGCATTGGGTAAAGTGTTCATAATAAATACATTTTTGTTATGCCCTAATGAGTAGGAAAATAGTATTTGTGATGTTTCGTGACTAAATGTAAGCCACTTCTTCAGAGTAAATAAATAACCGATATTAAATTAACACAAGTTTAAATAATGTGTTCATTTATTATCGGCAATTTATTTACTTTGAAGAAGTGGCTTACATTTAGTCACGAAACATCAGAAATACAATTCTTTTACTCTTTGGGATATAACAAAAATTTTGTTTATTATTACTAACCAATAGATTTATTATTTTGAAAATTAACCATACAACCATGTGATATGATAGTTCAGAATATTGACATCAAATTTTTCAGATAAAAATAAATGATGTTTACGTATGATACGATAGTTGAAAGTAAAACAAATGTATAGATCAATAAGTTCCAGTTTCAAAAATCACTGATCATCAGACTAAAACACAATGTGTGTTTTGGAGTTGTTCATAAAAGTTACCTAGATGAAAAAAATACCGACTGTTAGATAAATAGATCTTCTTTTTTCTGAGATTTCTATGCACATAAAAAATGATTTGATATAGAAAAAGAATTGATTAAGAGTCTGGAAACCTATTAAAGATTGAAATCTCCTAATTAATTATAAACATTGATCATATTCATAGTCATATTCATTCTGTTGTATTTTCAAAACAAAACAAAAAATAGATTCCTCTTCTTCTAGTCCTGCCTAGAAGTTGATTATTAAGTTAGATTACTGACTGATTAACATGTTGTCTATAGAACCACTGACATTCCAACTAATCGCTTAATGACCATAAACGGACGAACGAAACTTTATTACCTTCTGGTCCACAAGTTCTTACTAAGCCAATGTCTAATTAGAGGGCATCAGCAAGCAAACATTTAAACTGTACTGTATTCAGGCCTGACTCAAAAACTCATATTAGTGTACATCAAATACCTTACTGGCTACATGGCAACATAAATATTAAATTGCAATGCATACATGATTCCCTCAGACAACCAGCATGACAGCGATGCTGCCTTCCCACAAGGAGGGGTGGGGTTAGAAAAGGTCGACCCTAAAAATGTCACACCTCACCTTACCTCACGGATTTCCGTCTCCGGTGGTAAGGCTCTTTGAAGAACGGAGCTAACACGTCAAAAACCTTCCACAAAAAGGCCGTGCGCGACCGGCCTCAAGCGGTTGTCCCTTGGGCTCTGCGGTCACGCTACCAGGTCGTCAAGACCAACACTAATCCAATTTCCTTTTCAGGTTCCTCAAGAAATACCCTTCCACGGTGTGGGCAGCCGGGAAGTGACACCAGCCCTCATACCCGTAACAGCACACGAGACCAAGTTGGTCACATTCAAATCCTTCCTACACCTTCTAATACCTCTCTTATCTATATGACTAACCCTCCTCATGTCTGTGTATCACCTCGCACCGCTAGGGCAAACGATTCGAGTACGTGGAACTCTATTCCTAGTCTCCTGAAACCACGCTCTAAACTACACGTAGGAGCTTTTAACGTCCGAACACTGTGCCAAATAGGACAGCAGACTTCCTTAGCTAGGACTTTAGAATCTCGCACCATCGATGTGTGCTGCGTCTCCGAAACGCGCATACAAGATCCGAGTAGCGTCATTCATTTGACTTCACCATGCCAAAATAAAGAACCGACTCGATTTACGCTTCGTGTATCTGGAAGCCCTGATTCTGCTTCCCGTGGACTCGCCGGCGTAGGTATAGCATTAAGTCCCAGAGCAGAATTAGCTCTCTTAGAGTGGATCCCAGTAGACAGCCGTTTGTGCGCTGTCCGACTGAACGGAACAGTAAGAATCCGGAAAGATAGGGACACCCGTCGTTGCCTCTTCGTCGTTTCTGCCTATTCTCCCGCTGACTGCAGCCCAGATGATGTAAAAGATGAGTTTTACAGAAAGCTTTCCGGCCTTCTCCGAAAAGCTAGGCGCTATGATGTAGTAATAGTGGCCGGTGACTTTAATGCTTAAGTAAGTAAACGAAGAGATAGGGAAAGACACCTAGGTGGATCTTATGGTGTCGTGGCTCAAGGAACAGATAATGGCGACCGTCCGTTGCAGCTATGCTCAGATAATCGCCTGTTCCTTGCAAATACTAACTTTAAGCATAAAGAAAAACATCTTTTAACATGGCGACCCCCTAATTCGTCCCAACGTTGGACCCAAATAGATCACGTCGCCATCAGCCACCGATGGAGGGGCTCGATAGAAGACTGTCGCTCATTCTGGAGCACATGCTTAGATTCAGGTCATGCTCTAGTGCGAGCACGTATTTGCTTGCGTCTTACTGCACGTAGGAAAGACGCTGCAAGGAAACCTCTTAGGGGTCTACTTAATGATAGTCAAGCTAAGAGTATATTTCAGGAACAACTAGGAAAACAGTTGGGCAGCCACGTATGTAATGCCCACCCCGATGCAGCATGGAATGATATCCGAAAAGCTGTGGAAACAGCAGTGATATCTGCTAGTAAGGTAAACCAGAAGGTTAGAGAGCAGCACTGGATCTCAGCAGCATCTATCGCACTGATAGATGCTCGGAAACTCATTCCATCTGGCTCTGAACATAATGAAGAGCGGAGTCAGCTTAAGCGCAAGCTGACAAGAAGTCTACGCAATGATCGTGAACAGTGGTGGGTAGCGAAAGCAAGAGAGATGGAGAAGGCAGCGGCAATAGGTAATAGCAGACAATTGTTCAGACTCGTTAAGGAAACCGGAATTAGGAACCCGACCGTTAGCGAAACAATCTCAGAGAAAGATGGACATATTATTCATTCCCAATCCAGGAGATTGGATCGATGGGCAGAACACTTTAGGGGTCAGTTCAACTGGCCTTCAGCCACACTTCGGTTTCCCACGATCCCCAGTCAACCTGAATGGCAAGTTAATGTAGGTCCTCCGTCTCTTAACGAAGTTGAAAAAGCCATAGGAAATCTGAAACGAGGGAGAGCAGTAGACCCTGACAGGTTTACTCCTGAGATTTTTAAGGATGGTGGTCCAGTATTAGCAATGAGATTAACCGAGGTCTTAGGTAGAATTTGGGAACTGGACGTAATCCCATCTGACTGGTCTCAATCAATGATCGTGCCAGTTTTTAAGAAAGGACAAAAGTCCTCTTGTGACAATCACAGAGGAATCAGTTTGACTAATATAGTGTCTAAAATATTAGCTTCAATAATACTTCGACGCCTAACCAAAGCTCGTGAAGAACAGACTAGAGAAAATCAGGCTGGTTTTCGACCTGGACGTGGTTGTATAGACCAGATATTCACACTACATCAGGTTCTAGAACACAGACACACGTTCAGACGCCCCACAATGGTAGTATTTCTCGACCTTAGGGCGGCATTCGACTCTGTTGATCGTAGGGTTCTATGGCAGTGTTTGTCACTGAAAGGAGTACCAGGGAAGTACATTAACCTTATTCAGGCTCTCTACTCGAACACAACTGGTAGAGTGAGAGCTTATGGCGAACTGTCATCAGAAGTGATTACCCCAAGTGGTGTTCGTCAGGGCTGTCCACTCTCCATTCTTGTTTAACTTTGTCATTGACGTACTTTTAGACATAACACTTTTCTCGTCTAGATTTCCAGGGGTTGAACTTCTACCGGGAGGTTCACTTGTTGACTTAGAATATGCTGACGACATAGTTTTATTTGGTGAAGACGCTGACAAAATGCAGAGTCTTCTGACCACTCTAAGCAACAATGCAAGCATGTTCGGGATGCGATTCTCTCCCTCGAAATGCAAAATGTTGCTTCAGGATTGGGTTGCATCGACACCCGAACTAGTGATAGGGAGTGAAGTAGTTTAGTGTGTCGACCGCTTCACTTATCTTGGAAGTCTCATCAGCCCTTGTGGTCTGGTGTGTGACGAAATCTCAGCATGGATACAGAAGGCTCGACTAGCTTTTGCCAATTTGCGTCATTTGTGGGGTAGGCGAGATATCCGTCTATCAACCAAAGGACGTGTTTACTGTTCAGCAGTACGTCCCGTCCTACTTTATGGCAGTGAAACATGGCCGGTAAGAGTAGAGGATATTCGTAGGTTACTAGTATTCGAAATATTGTTTGTATATCATGGGACCATCGAGTAAGTAACACAGTTGTTAGGAAACGGGTACTAGATAAGGATGGCAAATCAATTGATGAAGTAGTGAAACTTCATCAGTTGAGATGGCTGGGACACGTGTTACGTATGCCCAACGACCGACTGCCTCGACGTGCGATGTTCAGTGGTATAGGAGTAGGTTGGAAGAAAGGTAGGGGCGGCCAGACCAAAACATGGCACAAGTCCATGAAGTCACTGACAAGTGGTCTGAGTCATGTTGATAGGTATAGACTACCTGGTTGGGGACCGCGAGATAATAGCAACCGATGGTTAGAGACCCTGAATGACATGGCTCAAAATCGTTTGCAATGGCGCAGGTGCATCCACTCTTTGTGTTCTCCCAAATTCTAATCTTCTGAATTCTTCATGTCCCTTTTTTCCTCTTTCCAAATTTATTTCACTGAATTATACTCCTTAAATAACATCTCCAAACCCTAATCTTCCCGATCACTGCTTACACTCTTGCTACCTCTACCACTACGGGATTTGAATCGACAACTGCATCTCTGTGTTAAGGTGGTGTGGCAACTCGAACTGATGTACGTACGTAAGAAGTTCTACGTTGTTACTGACTGACTGACATGATTAGAACATGAATGAAAGAAAACTGAGTAATAGCTCTAAAATTAACTAACGATCCCTTTAGGAACTTAAAACATGTAAGAATAGTTTATAAGTCAGACGAAAGCCAACAATGTGAGAAATATAAAAATATAATAAACCAAGTATATAATAATAATAATCATGAAACAGAAATGCAAACAATGATTTCCTATAGAGTAGTCCTGAAATTTTAACCTTTCTCAAATCTCCACTGATATATCACATTCTTTAAATTTTATGCATATTTTGAAGGTTATCTCTCAATTTCATTTCCTCATCTCAAACTACACACTCGATATATTTAGTTGTTCAATATTACTGATATTATTATTAATATTGACGCCTTTGATGTTCTTATTTTTAGATACAACTGGTTGTATTTGAATGAAATGTAACGTCCTAGGCCTATAAACAACTGCGCTAATTCTTAATTTATTTATGATTGATTAAAAAAAACTGTGGTAAATTTCCCGAAAATCCCTGACTTTCGAGAAATGAACTGTTTGTTTATGCATAAAACTATAAGCGATCAGATGTTTTTTTTTGATAGAATGAATTTTTTGCGATATGATACTAATTTAATTGATCATACATAATCCAGTAATATTCAATAAGAGGTTTTGTGAAGATTGTAGTAATTTCAACAGTTGAGATCATGAGTCAATTGAAGCTAGATCACCATGGAAAACCTACAAGCACTGGATGGCCGTTTCTTCCTATTGTGGGGCTCTTCAGCTGTGCACATTCACTATCCCGCTCGCCGGATCTGAACCCAGGGCCAATCGGTCTCGCACGCGAACGCTTAATCACTAGATTACTGAGCCGGCATTCAACGGTGTAAATGTCTAACTTTAACTAATCCACGAGTTTGAGCGACACATCCACAATTGTCATCACTGAGTTACTATCCCACAACTGACCTGGTTGAACTCCACCGGCCACTGCTTCTCACTAGAATTCCAGGATATACATCTTGAAGCCAGTAACTAGTGAACATATGTTGGTTAGCATCAGAAAGGGTTTTGCGGAGATTGATATAATTTCATGATCTCAACTACTGAAATATTCAATAATTCTTAAGAAAAAAACCCAGTTATTTTCTTTTATTGAATAAAACTGCACAAACACTTACCTTCACAATCACGAATACTTATAAGGATTGACTGAGCTGTAACACAACCTCGTACTTGCTTAAGATCGGATACTTTATAGACATTTATATCACCACAAGCTACAGAACATAGTTACAGAAAAAAAAAGGAAATACATTTTAAAAACTTAATGTAATTCGGTTACTGATTTCATGGAAATATAAAATATTGTAACTGAACAAATCATTTCTTGCTCTTCCATCATTTATTTCAAATTAGGTTAGAAATTATATTACTATTAGTATCATTACTAAATTTTGTGATTCGGTGTCGAGTGCCAGTTGAAGTGTTGACGTCTACGACTGTGTCCAGTGTAGAACCTCGGTGTTAGTGTACGTACCGTTTATATATAAATATTTATAGGTACATACAAACATTCATACCAATATACGTGCAAAATATGACTGTTGAGTTGTTTAACGAAACAAGTAAAATGAAAATACTTATATCAAGATGCTTAAATATCTACATAAGACTTCAAGAAACAAACGCTCAACTCTCTAAAAAAGTCAAATCAATGACAAAAACCTGTTGATTCTTATTTCATTCATTACGAAAAAATGTTTCACCAAAATAGGGAAGCATTTTCAGACAAAATAAAAAATGGCTTTCATTCTTACCTATTTATTTGATCTTTACCAATTCAAGACAACAATGTTGGTCAATAACAAACTGACTACTTCTTATGAAATTAAAGTAGTTCGTTTTTTTTCTTAAAAGTTTTCTGACAAATTCGTACTACTCGATGTAAGAAAGTATACGATTAACATCGCTATATGAATATGAAGTATAATCATACTTACTTTATTATTCAACAAATGGTTAATTTTAAAAAGTCTCTGGTAGAATAAAAGCATGAAATCTGTTGCCTGGCAACTTTAGAAATAAGTAAATACTATTAAACATTTTGAAATCGACCTGCTGATTATCATACGTTGATGTTAAATATTTTAAAAAATGTTAGACGGATTTTATTTGTATTTACAAACTGTTAAAAATAACGTGTAGTAAAATATATTATAAAAATAACCCTAATCTGGTCAATCCGAACAATATTTATTCACAAAAGAACAAGCAGATTAAATATTGATTTTGTTTAGACTATCAGCGACGAAATAGTCAGGATATCAGGAAAGAATCTTTGAATTTTGAAGTTGCTCGTTCATATATTTCTTAATTAAATACGATCATATATAAGAAATACGCAAAAAAGGAGTCATGAGATTGGAATCAATGATGTTGCAACTAAAATAGATAAAGATATGTGATAGATCGTATGACGTTTACGTTAAGCTAATTTCTCAACAGAATAAAAAGGAAATAAACAAGGGGGAAACATAGTAAGACTGGTAGGTCCTGGGTTCGAATCTCGAGGGGGGCGGGATCGTGGATGCTTCAATTGACTCATAATTTCAACTATTGAAATTTCTAAAAATCTCCACAAAACCCCTTCTCAGTCAGTCAGTCAGCTACAACATAGGACCAGGCACATATATGCATCGGTCCAAGTTGCCATATCTCATTAACACGAAAAGATGAACACCGGATTCATAAAAGTGGTTAATTCAGAGGTGGTAATATATAAAAGAAAGATTGCAATGAGGATATAGTGCAGGAAGAAAGAATTAGTTCGTAGAAAGAAAGATACGAAGTGATTTTAATCTCTTAGTTTAAGGGGAGACAGAGAGTGTACACACCGACGCCCTTGTGATCGATTCTCAGCCATGTCACCAAGAGTAAAGCCCTTCTGATAATAAATGAGTGGGCAAGAAACACATAAGTACTATATAATAATTAAAATATTAAAGATTTAGAGAGAGAATGTTAAAGGTTTGAAGGAAATTAACAAGAACCTTGGACGTTGAGTACGCGCTAGTTAACACTCTTCATAAAAGTGTACCTGTAATTTTGAAGAAACTGGTATTTTTCATTAGTTGGATGTAAAAAAATCTGTATCCGTATCATTGTAAACCACTTTAAACCATATTCAAATTAAATTACATATATTTTTACAGTAGGAAGTAGGATTACTTTCTGAAACGAAAATTATAACGGTTAATATGAATGAACTTGCCTCGTTTAATACATTTTGACTCAGGACAAAATTGACATTCACCAGATACTAGACGCACATATTCCAAGGGACAAGTCGGTATACATGTAGAATTAAAAGTCGAATAGTTCGCCAAGTATTTACCATTTACACCTTCTACTATTTCTTGACGATTAATACATTCCTCTCGCGTTATACAGTAGAGATTATTTAACTAAAAAATGCATAAAATATGGAAAATATAGTTCAAAAGAACATATGGATCTGAATAATTAAAAGTTAGAAATTATATTCAGCTCATTTAGAGAAAGATAAGGAATAAAAAGCAACTATGCCACAACAACTCATTTAATCTCATGTCATCTGACTTTTATAATCGAAAAGTACAGCTATCACGTGGGAATCAGTCAAGAAATCTACATTTCTTGATGTGGTGTACAACAACGGTCAACTTCATAGATTAATACATTTTCGGTCTACCACCTCCAGCTTTTTTAATACTAATTCCTATGTTAGTACTTCAAGGTAGCCAGTAGTTAGGGACGAGTAACGTGTTTAATCACCTCAGTTATCATCAGATAAGATTAAAAGGGATTACGAGTCTCTGAGACACGACAATAACAGAATATTTTGGGTTAGTTTCTTTGCAAATACTGAAACTAAAACATTTAGCAAATTTGGAAAAATTTCAAAGTGGAGAGTGATGAAGAAGTAAGTGACAGTTACTTAGATCTACATTGTCAAATTTCAGATTCATGTTGAAATTCTAACAATTTCCTTTATTTTGTTTGTTTGGGGGTAAATTCGAAAGTGAACGGAAAAGCTGAATCGAAGTTAGAATAACTGAAATGTTCAAAAGCATCCCATGAATCCGATGACAGCACCAAATTGATATGACCATTGAATATATACAAACTTTTAAAAATCGGAAAATGTTGGTTAGTTTGCCATAAAAACACACCTGTCTATCTGAAGTTCGTTTCATTCTTACAAACGTACATATTCTAACACAGTTCTACTAACTACAGCAAACAAAAATAATAAGACAATGAGTCTGTCAATTGGTGTTTAGAACACTCAGCGTTCGATTAATTTCATATGTCCGAATTCGGTCCAGCCATTTCAGTTTGGATACCCGAAGAAAATTACTAGTCTCTCCATATAATTAGTGAGACTAAAAGCCATGTACATACACTTGCACCCGGTAAGTGAGTCACATTTACATATTAGTTTTATGACGGAACTATTGGGTAATAATAATAATAATAATAAATGCTTACTTACTAAATAATATGATGGAGGGCAATGATTTAAACAAAGTTCATTTAATTTAACATGTTTACAACTTAAGCATTCATTGGGCGATGGACCGGAACAACCTCCAGAACATTCTGAATCACAACACTTTTGTGGATTATCTACATGACATGCTAATCCATTATCTGTACAAACAGGGTCGCACTCTAAATAATAAAAGTTTCAAAATTGAAAGTTGTGATAAAAATAAAGCCGGATTAAAAAGTAAACCATGGATATACATTTCTGAGAAATACAAGATCAATAAATTTCCATGTTAAAGTAAAATAAACCATTAGCATTAAAATGTTTATCAGTTTTAAATAAAGAAGTGGAAAAACTAATTTCAGATAAAACTACTAATTGCTGAAACAAACAATGTCAACTCTTCTAATTTAGATTTCAGTAGTAATAACCTTATAAAATAGAGTTTTGACTCTTATGAAATGATAATTTCTGCAGTCTACTGAAACTTTTCTGATGAAGTCTTGGGATTAACGATCTTGGTTTTGAGGTGAGTGCTACATTTACAACAAATTCCAATAGGTTATTCATAAAACCTGTTCACAACGGTCCATCATCGTATATATATATATATATATATATATATATATATATATATATATATATATATATATATATATATATATATATATATATATATAAATCGCTCCCCCTTCAGAAACTCAGAACAGTTCATAAAACAGTTCTAAAATAAATAATTACCATTATTTAAACCTTACTCTAAGGTCCGAATATATCGGTTTGAGGTGAAGCTAACAGAAAATATTAGTATAAAGATGGAGGGAGTGATATTTTATGTATGTTAGAGAAATGAAGATCTTCTCAAAAGCCAGGAGTTTTTGTACTAATAAATGTAGCCACTCGATAAAGTACTGTTATTTTCTTAAATGATCAAGATGAGTAATATCCTCGTTTTTATCTCGTTGTTAATGTATGCAAAAAATGAATCTTTCACTGACGTATAAAAACGGGAAGAGACCAACTGTTGTGAATTTTTTATACTACTCTGAATTCCCTCCCAAAAATCTACGTTTCCCAAATAGTTGTACAACTACAATTTACTAAATGATTAAATACAAGAAATATTTAGCTTTTATTAAAACTTAATCTGTGTGTACATGCTTAGAAATGAGTATGTGCTTAATAAAAACGTTAAATAGTAATGAACAATCATACACTTAATTTGTTAATGTTTAATTGATGAGTTTTAATGAAATGCATGGTATTAACTACCTTTCAAACGAAAATTTTTAAAACATTATGACGACTGACATACAGATATTATTAATTAATTGATGTTTGGTCAGACCGTTCCTGTGATCTATGATTTTGTTGCATCAAGTATGATAAGACCCTTCTCAACAAGAAATAACTAGAGGGTATTTGAAGACATTCCCAATTGTTCTGTTAAAAAACTTTACAATTATGATAATCGTTCAGTGTTCTTTAGTCTAGAAGTGACAAAACGGAACGTTTAGGATCTGCATTAGTACCAATGAACAATATTCTTGAGATCGATGATAAACTAAGCTTCTTTTTTAAAGTTTATGAAGTTGGAAATATTGAAAATTATATAGAATACATACTAAGCATAGATTACAATATGTTACTGAGTATTAATTCTTGTCCATATAAAGTAATATATTTTTAGAGCTATTTAATCCAACTCACTTGCTTGACATGAGTTTGTAGACCAGCACGAGAAGCGAGAAGAATCATTTCGATAAAAAGATAGACAACTTGCTGAACATTGATCGGGACAAAATTCACCTAAATTGAACCGCACTATTTGTTCTCTAGCGGAACGATATGACTTAGTAGATACAGAATTTAAATTGGTTGTTAAGGCATTCCAGTTAACAGTATCAACAAAACACATCATAGGGTTATCAATGAGTGCAACACCATTAGAGTTCAATGTTTTCAGTTTCCATAGACCTACACCTTTCAACTTTGTATGCCTTATAATCAAACTGTAGCTGGAGATTTGGTTATGTTCGTTAAGATCAGCCGATGAAGTTATTTGATTTCGTATAATAGAAAGATTTGGCAAAAATTTCGACAAATCTCCAGAACAGTTACCGTTTTCGATTATCAAAGAACCAGTTATTTCGACAACATTCGATAGATTACAATGGCTGTTGAGACAGCAGGAATCATCAAGATTTCGTATAGTTAATGTTCCTTGAATGCTTGAACAATTGGTTAACGAGGATAGAGTGTTCGATCTCCTTAAATCCACTAGACGTCCGGAGCAATCTAGAAATAAAATAATAATTTTACTATTTTAAATCCATAACACTTAAGGAAAGAATAATACACAGGGGGTTCTCATGAACGAGGATAAAATTATCTCCCGCTGAGTATCTTTCCCTTCACGTGAAGTACATGATCTTAGGAAGCGAAATAAATAACTCAGTAATCTAGATAAAGCAACTAATCTATTGATTCTGTAAATCGTATGCATACACTGAATTATTGATTGTTTTAACTACTGATAGTTCAAAACATTCAAATTTATCCAACGACCGGACATTCAAAATGACATGATTTTAAATATTTTGACCAGTTGAGATTCAGTGTTTAGTACGTAAATAAATCTTCATCTAGCAGTCTTGCCTTCAGTGCACCGAACAATCCCAGTTTCATTCTGCTGAACAAGTAACAATTTATTTCTAAATCACTTCAACTTACAAATATTCAAGACCACAGTGCCTCGAAAAATATTCACTAAACAGCTTTCTTACATTCCAGAAATGGATGCAGAATAACTGGGAAAATCTATTTTTGTAAAATGATTGGATGAAGAAACCAGATAGTTATTATCTTATAAATCTAACCATCGTAGTTGTCAAGATCCTGGAATAAATTTTACTCAGATTGTTCTTATCTAGATCAAAACCTGATTCTCTCCGAAAAGCAGGAGTTTTGGAACAGGATATTTATGCCTCACGAACTTATTAGTAGAACAAGAAAGTTGGTATACTCTTGAAGACCAAAATTCACTTGTGGATGGGGCCTTCATCAACTTCAGTAAGGTTTTTGACAAAGTCCCACCTAAGCTAAACTATGTCGCGATTTTCGGCAAACTGCTTACAAGGATAAGCTAATTTGACGACAGCAAGGATTAGAAAACTGTGTTTATTGGAGTTCCCCAGGGTACAATCTTCAGAGCAGTGTTATTCTTTCTGTATGTAAATGATCTTCCAATTCATATTATCACCAGTCTTGTAAGAAGCTGACAATAACAAGATACGGAGCGCGATAAGAGTTGAAGGTTTCAGAACGATCTACAGAAATTAATGTAATGTAGGATTTAGCAGTTGTCTACAAGCGCTTAATGAACATTTATTATGTATATTGGTCAATAAGATACAGATACATACACGGCGATTGGTGTTTAGACAATTGCCGCCTGGAAAAGCAATGATCTAGAAGTTATAATTATCGATCAGGAATTGGAAATCCCTACACAGTAGTGAGAAAAAGATGCCAACAGTTTTGGAAACATCTATTCAATACGCAGAGACCTCGGCCACGTTAATGTTGTAACGGCTTTGATTTTGTATGCGGCGTTTGTTCGCCCTAAGCCTGCGTATTAAATACAAGCAACCAGTAGTGTTGGAAAAGCTTTACAAAACCTCAACGAAGTCGATTCCTGGGACGATGTATAATAGGCTGCAATAAACCCATTCCTCTTGCCACAAGAGTAGAAATGGCTTTGCAAGTTGGTAAATTACTTAATAATAACTTTGCATCCGATATGTCTTTGTTTTTCTTGTCTTCAAAGACAGAATTCACGAAAAAAATTCCAAAAGAGTTCACGAACCCGGAACTGAACACCTAATTTATCATTGAGTCTTCAAGTGCTAAAGTATCTTACTTCGACGCGTAGCTGGCGCTCCATCTATCAAAATAGTCAGAAGAAGCTGGATCACCCAAGAAACACTTATTATCAGGGTTATCACAAGCAATCCTGCTTTCTGTAGCTATAGCTTCAAGAAACTAAGAATCTAAAGGAAAAGAGCTCACAAATTTTCGTATAAAGTGACAACTATGTGCGACGAGTTTTGGTGCTTAAAATCCTCGAAGTGATCACCTCCCCTTAACAAAGAACTTGTGAAATTATGCTGACCAAAACATGCAGATGTGCGTTGCACAAATGTTTCCCCTAATTTATAATACCTCAGTCACCAAAAACATGTTCGCAAGAGTTTGTGACAAAAAAACACTTATTGTTTAAAGTAAATTCTATAGGTGACTCACATTCACATAATGAAACATGTACTGAGCATGAAAGCCATACGACAAACCAACACCATTTACGTAACATTAATCATGCAGTGATGGTTGTACTTCAGCATGCGATCTGACTAGAAACAAGCAATTTTCAGCTGGCGAAAACTTTTTTTATACACAGAAACCCCAACCAAGATATATTAGTGAAAATGAAGTCATATGCGTGACCCTGAAAACGACCTTGTGATTTGAACGTCCCTATGTACCCGATTTACTTGTTATTGCCTTGTGTAAACCAAATGAATACTTTACGCAAAATTTATGTCATTTCATTAAGGTCTTATATATCCAATAACTCGGAATAGATGTAACTCTAGTCAATCGACTTCAGTAGTTCTAGTTATTATTATAGTTATTTCTACGTTTATATATCATGTAATGAATGAAAGTGCTCGTCTCCAGGTAATTAGTTTTCTGAAAACAGCAGCTGTCATGTTACCAGTCGTAAGTTTGGTTAGTTGTAGTATTGAAATCAGTCGAAAAAACAAAAACAGAGCTGAGGGTGATAGAGAAAAGAGTTTCTGGAACATTATGTTTTTCCAGATGAGATTGTGTTTGCGTTTCATAAATTTTCAGGAACAGTTTTAATGTGATGATGTCAAGTCACTGAAGATAATTTAAATATTCGCAGTTTGATAACACCATGACCAGCAACATTTTTGTGATCGAGAAATGACTAATCCAGATTGGTCAGTGGTTGCTGGCGTACCCACTTGTGATCTGTGTGGATGTGTGGGCGAGGGCCTTCTGCTAGAAGAGTCCAGTAAAACTAATGCTTTATAGACTAGATGACCAAAAGTAATAAACTGTGGATGGCATGATGCTACCAAAACATATTGATTGATAAATAGTCCTAAGCTTTCATAGGGTTGTGAAAATGGTTCTTACCATAATGACAATACGTCAATTGAAACATAATGCCCACGTTAGTAAAACTTTGGCAGCACAAATATTTTATTGATCTCCCTTGGTGAATGCCACTTCCACAATTCTATACTATTTCGAGAAAGTTCACAGCGTCCCAATCGATTAAGCCAATTTAATTGATAGGCAGGCAGTTCGTAAAAGGTTATCGTCGTTCGCAGTTAGCACACACATTACTCCTGATATCGCGCAGATCGACTTGATAAATGCATCATTTTATATCGATCGGACTATTTCTAAAAGTTGTTTCTCTTTTCTGTTTTTTTATAGCTTGTAGAGTTCCTTGACCTACTTTTGACAAAACCCATGTCAAGAAACACATAAATCTACACCACGGTTAACTTTTGCTTTGAATGTTTTCGCGTCACTAAAACCGAAGAAGCGACAGGTTATGTCGCTTTAGTTTTGACGGAAAAATTTAGAAATATATTTTACAAACTATCATGGCTACAATGACTTACATACTACGTAACATGATAATCGTCTACTGGAACTCACAGATTCCTCTTTATTCGCTTAACACCACGCTGAGTAAACTGACGTTGTTTTATACTATTTGCTAGGTTTGAAGCTACCACGAGTTCACTTAATCTGCGAACGAGAACAAAAACTCAGTGACCAAAGACTAGTAAGCTAGCTACTTGATGCGTCCTGGCCCCGCTACCTAGAGGGAGAAGTTCAAGTTTGGCATGAGAAATAGTATTCTGCAAGTAGTCAGAAACGAGCGATCACACAAACACAATTCAAAACATATACATATCAATTATATGTATATAATCAATACTGCCATGGAATTTTTAAACATTTAATCGGTAAGAATAGTTGAGTTAATTAACAATTATACGGTAAATTATACGTATAGTATTGGTCCACAGATAGATGCCAAAAACCACCACTCATTATTTTTAACGAGGCATAACACGATCATTTAGTGCAGTGTTGAATACCCTAATCTTTATTTTTTATTATTTCACATTATGCTTTGAAAATCCTAATCTAACTTGAAGTTTATACTGGTGAAGCGAATGCGTCGAACTATAGTAAGCCGGTTTCATCAGATGTCGTTCAGATCAGGTTCTCTACCGACCACTAAGTTTTATTAATGTCTGATAGCATACTCTTCACTCCGGTCTCAAAATGTAAAGGTATAGACGAACATGTTCATGTACTGTAAAATGATGACCAGAATTTGCATTCTTTATTTACTGTGACATTTTCTCAGTAGTAATAAATTCTAAGAAAATTCATTGGAAAGAAATACATACGATGGAATTCCAGGCCCTTATCGTTTAGGATATAGCTTTAACTATAAGTAGAAATAGCTGAGCTCTCTTTGACCTTTCGCGAGAATTATTGACCTACTAGTCTGGACTGACGCAAAGAGACATTTAAATAATTCTGTCTCCTTACCAAAGTCTGCGAAATGAACATAAGTTATTTAAAAAGATTGCGTTTGACATATCGAAGGAAGAATTGATGAGTGTTTAAATCATGATTAAGATGCATGATTTGATGGTTCCTCAGGCTTGGTGAACCAAAATCTTGATAGTGAGTGAACTTTCTCGTTATGGTTCACAATTGAACACGGATTCAACATTGCCAAATACTTATTAACAAATGCTGAAAAAATATTGGCGTTTAATTTGACTCTCATCCTAAGTGGTAGTTTTTGACTGAACCAAATGAAAACCATTTGTTAGTTAAAATGGGGCATTGGAAACTTTGGCTGAAGAATGTAGTCCCAGTAATGTCCCTCCGTCAGCTTTTGACCTGAACTGTAATTCATCTACTATCCAACAGCTTTTTGTCGTCTGATGTTGAGACTGTTAGACTTGGTGGACGACTTATGGTGAGCACTCGGTGTTATTCTGAAGTTAATACAAGTTCTGATGATGGGACTGAAACAAATGAATTTTTTTTAAGTATTGCTTTCTGTACCTATGCTTTGGCAATCTTTAGACGTGAACATGCGTGCATCCAAAAAAGAGAAATATTTTACTTGATAATTCGACATCTAGGTTAGGATTATTTTATATTTACTATAGCTCACGTGGAACTTCAACATTTAAATATTAGAAATGATCGACGGTCCAAAGTAACAGTTTTTAAAATTGAGTGACCACGGGTTGTTGATGTCAACAAATATTGTAGAACATGTGCATAGTTGGAGTGGTGCTTTGTGATCTATGAAGATGAGAGATTTCCTCTATCAGATAATCAACTGTGGTGTCCTATAAAAATTCCATTTTGTGTTGTTCTGTTTGTATATACTTTTATGTATTTGTAATATATATTCGTGGATATTCCCTTGTTCCTCGTTACAGGTAATATTTATTCTATTGTTGTCACGATTTGAACATCTGTTTCATATGATCAGAACACTTTTTCCAACCCAAAAATGAGAAATTGATAGTATAACTTAATCATGTGTATATTTCTTTTCTCTCTTCGATCTCTTGGTTAGATAAGATGAACTTACATGATTGTTTTAAGGGCATCATTTGGTCCTGGGGTTTTGTATATTGTGTTAATCACACTTAAGAATAAAAAAGGCGGTCATACGACTCCTTTTTATTTGAACGTTCTCTGCCTGCTTTGATTCAACTAATTAACTATGTGACGTAGAAATAATTTATCTACGCTGCTGGGTGTGCTCTTTTATGGTGGAAACGTAGTATATTTGTATTTTTTGAGGGCTAAATTCCTAACATGTTTATTAGTTTTGGTCGAATTCCCCGTTGCTGAATAATTCTTCAGCCGTATAACCTGATTATGATATTCGACTAGGTACTTTGTAAAATTCATATTAACAACTTTTATGATTAGAACCAAACCAAAAATAACTCTTCACTATTCATTAATAACCAATTAGATATGAATAAAAATAATATATATGTAATATCCCAATGAGTAGAAAATTGGATTTTCTGACGTTTCGTGACTTAGTGTAAGTCACTTCTTCAGAGAATAAATAACCAAGTTAAAATTAATCCAAGTTTAAATAGTACAAAGGAACAATGCAAGAATAATATTGGATCAATCAAAAACAAGTCTGAACAAGTTGATGTCATGTCATTTCTGTTAAGGTGGTTCATAAGTGATATATATGTAAATTTGTGTGTATGTATATGTGCATTGTTTAAGAATGAATTAGATATGTGGTCCAGATGGTCGCTTGTTTTCATAACACACCATTATTTTAGATTAATTACAAATATAAATATAACATGAATGGCTGATCCAATTTGTAATGAAGACATTCGGCTACGCGTAATATAAAACCTCTGGAAAGATATATAGTGCAATATACGTGTAAAATTATGGTCCATTCCGTTATTGGTACTGCCGTATCAATAGACCTGATCTTAAAATTGTAGATTTGTCACGATGTGACCACCTAATCTATAATGTCATACGTGGAAGTCACATCATTATCTTAAGTGACTCGTCGTATCGTGACCCTTAGCACTATGGTGCTTGCCAGTTAGGATGAACACATTTTGGCTGCAAAGTGAATAATATATTTGATGTGGAAAAGTATGGGTGACACAAAAATAACCACTCCTATAAGGCTGAGCCACATCATGCTCATTAATCATTGAATGAAATGTTCCCACTAACTTTCTGCAAGTGCTGCTTGTTGAATGCAAATCTTTCCAGTAATTATGCGCTTTGCTTCAAAGTGTGTCGTTAGGAACCAATGCCACTACATATGTAACATCGTGTGGAATGGACAACATACTTAGGGTCTAGATGAACATGGTCGAAACGAGTGTCAGGATTTGTGAAGGAGCTTGAAGAACATTTCTTGTGACGAATCATCTAAGGTTTCTGACATCTTGCACTATGGCGTTCCATATCGTCACATCTTTATTCATACCAGGCTAGCGAAATCGTTCTGCTATGAGCCTGGTTGTAACATAAACACCTGGATGAGAATGATCGTGAAACGTATTGAATACTTTGCGTCGAGAATGTTTCGGCACGATTAGACGAACCCTACCTTTGGGTGTGTCATTTTGAACAATTTCCGTACCAGTTCCTATCTGTTCAATACTCAGTTTCAGGGTAGTCGAAGATAACTCGTGTTTCCTTTTTGAATCTACCTCTTAGTTTCACTAACACATTGAGACTCCGGTTCTGTACTTATGTCGAATATATTCACTTATTTCCTCTACATTTTCCTCCTTGAAACGTTTGTCATTTGTACTTTATTCCTAAACTGTCCCACACTTTATATTTTGATCTTTCTACTGAATGTCCAGTAATATCGTTTGTACCAGTAGTGACACTACAAGTACAAAGACGACTAACAGAAGAAAAAATTATTCAGAGGTTATTAATAAGTTGCTTCTTTCAGCAAGATTTTGAGAAAGCTCAGGACAATACCAGAAAATAATCTCTGAGTATTGTGTACAATATATTTCACTCAACTTGATTACTGGAATTAGAATCCCCATTAAGTAATCAAGATCACACACTTCCTCAGGTCTTTGCTCCTAGAGAGGCTTGCAAGCAAGAAGGAAATGGGGAAATCAGCGTCCCAAACTGCTCGTGTTACTGACTATTACTGGGGAGAAACAGCAGGAAGAGATCATGGTATCATACTTATGTCACTTGTTAGAACCAGTGACCCAACATTTGAATGTAACCACTGAACTGGCTCGATTCACTACCACTGTGATTCAGCAGTGTTTAGGCAGTATTGCGGACTTATGTTAAATCATTCCTGTCCGCGGTTCTGGTACATTCGTTCATTGTACAGAAAAAATGCACAAACAGGACTAACGAAATAGAAGTATAAGAACCCTTCGAAAATAGTAGCAACCATTCCTACTAATATATCAAACTCGTCCAACACAGGCTCAAACAAACAGTGAAACAATAAAGCTAGCACATAAGCCAGCACAATTATCGACTGTTATTAATACCGTAGTATCTATTAAAAGTAAGGAGCATTAGGAAAGAAAATGTCAGTAGCACAGCCATTTAAACTCCGAAAATGGGGGACAAAGGCTGTAGAAAAACGCCCATATCTTATCTATTGTTCTTTGTCGGAGATTAGCTTATTAGAAAGTTGGGCGACCTTTGATTAAGTACATTGAAACAAATACCTCACAATACTCCGAAAAATTATCACATCAGCCAATCTATGCCTCTTGCATGGGGGCGTATATGAACAAAAAGTGATCCCTCTCGACTGAGTGAAGTTTGGGATTCAGGAGGCCTTACAGGGGAAATTTAATGACATCTTGGAGATCATTGATCAATCAGTCTTCTCAAATCCAAGTTGGACACAATAAACCGTGTGCTACCATAGTTGCTTCTAGAAGATCAAAGGACACCTAAGAACCAAGTAGCATGGTGATTCATGGATAACATGAGCTAGTAGGTGTTGGTTGGGATGAAGGTTACGAACACGATATGCAGTGGTGGCGTTGACCACCACTCAGGACACGTGTTCACATCACCACAATAATTATCGATAGTTGTTACGATATGATGAGTCAGTGTAGACAATGATTTGGATTACACGTAAGATCTTATAGATTAGGCAGTTACATCATGACAAATCTGCATTTTTAGGATTATGTCCATTATTAGAGCAGTACTAAAAACATGGTAGATCATAATTCTACAACGGAAAACCATCGAACTTAGATAATTTACAGACAGATGATCATCATCAAGTTGATGATATCCATGTCCGCTCACTGCTAGCATGTAGTGATTCTTCTTCTTCTTCTTCCGTCTTCTCGTACATTATCAATTAAGTAAATTATTTGTTTATTCTTGATAGAATCATTTCTTAGTACTCGAATTTTCACATTATTTTCACACTGCAACTAGGTAGTATCATGCCTGGTAATGCGATAGCTGCTGGTATACAGAATCCCCGCTGCTCTGAGTCAAACCTACTCACTCAAACTACAATATATACAAATCCAAAATACAACACTGATTAGAATTAGTACATTCGATTGGCTAGGTTAAAACCAATAAACATAAACGAATGCCTGGAAACATACCGAAATACCAAGAATAGACAGTGAAAAAATCAATTCGTTTACACAAACTAATGATAAAGTTATTGGATATTGGATGGTCAGTGTTCGGGACATTTGGATAACCTTTATTGGCGGCACAGTTGTATTAAGTTTTCTTGAAAATGCCTAACACGAAGGGAGATGCCATGCGGGGTTTAGCCGTTTTTATCTCTGATATCCGAAACTGTAAAAGTAAAGAAAGCGAAATACGCCGCGTCAATAAGGAGCTCGCAAATATTAGATCAAAATTTAGAGGTAATAAGTAGATAATTTGTAATGCTTTGTAGGTGATAAAACACTTGATGGTTATCAGAAAAAGAAATATGTCTGTAAATTGCTCTTCATATTTCTTTTGGGGCACGATATTGATTTCGGACACACTGAGGCAGTCAATCTGCTTTGCTCAAACCGATATACAGAAAAGCAAATAGTAAGAGTGTTTTGCAAAATAACACCTTTAGGGGTATTTATTCATATCTGTACTCATCAATGAATCACACCCACTCATGAATTTGGTTATTTCACGTCTTAAGGATGACCTGAATAGCCGGAATCCTGTGTTTATGAATCTTGCATTGCAATGCATCGCCAATATAGGGAGTCGTGAAATGGCTGAAAATTTTGCAGACAAGATCCCTAAATTACTTGTATCAGGGTATGCTTATGCTTGTTCATTACCACCTTTAGTGATACAATTGACTCCATCAAACAAAATGCTGCTCTTTGTCTTCTGAAGTTGATTAGGGTTGCTCCTGAACTGATTACATATGATGATTGGACTGTTAGAGCCATGCATCTGCTTAATGACCAACATTTGGTGAGTTTAATTGTTTATTGCTTATGAAACTAGTTATATTTCGAGTATAATACGATGAAATTAACTCCACCATACCAGATATGATGACAACCCCGCTTTCAATTGTCCATTCTGATGTCAGGAGTCATATTATTTGAACATATTATTTCTAGTGTGAAATAATTACTGCTCATTCTTAAACGTGCTCTAGGTCACGTAAAGTTATCTAGACTTTGTTGTATTGGGAGTACTTCATAGATCGTCGAATATCGACTTCATTTCAATACACCAATGTATACTTGTAGGTAAATATAGTCTGTTCTCTCTGTTGAGTGGATCACACACATCTGTGTAATGCACGTTTTACGATGGAGAGCCGATAAACTTTTGTAGTTGACACTTTCTACTGCTATATAATTCACCAAATACAAACCGGCATCGAAGCTCACTCCTTGTGAGCACTAGTAGGACTCCCTGACTGCTTAAACTGAAATGGAACAGAGTTCAAACCGACTACTCTATGTCTAAGGGTCAGATACTGAAATTACTTAACCACCGCCCTGTTATAGTTAAACTGCGAAGGTTACCGACCTATAGATCGAAACCTCTTACTTTCAAATCAGTGATTTTTGTGAGTTGTAGGGTCCATGTATAAGGAACATTCCGGAAGGAAGTACAAGTTATCTGTTGACATATTTGCTTGTATGACATCATGTTCTGTAAAGTATGTAAATTACATTACTCTGTTTTATTTCAATCAACCATAATATTTAAATTTATCTCACCATTTAGGGTGTTGTGACATCGGCCGTTAGTCTGATCGATGCTTTGGTGAAAAGAAGTCCAGAAGAACACAAAGGATGTGTATCTCTTGCTGTTTCACGCCTTAGCAGAGTAAGAATTTTTGTTGCAATATAGTCATTTTAACATTATTTGTCTTATTACCTCATAGTTTATGTATTCTGTCCCTTCGCCTGTTTAAATCTGAGTGTTCAGATCACGCGAAATCGCATCGTATTTTTTATAGTCCGATCTACGTAGCAGCGCATCTATACCTTCGTCAGATAGAAAACTACAAGTTTAAGAGACAATGCAACTTACTGTTGAGTATCGTAAGATCATTATCTACCAATTCAATACAATTATAGTTCTACATAACCTTCGATTGTATTCTGGCAACTCCCATTATTTACCCATTCAATATTGTGTTTTTCCAACATGTTATCCATTCAACCCTTAATTAATTAAGTTTACTTGGTTATTACTGCAAATTGAGTGTGTGAATTAGTAAAATTTTTTCCCAATATATGTTCTCAATTCCAAACTAGGCTTTGTGTTAATAGTTTGGTGCTGTGTTAGGATTTTCGAAGTCACAGCATTAATAAGCGATCGCGTTATGTTCAGCAATTGCCATCACATTTACGTTCACTATTACGCTGTTATTTTCAAAATCGTTTAGCAAGGAGTGAGTTATAACAGGACTGTGTCCATTCCAGGTAGTAGCAGTAGCAATTTTTTATAACGGCCTTTCCATTACTTTACGATTTACTATTTGATTTCTAAACCGACTTACTGCACACTTATATTGTGCGGGAATCCTGATTTACATAGCTCATAAACATGATAACTAAACTTTTGTGATTGATATCTGAATCCATCATTTCAAAAATTCATGTTTCCTCTATTTCCTTCCAGTTAATAACATCTTCTTATACTGACCTACAAGATTATACCTACTACTTTGTTACTGCTCCGTGGTTATCTGTCAAGTTACTACGTCTACTTCAGAACTACCCACAACCAGGTACAGTTAATTGTTACTACAATGTTGCGTCATGTGATAAGATATACCGTTTTGCAATAATTTATTTAATATTGTACTTTTAATTTTTATTATTTAGAGGACACTACGGTTCGTGCTAGACTTGCTGAGTGCCTCGATACTATTTTGAAGAAAGTTCAAGAAGCTCCAAAATCAAAGAAAGTACAACATCCAAATGCTAAAAATGCTGTTCTTTTTGAAGCTATCAATCTTATAATCCATATGGATTCTGATCCCAAATTACTTGTCCGTGCTTGTAATCAGTTAGGACAGTTCCTACAACACAAGGAGACCAATCTACGTTACTTAGCTCTTGAATCATTATGCTTGTTGGCTACGAGTGAATTCAGTCACGAGGCAGTCAAGAAACATCAGGAAACTATTGTAAATGCACTCAAAGTAAGTCCTATTTACATAAACACTAGTTGTTATTGTGTTATAAATGTCCTGGGAGCTTAAAAAGCATATTAAGTTTAAAACCTTAAACTTTCAATGAACTTTAGTTTATTTGACGATTATTCCTTTAATAGTTCTAAGTTTACAGATTGTTAGCACGTGTTTCGAAAAATGTCATGTTGGTTTTTCCACTAGGTGGATTAAATCGTCTAACGCCAAACAAAGTGATTCATTGCCCCAATTAGGTATTAGGTTGATTGTATTTGGAGTTTTCCAGGTCATATGTGAAAAATATTCATCAAAATCAAGGGTTTAAAGCACTGTCCTTTAAAATAGAATTGTCGCTTTGTTTAGGGACCATATTTTCTCATTGAATGAGGAATATGATTTAATCTCTTTCTAAACCATAAGTGGTTTGATGCTGTAAGTTAACTTTGACTTTATAACGATCGAAATTTTTTTTGCACTGAACAAAAAGCACTTGACTTGGCGGAATGTTGCTATTCGTAGGAAATTGATAGGTAATGACTTTGCATTGAACTCGGTCGTGTGCTATATTACTGAAAATTGCCCTTGAAGTCAATGGTCCGACTAGATGTGAACAGGCTTTCAGCCTGGTCAGTCTCTAACTAAATATCCGAACAATAATCTAGGTTATGTGTTCAGTTTTTAAGATTTCAGTGATTGGTGTTATTATTGAATGCTCTTCACTAATTTGTTTGGAATTGTGAACTTAGGTTCCATACCATTTAACACCCAGTGTTATAGTGAAAGATGTTACATTAAGTAAAGAAAGCATGAAAATGTGCATTGATATAATCCAGTAACTGTCATTATGTTGTTGATTTTATTGTTTAGAGTGAACGGGATGTTTCAGTTCGTCAAAGAGCTGTGGATCTCTTATATGCTATGTGCGATCGAACTAATGCTCAAGCTATTGTAGGGGAGATGCTCAGCTACTTGGAAGTAGCGGATTATGCTATCCGTGAGGAGATGGTTTTAAAGGTTGCTATCTTGGCGGAAAAATACGCCACTGACTATTCTTGGTATGTGGATACTATACTGAACTTAATAAGAGTTGCTGGTGATTATGTTAGTGATGAAGTTTGGCATCGTGTCATCCAGATTGTTATAAATCGTGAAGACGTACAAGGATATGCGGCAAAGACAGTGTTTGAGGTGAGTTTATGTCTTATTTTTAATTAATGTTCAGTTATTTATAATGTGTTTTACTGTGACAGTACTCTCCACTGTTTTAAATTGATACTGAATTGCAGTAGATTAGAAATAATTTTATGCTTTCGTTATTACAGTTGTCACACATAATGGTACGCTAATACCTTTCTATAATTCTAGTTAACCTTAATCATACTTAGATCACTGATATATTCTCATTGTAAGCACAATTGAGAATCATCTGAGTGCGTAAATTAGAAACGTTTGATCTATTCTATCTCATGAGGTTTCGTATCAAACAATTTCTGACTTCATATGGGGTTGTTAACCGAAAACGGATAACCATTCTATTATTATCACTATTTTTTATAATTATTACTGTTATCACCATTACACTGCTATTATTATAGCCTTTCCGTAATTTTAATTTGGTGTGCGACCTTTTCCTTTCTGGAGTGCTAAGTTTCTTTTTCAGTTAATTAATCACACTAAATAACCCCGGAAACAATTCAAAGTGAAACCAAAATGAAGAAAAACGATAAAGGATAGTTGTAAACGTGGAAATATTTACAGAGTACTAGCATAGGTTATATATGATCGTGGACGGAAAAGTCCACTTTTTTTTTCACGTTTACTACATCTTATTATTGTTTTTACAAAAAACGATTTCCATCTCTGATAAATCAGTTTTCGTATTCTTTTGCTTTTTTCTTGCATTTGGATTATTTCTGATATCATTTGAGCGGGTTTTCTAGCATCTGTTTTTAACAGGAAGAAATACATTCATTTCAGTTAACTAGTTCATCCAATAATGCACTGTTCGTCCATCATTTTTACATATATATTGTTTATATATAGATATCTTTCAGAAGCTTCACGAACTATTATGTGATTTGACTTATGATTACTATTATTTATCACCATCATTCATTTATTTATTCTTTGCATCTTATATCTTGTTAATTTCTCTCACTGCTAATGTGTTATGTCAATTTCGGATAATACATATTCGTGTCAGCTTTTAAATTAACAATGAATTATTCGCCTTTATTACGTTTATTGTTTTCATTTTATTGTGGAGATTACTGAATCATAACAGAAATGATTTTTTTAAAGCCACATATCTCTATTCTGATTCTTTAGTGATAATCATTAACCTTGCTAATTTACAGGCACTCCAAGCTCCTGCATGTCATGAAAATATGGTTAAAGTTGGAGGATATATTTTGGGTGAATTTGGCAATCTGATTGCAGGGGACCCAAGATCAGCGTAAGCTTTCACATTATTTAGTTTTTTTCCATCTTTTTGGATGGAGACAGTTAATATTTTCATGAACAGATTTACTTCGCTTCTCCACTGTTGTGAATGTATCCATCTGAAGTGAAAGATTTTCAGTCTTTTAAAAACTTGTTACTTGTCTTTTAAATTTTTTTTCAACGTTGGATTTATAGAACTGTAACTGTAAAGTCTAATATCGTTTCTCGAAGTAGAAATGTGGTATGACGGTTGAAGTATGTGCTTTCAAAATAATGTAGTCATAAGTTCGAACCATACTTCACTTCGGTTTAGGCAGTTGGTTAGTACCACTGGCTGGGGAGAGTCCGCTCTCCCTCTCGAAATGCTCTCACATATCCAGGGAAGTTCTATTCACTGCCTTCTCGTGGCGGGGGTGTTGTTTACAAAAACGAAAGGACGAAAAGCGAATGTCCGGCGCTTTAACCGGATTTCAAACCAATGGTGCACATGGGCTCCAGTATCCTGCGGGAACAAATGGCGAATGAACCAATTGTTGGTCACCGGCTTCCATGGGACTGCATCTCCTTACGATGCTCCACTGCCTTGTGGATCAGACCTTCAAGTCGAAGACTCGGGGTGTGGTCCCCTAAGAAAACCACCTGCTTCGGTTTGGGCACCCGGGTAGTATCACAGCCCTCACACATATCGGATGAGATTTGTGTGGCGCATATGTATTTGGTGCCTCTTTGTACCATTATCTATGTGTTGAAATAAATAAATAAATAATCACTGGCTGTTACGTGTGTTATATCTAAGGTTGTAAATAATGGTTTTGGAATGCGTTATCATACTTATTGGTGATTATTAAAACGACGAATAATGCTGATCAATAGTTAAAACGCAATAATATTATGTAACGTATTAGCGACTGATTTATTGATGTAACCCGTCGAATGAATTCAAATAGGAAGACACGATAACTTGGCACCAGAACAGTTTTTTCTAGTGAAATAACATACTTGCATAATTAATATTAAGCCAAAAAATGAACATGATTACATTTTATCATTGGTTAGAATATCCTAGTTTTACAAGCCACTTGTGAACAGATGAGCTAAGAGTTGATTGTTAACCTTATCTTTTTCCCATTGAATCACCGACTTAAAGCCGAGTGTATGATATAAGATTTGTTAAGTTATGTTTCACAACATACTTTTAGAATAGCAAGTGTATATAGCGCAGTGGCTTATACCATGCAGATTTATTTTAACGTCCGATTGCTTTTCAATATACCAGTGAACGCTGTTATGTAATATTATGATTAAGAATATAAGTTTTATAGTCTATTTTCATGTATATCTACAAAGTTAGTTGCACGACACCCACATTTCATGCAGTTTCATCGTACCATTCGTTAGTTGTGTAGGCTCAAAAACTGGAATAAAGTGACATTGATCGGGTTGATTATTACAGATCTAATGTGTAACTTTTTAAATCCCACACTGCTAATTATCAACAAATAACTTTTATTAGGTTCTTCTGTCATGGTTCTTTTTTAAATTTATAAAAATTCTGCATTATTGATTGTTTCTGTTTTGTAAATTCATTTTTTTATACCCAAAGACCTAAAGTACAATTCAATTTATTGCATAGTAAATTTCATTTATGTACTCCAACTACACGTCAACTATTGTTGTCCACGTATATGAAGTTTATCAATTTGTTTCCAGAAATTAAGTCCGATATACAATCTGTACTACAAAATGACAGTAATTTACGTAGTTCCAATGTAGAAATACAGCAACGAGCTACTGAATATTTAGCGCTATCGCGAATCGCCACTGACGACGTATTGGTTAGTCTTTTTTGTAATTATTCATTGTATAGATTATTACTACTGAAAATAAAATTTAACGGAAATTACAAACGCTTTATATTAGGATTGTTGGTAGGATAGGATTTTTCTATGATAAACTGAAATATAATAGTTTCATTTTTAGGATCACGTTTAAACACACTCAATTTTCGCTCCATTTACCATACTTTAAATTTACTGGTAACATAACGGTTTAAAAAGTCACTTCTTCAATGCGTCTCACAACATCTACAACCTTTCCGTATCTTGATTCCCAACCCCATAACATTTCAGCAAATCCAAAGAAATGTGGTCATTACTGTTATTTGATCAGCATTATCATAGCAGTTGGTCTGCGAATCCTAAACGTTAACTGACGTTTTATGTTTCAAATCGTACTCCATAAAGCTTACAATCATTGAAAATTATTTCCTTCAATTCCTATTCATTATTTCCATATTTTCTTTATTTAGGTGTTATTTAAATTTCTTGAAAATGTAGAAGGAAACTAATTGGTTTGCATTTAGATGTTTATTGAAGATCATGTTCTTTGTCGAGTTCTGTTGAAGATGAAACTTTTTGAATGGGTTTGGTTCTCGAGGTTGAATTCTGTTCCATGACTCATTTCACTATTAATGTGTCAACGAATGGACTCAGCGTGGACCATATTTAAACAATTGACGATGATTATGGACTGTAGGGGAATGTTTATTACTACTTATTCAACTATATTTGACGCAGATACATTCACACTTTGTCGTCCCTTAAAACCTATGTAAAAGTCCTTGTACCTTATTTTCTATATTTCTTTGCCTAGTCTTTTCTACTACACTTGATGGTGTTACTTTTATGACTTTATGTCCGGCTTTTTATCACGTGATTTATTCATTAATCAAGATACGACTCATACAATCTTGGCACTGTGCCAAACCAATGACGTTCGACCGGTGTGGGCAGCCTACCGTCCTTATTGGTCCTATGTCCGCCTGTCCCGTCCACGTGAGTACAAAACACCAATACCAGCTCCCACTATGCGAATCTAATCCAATCATTTATTCCAGACATACTGGGTTTATATATCAATCAAACAGACCGAAATGCACCATAAAATAGGAAATAACATTTGTACAAAATAAAGCCAAACAGTGACTGTGAGCGTGGGAGGCAGTAGTCAATAAACTGAACATAGCTTAAGAACAGTAAATCGTACAGTAATAAATTATAGGTCAAAATGAGAGGAATATAAATATACATAATCTAATTATTGAATAGTTATGCCATAAGAATGTATAGATAATATTAGTCAATTAATATGTCTCAGAAGTTACTCGTGATTTAATCTTCGCTCGGATATAACAGTTACTACTTCTGGTACTGTAGGAATTGTCTCGATAATTTCTTTTCACTGTATTAATTTTTTATCGCCACTTCAGCTGGTGCAATTGTGTCAGGTTCTACGTTGCACATCACTGATTGACTATCTAATAATCTTACTCCCACATCACTCAAGTTTAAAATATTGCATTATACAGTAATAATTAGTTTTAATAAAATAGATGTTCTGTGACATGAAGTAGAGTCAATTGTAACCAAAATTTCTTTCATGTATATCCAAACTATTTTCTATACGTCAATCTAACGTCTTTAATTTTAAATTCTTCAAATGATGATATTAATTTCTCAAAAGACGGATGTGACCAAACTTAGTGATATTTCAGGAATCTAATACAGTAGTAACCCGAGTACAAACTAAAAGTATGGCTGAACAAGATCACTCAGATAATATTTCCTCATGCAGTTCTCTATCAATTTAGACATGCTTGATAAGATTTTTCAAACTGTCGTCTGGAAGTAACTTCTTTTGGCTTCGAATATAAGGGTTGTGCTTTACAATAGAAGTTGAATAATGGAAATAAAATAATTTGTGTTTTTCAAGGCTTCTATCATTTCCTCAGTCATACACATAGGTCCGGTATAACTAAAATGATTGTTTATACATACACAATAGCAGTATAAATTTTGTAAAGTATGTATGTTCCTTATGTCTTATACTGTAGCGTAACAATAATTGAAACTAATTTTAAAGCTCAACCGAATGTGATTCGAAACAGGTAATGTACTTCATGTTTGGTTGAGTTTTATTCAGTCCATAGCAACTTTGTCCTCGTTAGCTAGTCTTTTCATTAATTTTCCTCTGCAATATTGTTTATATTTTATTGGAAGCATTTAGTAAGTAATTTTTGGAAGTAAACTGTTTTCAACTAGATCATATCGTACAAAATAAGGAGCTTATTTCTCTCTCATGACTTGTGGCTTAAAATCCGATTAATTTTGAAATTGAATTTTATCATAGTCAATGTAGAATAGTTTTATTGAAAATCATTATCATGAAGTGGTTAGGAGTTTATTTATTTTGTAATTAACCTTGAGTTTCCATGAGTTCTCAAATTCGTTGTCGGGTTCATCTTCTCTCGTAGTACTTATTTTCCTATGCTTTGAGTAAAATTGAAATGTTGAGAATATTTCTTGGTCTGTATTTTCTCATCGAGTTCATAAATTACAAATGTAAATGGTTTTTATTCTGGTTTTATTATCTCTTTTTGGAGAAAATTCTTTGCTCACCTATTCTCTGTTATATGTTAATTATTCTCATTATTTCTGACATATTTAGGCTACTGTTCTAGAAGAAATGCCACCTTTCCCAGAGCGTCATTCCAGTATTTTAGCTAAACTTAAGGCTAAAAATCCTAATACTGATGGTACAATATCAAAATCGGAAGCTATTGGGGAAAGTTATGCTTTGAATTCAACCAAAGTTAGTTTTCAGTTGTATTATTATTTATTTTGTTATACATGTATGTACTAGTAATGTGTTATTGCTTCATTATACTTCAGTTGAGACGATACATTTCACGTTTTAAATCTGTTTTTCAGAATTCTTTTTCTACAGCTTTGACAGTATGTCCGCAGTTTAGGACAACTCTAAACTGATTCTAACCCAGTTTCCACGTTCTTAGTCATTTTCAAGCCCTAATACATATTGGACTCGGTGGAGTTGGTAATTATAGAATTATTCTATCGCATTTGATCATCTTTATCACAGTTAAGAACAATGTTGTTTTGGCTTTTGAAAGCTGTCCTATGTTAAACAGATAGACAAACAAGTGCTTAGAGTAGAACCACTACCAAGTTGTTTTTAACATATTTATTTACTCCAATCGTGATACAGTTGTGGATTAAAGTAGGTACTTCCCTTCCACTACCCAAAACTAAGAAAGAACGAGATCGTAACCACTATTTAAATTAAAATAAACAGTTACTGACTTTTTGATGAAGTTAGGTCACTCCATTTAGATTACAACGTTGTTATTATTCTGTAGTTGAACGCTGGTGGGAAAGTATCGACCCTCAAGATTTGTGTCTATCTACGTTGGTGTACATTCACAAACTCTTCATTTTAACTGAAATGCAACTTTTCACTCACTGACTCTAAAACACACAAAATGACAAAAAATGGTAACAATGTCTAGGTTAAATAAACGTAAAATTTTCATTTACATACATGTAGGATAGTAGTAGTGCATATGTTTGCGTGGTTAATGTCTACATCATCATTGGTACATCATGATTTGTTAACACTTTATATTACATAGCTAACCCTTGAGCATTTTAAAGCTTTTATTATTAGACACTAACCACTATACCTAGTGAAAATGCTAATTATGTTACTAGTTAGTAATTTTGTTTACTTTATTTGCTTAGTAATCAATAGTTTGGTTGTATAACTAATTTTTTGACGAATAATATAACTTAACATCTGAATTCTTAAACATTATAAATATTTAGAATCACACATAGAGCTTATTCATTTGATGATTAAATATAATTTATATGATGATATTCATACGGTCACTGGAATTTTGAAACATTTCGAAATGATAACACCTATTGGGTTGTTGGCAATAGATTTTTAAAAAAATGTTAACTTCATCGATTCGTTGTTTTGTACTTTACGTGATATATATATATTAAGGAGAAATAAAATTTCCTCAAATAAAAAGTATTCATAACAACTGGTTTACACAAGTTAACATCCATTGTATACATTCTGTAATCTATTGACGCCTTGAATTAGTTATTTTACCACAAAACTACACAGAACGTCTGTTTATAAAATTTGTATCAAATAGGAATAGTTATCCTATTGTTTTAGTGTTTTTTTTTAATAGGATGTCCATCCATTTTGATTCTTATTAGTTTTGTTTAAGCATAATCTCTAGTTTCTAGTTTTTTATTTCATGTACAACAATTATCTTCATTTAGACAGTGTTGCTTCCTAAACTTTAACGTTGTTTAGTTAAAAACAATTGTAGACGTATTTCAAAGTAAGCCAAGTTATAAAAAAAGGTAGTTTTCGTCACTGACTGACATTAGTTGTATAAAACCAATAAAAACTAGAGAGCACTAAATGGATAGTTTGCTTTTCTTATTTTTAAACATCTAGAAAAATATTCATAAATTTGCAAAAAAAACTTAAATTTCATGACTTTCATATTTCTAAGCACCATACATTTGGAATTATCGAATCTTATACATTACGGTTACTCCAAACGAAACTTTCCTCTAAATCTCTTTGGGTTTTAAATAATTTCACAGTTAATTTCAATCAGTTATAAAAACTATATTTAGATTAAACTAATCTCCACAAAACATTTTACTAAATAAATCAGATAGGGTTCTATTGGGATCATCACTGGATCACAATTCTCTCTGACATTTTTCTGAAAAGACTACAAAATAGTTTATCTCAGAATGACATTAGCTAGTTAGCATTTTTTTTTTCGCGTTACATTGACTTAATAGTATAGAAAACGAAGAATTCAGGTGGAAAAGACCAATTTAATTTTTAATATAAAATTACAGAGTGCTTTCATACAATATGAAAACCATACATTAAATACGTCATTTGCACATTTTCCATCTGTTGTTTCTTGCAAACTTCGTCGTTCCTTCATTTCTCTTGTTATTACAACCACTCTCTGTTTACATTCCTTTTCTCTTCAATTCGATCTTCTCAACATTCTGCTGCCAGGCATTCCACTCCTGATTGGTGTTACATACTACTTATATCTGTCAACGTAAGTAGCATGCATCATAATAGTACCGGTTAGTATTTGCTATCGTAATAGACAAGACTGATCTACCTGAATGTTTTAGCAGCATTTACTCATGTAATATTTTATACCGGAGGAAGAGTGTAATGGTAGTATTTTATCTTTAAATGTTTTTGTCTATAAGGAGATTGAATGTGCTGTTAATAATTGTTTATACAACGTCATCATTTGATCAATATTCTTAATTTTACAGTTCTATACGTGTTAGATATAAAAGAAAGCATAGTGGAGAGTTTAATACATCATATCAAACTTATTTACTCCGATATTACTATTGAAGAAGAGTTAAGTGACATTCACAGCTTCACAGTATATGAACTCGTATACGTTAACATTTGTCAACAAACAAGTAATTCAAGCTAGTAGAGAGTTGACGATAAAGACCATAAATAAATAGATTTTTCATTCTTCTATAAACTTATGAATTATCTTTTGATATGGCTCAGAATCGATCACAATGGCGTAGATGTTTACACTGTTTGTCTTCCCTTAAACCATGAGATTAAAATTACTTTTTACCTTTCCTTTCACGAACTAATTCTTTCTTTCTGTATTATGTCCTTATACATAATCTTCCTTATACATATTACTACCATTGAAGTAACTACTTATATGAATTTGGTGTTCATCTTGTGCTAATGAGCTGTGGCAACTTGGACCGACGTATATGTGTGCCTGACCTTTTAAAATAACATTATTATTATTAATGGTTTGTGTTCAATAAATATGTTTGATAGTGAAAGAATGTAGGACTACACCTTTCACACTATATGATTTCCTATTTTTCTCCCAAATTGTATCGTGCGTAACAAGTGCATAAACTATTGCCATATGTAATTAAGTTAGACTAAAATAGTCAGACAATTTTAATATTAATATAATCCAAGTATTAGATATGCAAACAATTGATGATAAAGGAATATTTCTTATAGTTTAAAACACAATCAAATAATCATGAAATTTCTTCCTCTAAATACAACTTTTGAAAATTAAAATAGTATCCCTAATTTTACGTTTGGTTAGTAATTTAGTATTAAAACTAGAATATTAGTGATGATTTCGGTATTTTTTTTGTGAAGTTTCAAGCTCATAGAGATAAAAACTATTAATTATGCTTTAAATATATATTACAAAGCATAAAAATGATCTAATCAGATGGATTTTAGTGATATGTGCCGGAGTAAAACTATTACGATAATGAGAATGAATTTGCAACAACAACAACAAAAAAAGCCCAAGAATTAACAATAAATACGATTGCTAACTCCAGTATTTTTACACCTCACCTATCCACATTATTATTATTATCATCACAAAACAATATTTGACTTGTGGTTGCAAAAATTTATTTTTTATTTCTATTGCGAAAATACATCTTACTTGTTTAACCAATGTAAAATTACAATTAATAAAGAAAGACTGAATAACTTATTCCGATTGATCTAGTCCTTTGAATAAATTGTTTGATAAGATTATTCAAATCAAATTTTGAAGAGTAAAACTTTCAGCTTAGACAAATTTTCAACCAGTTCTTAGACAATCAGAAACCAGCCTTTGTAGATGGATAGTTTACGAAAAGAATAACAATATTAAAAATTGTAAACAGATTTTACATATTTAATCAATCTGTGAAACTCTTCTACAGGTTACTCTAATTGTAAATTGAATAAAAAACGAAACATGCAAATGTTCGTTCTTATGAACATAGATTATCCATCTTTTAGGACTTGTATATAAGTCACATTCTTCATTTCGTTTGACTTGTCCACATAGTTTTTATTTTTACTGAAAATTCCTAGTGTTGATTTGTAACTTAATCATTTGCCATCATTTATTCATTTACACTTAGTTCGTATTTTAATTTTTAATATCTCATAGAATTATACCATTTAGGATTTTAAGTCAGTCATTATGAAGTTATATTTGTTGTTTATGTGATCCTGTTATCTGAGTTTACTCATATTTGATAATGTATATTTTATTGCTTAAATTTGGTTCATCTTATATGAATATCGGTTTTATCATAGAAGTAGTAAAGTGTGTTCAGATTGTATATGTGTACTGATTGTTTTTTTTCTCTGCGTTGTATTGGCCGTATAAGTTATTAGTTTTTATTGTACTAAATGAAAATTTTTTTGCCACACACGTTGTATGGTCAGTCAATTGACTTCACTTGTTTTTCCAGGTTGGATGTGAAATCAGAAAAAAATAATTCTTATTGATATTGGTAATAGTATTATGATATCTGTTCATGCATTATAATCTAAGATTTCTCAACGTCAGTACAATAAACGCGACTATTACCGTCCTTTTCTTTCCTGCCTCACTTTCCAGAATAAGCATAAGGAAAAACATCTTTTAACATGGCGACCTCCCGATTCGTCCCAATGTTGGACTCAAATAGACCACATCGCTATTAGCTACCGATAGAGGGGCTCGACAGGAGACTGTCGCTCATTCTGGAGCACATGCTTAGATTCAGATCATGCTCTAGTGCGAGCGCGTATTTGCTTGCGTCTTACTGGACGTAGGAAAGACGCCGCAAGGAAACCTCTTAGGGTCTTGTTTAATGATAGTCAAACTAAGAGTATATTTCAGGAACAACTAGGAAAACAGTTAGGCAGCCATGTATGTGATGCCCACCGCGAGGCAGCATGGAATGATATCCAAAAAGCTGTGGAAACAGCAGTGATATTTGCTAGTAAGGTAAACCACAAGGATAGGGAGAAACACTGGGCCTCAGCAGCATCTACCGCATTGATAGATGCTCAAAAACTCATTCCATCTGGATCTGAACATAATGAAGAGCGGAGTCAGCTTAAGCGCAAACTGACAAGAAGCTTACGCAATGATCGCGAACAGTGGGGGTAGCGAAAGCAAGAGAGATAGAAAAGGCAGCAGCAATAGGTAATAGCAGACAATTGTTCAGACTCTTTAAGGAAACCGGTATTAAGAACCCGAGTGTAAGCAAAACACTCTCAGAGAGAAATGGACATATTATACACTTCCAAACCAGGAGATTGAATCGATGGGCAGAACACTTTAGGGGTCAGTTCAACTGGCCTTCAGCCACATTTCGGTTTCCCAAGATTTCTAGTCAACCCGAATGGCAAGTTAATGTAGGTTCTTTGACTCTTAACAAGGATGATAAAGCTATACGAAATCTGAAGCGAGGGAGAGCAGTAGGCCCTGACAGATTTACTCCTGAGATTTTTAAGGATGGTGGTCCAGTATTAGCAGTGAAATTAACTGTGGTCTTAGGTAGAATTTGGGAACTAGACGTAATCCCATCTGACTGGTTTCAATCAATGATCGTGCCAGTTTTTAAGAAAGGACAAAATTCCTCTTGTAACAATCACAGAGGAATCAGTTTGACTAATATTTTGTCTAAAATATTAACTTCAGTAATACTTCGATGCCTAACTAAAGCTCGTGAAGAGCAGACTAGAGAAAACCAGACTGGTTTTCGACCTGGACGTGGTTGTATAGACCAGATGTTCACACTACATCAGGTTCTAGAACACAGACACACGTTCAGACGCCCCACAATGGTAGTATTTCTCGACCTTAAGGCGGCATTCGTCTCTGTTGATCGTAAGGTTCTATGGCAGTGTTTGTCACTGAAAGGAGTACCAAAGAAGTACATTAACCTTATAAAGGCTCTCTACTCGAACACAACTGGTAGAGTGAGAGCTTATGGCGAACTGTCATCAGAAGTGATTACCCCAAGTGGTGTTCGTCAGGGCTGTCCACTCTCTCCATTCTTGTTCAACTTTGTCATCGACGTACTTTTAGAGATAACACTTTTCTCGTCTAGATTTCCAGGGGTTGAACTTCTACCAGGAGATTCACTTGTTGACTTGGAATATGACGATGACATAGTTCTATTTGGTGATGACGCTGACAAAATGCAGAGTCTTCTGACCACTCTAAGCAACAATGCAGGCATGTTCGAGATGCGATTCTCCTCCTCGAAACGTAAAATATTGCTTCAGGATTGGGTTGCATCGACACCCAAACTAATGATAGGGAGTGAAGTAGTTGAACGTGTCGACCGCTTCACTTATCTCCGAAGTCCCATCAACCCTTGTGGTCTGGTGTGTGACGAAATCTCAGCACGGATACAGAAGGCTCGATTAGCTTTCGCTAAATTGCGTCATTTATGGCGTAGGCGAGACATACGTCTATCAACCAAAGGACGGGTTTACTGCGCAGCAGTTCGTTCCGCCCTACTTTATGGCAGTGAAACATAACCGGTAAGAGTAGAGGATATTCGTAGGTTACTAGTATTTGATCATAGGTGCTCGTATATCATGGGACCATCGAGTAAGTAATGCAGTTGTTAGGAAACGGGTACTAGGTAAGGATGGCAAATCAATTGATGAAGTAGTGAAACTTCATCAGTTGAGATGGCTGGGACACGTGTTACGTATGCCCAACGACCGACTGCCTCGACGTGCGATGTTCAGTGGTATAGGAGTAGGTTGGAAGAAAGCTAGGTGCGGCCAGACCAAAACATGGCACAAGTCCATGAAGTCACTGACAAGTGGTCTGAGTCATGTTGATAGGTGTAGACTACCTGGTTGGGGACCGCGAGATGATAGCAACCGATAGTTAGAGACCCTGAATGACATGGCTCAAAATCGTTTGCAATGGCGCAGGTGCATCCACTCTTTGTGTTCTCCCAAATTCTAATCTTCTGAATTCTTCATGCCCCTTTTTTCCTCTTTTCAAATTTATTTCACTGGATTATACTCTTTAAATAACATCTCCAAACCCTAATCTTCCCGATCACTGCTTACACTCTTGCTACCTCTACCACAATGGGATTTGAATCGACAACTGCATCTCTGTGCTAATGTTGTATGGTAACTCGAACTGATGTACGCACGTACGAAGTTCTACGTTGTTAATGACTGACTGACTTCGAGAATAAGAAGTCTAGTTTCATATTGGAGGCTTTGTTGATAGTGGTCCTTGTAGAATGGAAAACAAATTTAAGTTGATTGGTTGTATTATCAATTACTATGAATATAATTTATGAACGACATAATTACCACTAAACACAAATCTTAGTACAAATATATTGAAGTTGGTAATTTAATGTTGTGGAAGTGTTTTAAAGGTTGATAGTACTTTCATTTTAAGTTTATATTAATTTCCTGATAAGTTGTATTTGTGGATTGCAAATCTCCAACAGTTATAAAACAATATCCCTTTTTTCAAACACCTGACAACCGACCTTTATTTTCCCTTATGGAGTAGTAATGACATCAACATAGTTACACAACTTTTACAATCGATTGTTAAAATTTACGAGTATACTTACTAATGTTTTTCCTTGACATTTGAACTGCTGATTTCTATTACCATGTAATCCTTCACTTTTGAATTAATGCAAGTTGGTCTTTTCTGTTATAGTCAATGTACATCAAAGAAAAAATATATGTAAAGCAATTTAGAGTAGTTTCTTATCAATTATCCAATTTACCGTAATGCTTCATTAACTGAATCTAAATGTTGAAAGAGGTGGTTAGGTCATTCTTTGCCTAATACTCGTTCAATGGATTTCTTTTCACTAGACGCACAAAAGCACAAAAATGAATTCGAAATAAAATGTATTCCTCAAAACGCTGGAGTAAAATGTACAAAATAAAAAACACGAGTATATATTGCTATCTTTGAAAAGATTACGAGTTCGACTAATCTGCGAACGGAACGAAAACTCAGTGACACGATGACCAAATAAGCTAACAATTCCGATGCGTTCAAGCTCGTCTAACTACAGAAAAGTCCGAGTTCAGCAGTGGCAGATGTGTTCCAAAAGCACGATTCAAGCGTATACATATATAGCGTAAATGTCGTCGAGATGCTTTCGCACGGCCACGCGTATATAGCCTCTGCCAGGGAAGTCCTACTCACTGCCTTCTCGCGGCGAGGGTGTTTTTTCCACGAAATTGATATGACGATAAGCAAATGTCTGGCGCTTTAACGGGTTCGGTGGATATAGAGGATCCACCTAGGGGAGTTGGGAAATCCTGACTCCAATCCAATGGTGCACATGGGCTCCAGTATCCTGAGAGAATGAATGACGTATGGACCAATTGTTGGTCACCAGCTACCATGGGACTGCACCTTCCTACGTTGCTCCACTGCCTTGTGGGTCAGACCTTTAGGTCAAAAGCTCCGGGCGTGGCCCCCTAAGAAAACCACCTGCTTCGGTCTGGGCACCCGGGCAGTATCACAGCCAAAACACAAAAAAGATGAAATGACGGTAATTACTGAAAATACTATTCTCGTCACAAAATAGCATATTTAAAAAGACGACGAACCAATGATATTTAAGGTTCTCCCAAGTGAGTAATACGACACGAAGGTGAAAATAGGCGCTTTGGCGCGAAAACAAGAAATTAAAAATTTCAAAATTGCAAAAGTAAGGTATTTACCAAGTGAACTCTGTTGATATATATATATATATATATATATATATATATATATATATATATGTACAAATTACAGGAGAAAGACTTCTAAAACCTAGATTTGTTCACTGGCACCGTTTAGTTTTTAATGAATTAACTAGCTTGTGTAAATTTTTCTTGCACTGAGGATACGATCGTTAAGCATCTATTCTCTTAACAGAGTAAAGTCTAAACCAATAGCTAGTAGAGTAACTCAGTGTAGTTAAATAAAACTGATTCAGATTTCATGATATTGTTTTTTATCCGAACAAAATTCGGTTGTTTTTCTATTAACTCCTTTTCTTTGTTTCCCAATCCAGATCGATCATGATAATAATCACGATGTTAATCGTGAAGCAGATTTACTCAATTTCGGCAATCCTGGTACTGTATACAATGAAGTCCAGTCAAAACCAAACGGATCATCTAGTCTATTAGTTGATATAATGGGCAATGGTTTGGCTTCTCCTCATGCCAGTGGTGATCAATACATAAATCATAAAGAATTCACAAAGTATGCTTGATAGCTTTCTATCTATCTGTTGATGATCTATAGTCAGTCATATGGTTGACTAATTTTATTCTCCTTTATAGAGAATGTACTTACTAATGAATGACTGGACGATTTCATCCAGTATATGTCTTTATTTACAAAACTATATAATCGTAGAAGATTTATTCTTTAAATTTAAAATACAGGATTATACAATGCTTTTACAACTCGCTTAGCCATCTAAAAATAGATTTGCACAAGTTTGGTATGTGTCAAATCCTATCCGAGGTTGCTAATTTAAACTGAATTTCATTGTAGGAGAATGATATATTCTGTACTTATTTCCACAGAGTCATTCAGCGTTAACATTTTAATTTCTTTATTTTTATTTCACCAATAGTTTTCTGACAAAAAGTCACTGAATTGCTAAAGGTAGTCATATTGCACAGAAATGAAATAGGTCTATATACATTAAAGTTTGCTGTCATTTACTGTTCAATATTCGTTCCTCAACTAATTTATGTGATGTGTGGAATTTTAATTTGAGATGGCTGGGACACGTGTTACGTATGCCCAACCACCGACTACCTCGACGTGCTATCTTCAGTGGTAAAGGAGTAGGTTGGAAGAAAGCTAGGGGCGGCCAGACCAAAACATGGCACAAATCCATGAAGTCACTGACAAGTGGTCTGAGTTATGTTGGTAGGTGTAGACTACCTGGTTGGGGACCGCGAGATGATAGCAACCGATGGTTAGAGATCCTGAATGACTTGGCTCAAAATCGTTTGCAATGGCGCAGGTGCATCCACTCTCTATGTTCTCCCAAATTCTAATTATCTGAATCCTTCATGCCCCTTTTTTTCCTCTTTCCAAATTTATTTCACTGGATTATACTCTTTAAATAACATCTCCAAACCCTAATCTTCCCGATTACTGCTTATACTCTTGCTACCTCTACCACTACGGGATTTGAATCGACCACTGCATCTCTGTGCTAATGTGGTATGGCAACTCGAACTGATGTACGTACGTACTAAGTTCTACGTTGTTACTGACTGACTGACTGTGGAATTTAACAACATTCCACGAGGCTCTTCAGACTGATTTTGAACGTACGTTCTTTCCGTCGCTTGTTTGTTTGTCGTTTCTTCATCCACTATTCATTTCAGTTATGGAAGTATGGAAATATCTGTTGATTTTACAAAATAAATATTTGTATATTTTTGGCGAGTAACTAATTTTTATATAAGACGTATTGGCAACTAACAAACTGTGTACTTTAAATCAGACTTTACCATAGTGCGTTACTCACTACATACTCTTTGTTGAAACCTTCCGTGAATTAAAACATCTTAAACACTTTCAAGATTACTTTTAAAGTTTCATTAGATGTTATCGTTTAATAAAATATATTGTATTGCAGTGAGCTGACGAAGCCATTGATGTGTACACTTCTGTTCCTTTCTATGAAATGACTACCTGTATGTTGATACACCATCTATACATTCCTAGTATTATTAAAGTGTAGTGTGTACACCTAGAGGGTAGGGTAACTAATTTGTCAAATTTTTAAGCACATGAAGTAACAGAAAAATGTGTTTTTTTTACAATGACGGCTGCTGTTATGTAAACAAAGCAATTATCGCAATGCTACCAGTCAGAAAATGAATAGCAGGCAACTATTTAAAGCTTTTGTGAGGTTTTAAGCTGGTTACATCTGTATTTTCAAATTGATCGGGGGTCAACTTCGCGTCTCAGTTTTATTTACTATTTTCCTTTCTTTTTATCATATTTTTGGTGCTCTCTCATGTTTACCGGCTTTCCATTTGTATTCGTAGTTATATATTTTTTGTCCTGTCAATCATAGTTACGGAAATCGATCAGTTACACACTCAATTTTCAAATTATCATTTATATAAACTGTTCACTGAACTTACGTAATCCATATTTTGGATTTGCCGTATTTTGATGTGACCTCAGTTGACCAATATTTTAAATAGGGGCTTCAATAGACGAAAATATTTATTTTCAGTCATTTTATTTCACAATTTATTTCTACCATAAAACATATTTTCCTTTTTGTCAAAAACTTATGTAACTGAACGATAAAATCAAAATACCTTATTATCATTTTAGGTGGTAGGAGGTAGTCGACAGGGTCTCCTTTCGGTTATCTTCAACCGTACAACACGTTACCTTGGCGCACACTGTGTTGCATCACTCAGACTAATGGCCACATTTTGGTCGATGAAATTTGATCAATACTAATAGGTCTAGAAATGCCTGACATTTGTCACCGCTCACTAATCAAATAAATTTTGAGTAGATCATGATCTTTTTTGATTTGAACAGAAAATTTCTGGAATTCTCATTTATGAAAAAGACCTTATACAATTTTTTTCTAACACGTTTTGAGTAAATCTCTTTAATTTTTGTTTTTTGTTGTTCATTATATTAGTTCTTGTTATTCTTTCTGCCTTTGTTTCCAGCTTTTTGACAAGACATAATGCAATATTATATGAGAATTCTCTTATTCGTATTGGTATTCGAATGGAATCTTGTGGTCAGTTTTGTCGTTTAGGTGTATTCTACGGGAACAAATCTCCTCATCCATTCACAGTGTTTTGTTCTCAAGTCACTTGTCCAGATGCAATGGATGTGAACGAATTGGCTAAAGCTATTTCCATTGAACTTCAACCTGGTCCTGATCGAATTGAAGCAGGGACACAAGTTCAACAAACATTAAATGTTGAATGTTTACGTCCTTTTACTGAAATAGTAAAACTTGATGTTTCTTATTTGTAAGTAAATTTTTTTATCAACTTTTTTTCTCTCACTCAAATCCATTTAGAAACTATTGATTTTATACATTTAGCTTTCAGCTACACATTATATAATACTAATCGATTGTCGGGACTGAAGTAGCCGTTGTCGGGTTCAAATTTGTTATCCGATGGTTGAAAGCTGTGTCTTGACTAATTAGAGTTACCACCGTACATTGTTGTCAAACCACTGGATATTTTTCAGTGTTATTTGCTAACGTAAATCCGCATAGAAAATTCCATACTGTATACAACCTGCGATTTTACCTGGGCGACAACCCCTGGACTCGAAATGACCATATTACAGTTAATGTTTATCTAAAGGCTTTGGATATACTTACTTGGTTGGTTTCATCATCACGATGTACGAAGTAGTTCTTATTTATTCTACATTTCATTGTCATTTTTCTCACGCCACTGTATGCTTGAGTCTATCGCTCAGGCAAGTACAATAAGACTACTTGTTAATTAGATCTAAATTAAAGGTGGCTTGCTGGAGTTGATTAACAACCCAAATACAATGCTCTATATACATGCCCATTAAAGGAATTTTATGAAAGATTTAAAGAATAATCTTTTTCCAGTTATCTTAAACTGGACTCTAAAATATCAAACTTGGTAATATGATCTTTTTTCTTGATAAAGTGGGAACTGTGTGGGATGGAAAAGGACAGTAGTAGCATTTCAGAGATCTCATTTTTTCCATCATTGATCGTCATTTATTGGAATTATCTTTTGTTTTTCAACGTTAGCTTCATCTGGTTAATCAAATTACAGATAAATGGTTATAACAGGTTTCTTAGATTACATATTCAAAACTCAATTTGGGAGTACAATTATCCTCATATTCTTTAAATCGAAAATAGATCTAAGTTAGACACCTATTAAAAAAACTTTGAACACTGGATGGTCGTTTCGTACTATTATGAAACTCTTCATGAGCTCACATACAGGATCGTGGATCTCGCACACGGACGACTAATATTGTTTCTAAATAAAAACCTCTCGCAATACTGCTGCAAAAACATTCACTTTTACTGTGAATAAATGAAATCCTAATTTTCTGTCTGCCTTTCCAATTTTGATCTTGTCTACAGTGATCTATTTATGATCATAACTATTGCTCCATATCCTTGTTTTTCGAGAATTTTTTCTCTACATTTGTTGTAAACTGTAACTGTTAGAATATATATATTAGTAATATAAGTAGCCTGTGCCAGGATATTTTACGTATATAACTTAAATATATTATTTTTACTATTATTATTACTGCGAACCTCATTAGGTAATCATTAATCCAGTGACCAGTTATCCATTTTTGATGTAAATATCACGTATTAAAGTTAGCTCTAAAAAAATTGATTATTGTTTTTTCTTAGTTGGTCTCACTTGTTCACATACACGTAAAATCGTAGTTTTATTCACCCGTCTTAACCTGTAACATCCTATATTTGTTTTCTTTGGTTTTTTTAAATAGATGTGAAGACTCGAAACAACGTTATGCTCTTATGCTTCCAGTAACATTAAATAAGTTCCTTCAGCCTGCAGAGATGGATCAAGCAACATTTTTCTCTCGGTGGAAATTATTGTCTCAGTAAGTTTTACTGTGTTAGTTAAAATTTTGGAAACTAATAGTTTTTGTTCAGAGATGCCCAAATAGTTTGCTTTATTTTTGTGTGGTTATTTTATCAGTTCTTGAATGCTTTGTTTATACTAACCTCTATGTAATTTGTGTGATCGTCATTATAAAAACAATCACCTCTCGGTTAAAAGAGTGATTAGAAGACTTTGACGCTAAGAATAATATATCATGGATTTTCGGTGCGGGGAGTAGTTCTTGAAATTTTTGGAGCTAATACAACGAAAACTGGCCATGGACGTAGAGGGTAATTGATTATGAATACATTGGTCTTGAATGCTTTCAGAGGTGTGAAGACAGTTAGCACTTTCCGGTTGCCCACACCGTGGGAGGGTTTTTTTAGAGGTACCTGGAAGAAAATTTATAGAGCTGTTTTATTGACTTGAGAGCGTGATCGCAGTGCCCGTGGGATAACTGCTTAAGGCCAGTTACACACGACATTTTTGTGAGTAATTTCCACGTTGGCTCCATAATTACTGGAACCCAACAGCCGGAGACGGAAATCAGTGCTATAGGGCGATATGTTCATTTCTAGGGTCGATCTTTTCTAACCCCTATCCTCTTTATGGGAAGTCAGCATCGCTGTTTTGCTGGTTGTCTGAAGGAAACACCTTACTTCCTTCACACCTCTGTATAGTCGTCAGTACAACCTTGCTTTTGAACTTTGGCTTGCTGCCTTTAGTCTTACTGCTCTTCAATCGACCTGTTTGACATGGTAGGACCTTGAGGAACGATTGTTTTAACCAATATTGCTCGATTGGTTCAAGGTAGCAGGAACAGTCGGAGGCCATGGAAAATTTTTTGGTTGTGATTAATCTGGAGCAATTTTCCTTTGAGCTTCGTAGCATACTTGTCGGAATGATCTTCAGTTCTGATTCGGCTTCCTCTTTAGAACCCTCATGAAACAATATCCCTCCATGATGTGGGTGACAGAAAGCGTCAACAACCTGCACATTTCTTCAGTAAAATACATGATTAAGGGATAATTAGCGTTATTTCAAGTTTCCATACAACAAGAGGAAATTAATGAGATAAATATTAGAAGAGACTGAATAATGGTGGTAGCAATGACAGTATAAAAGTAATAACCATTGAGTACATGGCTTATAAAGACAGAGGAAATGTAAATTTATATCAATATTGGAAATCAAGTTCTTAATAAACTTAAAGAGTGAATGCACCTGAGTCATTGTGACCGATTCTCAGACGAATAACCTATTATCTATTTTCAATCACTGATCGCCGTTATTACTGGTATATCAGTCGACGAGCCGGATGTTTGTGGAGACTATGTCAGCCCCTTATCTACCAGGGCTGATGAGACTTCCAAGATTTGTGATGTTAACAGAGTAAACTACTTCACTCTATGACCGATGAAGGCTATGATGCAAACCAGTCCTAAAGCAACATTTTGTATTTAATGAGGGAGAAATTCACTTCAAATCTCTAACAACACATAAATTGATCTTGTCCACAATCTCGAAACTGATAATCTTTTCTTAGCCACCATGTAAATGATTTAGGTGTCAGGTTACAATTCAATAGCTGAGAGGCTCAACTTTTAATAAATTGCTAAGTCGCACTTATAAATCCTTTTTCACCGCCTTGAATTTAGGTAGTTGGTTAGTACTACTGTCGCAATAAACATTCGTAACGCACATTTTATCCACTGAATTCGCTAGAATCTCAGTTAAACTGGTAGATATTTATTTAGTTGGAGAGCCGATATTCATATCGATTAACTTTTGTATCTAGTGCGCTAACATTTTTCTGCTTTTCGATGTTTGTATTCTCTGTATTTAGTTTGGGAAGAGTTTTAGGAATGAGCAGCTAAATGTTCCTAATGAAAATCCCTTTGAGATTCTTTTTTTATACTGATTTTCCTTTGTCCTGCTAGACATGATGTTATATCTTGTTATTTGGGGTTCAGTACGAGCTTAAAATACTTACGGAATTAGGAAAGTAATTGAGCTACCCTAGTTACGAACAGTTCCTTTCGTAATTGATAACGACAACTTGTATATTGCACATTTCATCTTATGACTAACACATGAAAGAAGAATTGTTGGATAATTTGATATTCTTGGTAAAATAAGCAGTGTATATGAAGAATTAAATTAGAAAAAGTGTACTTGCTGTTATTGTTTCTAGTTGGATCAAAGCATTTCTGACGAAATTTGATTAATGTTGTGATCACCTTGGCAAATAATGTCATTTCTGATATGTTAATCGATATCACTTTTTAGGTTTACCAATCAAAATCCTGATTATAATTTCTTTGTCCTTAGTACTTAATTGCGTTTATAGTCTGGTGTCTTAATCCTTAACCAAATGATACTCTTCGAGCGACATGAATAACTTTGTGGTGATACTGACGAATGCTTCACTCCTACTGATCGGTTGCTTCTGAGCCTTGAATTCAAATAAGTAAATATCACAGCTTCTGTTATTATTACAATTATTATTATTATTCTGAGGATACAAGTTTATATACAGACATACCCGACTACATCATTACTATAAAATAGAAGATAGTATTTATACACAAAACAAGTCAAAGTGGCAGTGAATCGTATATGCAGTAAATACTTGATTATCAATAGTTTTGGAATAGTAAAAAAGTATGATATTAATTAGCTGGTCCACCGGAAACTTGCAATAAACAAAATGTAGAGACACAGTAGTTTAGTTATTTAAGAATTAAACAATAGGAATATAAATAATCATAGTCCATAAGATAGTTCCAAGTGTTACAACTTCTTTAGTCTTCTGTTACGTCACATTAGTATTGTCATTGGAAAAGCACACCTAGAAATTAATCCATATTCTACAGTATGTAGAGATTCTGTTTACTTTTGAGTATCGTATATAGTGAACTTGAAACTGTAACTTGTTTATTTGATAAAAGCCAATTATCCTACGTTGTTCACTATTGGATATAATACTATTCTTCTCACAATCTATTTTCTTTCACTTTTAGACCTGGACGAGAATGTCAAAAAATTAATCCTCCACTGTTCTCATTAGAAACATCTTTCTTAAGGACCACTGTAAGTTTTACCATCAGTATATGTACAATTATTAAAAGAATATGCTTCTACATTTTTTATTTCCTGGTGTATATTTAAAAAATAATTCAAAATAAATAAATGTTAAATATCTTCTGAAATTATGTAAAATTGTGTAAAGAAGACCTGTTTAGTACTTCTGAATTCTAGAAAATCCCCATAATGTGAGTTAGAACAACATATATAAACGAACACTATTGTTTTCGATTAGATCCTCATCACACTATCAATTTGTACTACTTACTTATTGTGTTTATGTAATCTATTCCACGGTCATCACTGAATCATAAACTGTCTTGTTTGGCTTAATAATTTCGTAGTTGCACTTAAATATTACTGTCTATTAGAGTAAAGTCTGATGAAGATCTAATTGAAAACAATATTGTTCGCTTATATATGTTGTTCTATTTCTGAATCCCTATATATTGACGATATTTGTATTTCCACTTCTTCATTATGTCGAAAATTGCAACAGTTTCTGAAATTTCTATTAGATACTGCCAATATTGTCGATGTACCAAATTGCTCGAATGTTGAATTTACTTATTTGAAACTTATACTCTTAGTGATTGGTTCTCAAGGACACTTCTTATTTTTCTGTTTCAATGTTCAATCATGAAAAGATGATTATATCTTTCAATCAGTTTTTCATCTTGTAAGATTTTTAATTCATAGTGATTGTGAAATTGGTAGAAAGTAAGCTAAATAATTTCTTATTCACTGATCTGATTGATCTATCTATAAACTATTTGTTGTCATTTTAAAAAGTATAGTTGTAGAACTGGACAATTGTCTTAACTTCTCGATAAAATCATTAAATAAATAATGTATTAATTAGTTCGCCATAGTGTAACTAGTTACTGGTTTGAAAGAAAGTTTATATGTGTGAACTAAGTGGTTGATATACTTAGTCATAATTGTCCACTTATGTCTTCGATTAATCTCTGTCCTTACAACACCTCCAAGTTTGATGGCTTGTAGATAGATCAGTACGTAAATATGACTGAGTTAAAGTTTATTTGTATGCTAAATTGTACCGAATTAGCTAATATAAGTACTAAACATTTAACAAAATTATGTGTTTTACTGTATCAAACGTGTTTACATACTTACCCTTACATTAAGTATACTAATCGTACTACTAATACATGATATTGAATTTTTTAAAATCAAAAGTATTATATTTGGAAACGATCCGTAGTCTTAGTCGAGTCAATAATAGTTTATGACCATTTTATACTTATATATATATATATATTTGCATCCAGGTTGTGAAGTTAATCAGTTATTGATTCTCACTCGTATTTAACTTATAACCTGATGAATTATTAATGCAGTAAACTGGTGGTCATTCATTTTCTTATAAATCTAACCTACGGAAGTATAATAATAATAATAACAACAATAGTCACTTTATTCAGTATAATATATATGATTACAATAGGATATTCTAAACAGAGCATTTCAGTATGTAAATATTGTAATTAAAATTTGAAGTTGTAGTTTTTGCTACTCGACTTCATTCGTGATTATTTTCACCCAATTCTCTGATTAGTATTACCCTGATAATAATACGTATATTAGACAGGGCTTGTACTGTGGTTTATACATATGAATTATAGTGTGATTGAGGATCATTCTTGGAAAGTATAAACAAATAATAATGTATTAACTACTCTATTGTTTTTGACAAAGTTTTAGTGTATTCAGCATCGCAATAGTTTGTACATTTTTATAAAAACATTTAATTAAATAAAAAAAATTATTGCTATCTTTATCATCGTAAAAGAGATAGACTATATTTCAAAGCTAACCTTCTATGTTTATATTAATAGGGTAGTCCAGTGAATGAGCCCATCATTTTCTGGTGACAGTTTAGGGAATTTGAACATACATTTTTGAGCCTACTATTCTTTACCCTTGTCATTCCTTTTGTTCACATTATTGAATCCATCTATACCATTCCATACTGAAGAGTCAAGGAATTAGTTTGCTAATCGATATCAACATAACAACATACTGATACACCGAACAAATCTGAGTCGTTCTTGTTCATCAAATCATGCGATTTACCGATACTGCAAATCACATTATACATATTCTGAAGTATTCTTACCTCCTAGCAGTAGACAAGTAATTCGCTTCACTAAAACATGCCATGAAAAAATCCTTATATCATTATTAGTTTTCATAAAATATACCTTATCTTGATATGTGAATATATCTGCAATGTGTATGTAAATTTTAAATGTGGTATTTAAATTTGAGCATTATCTATTTAACCTAATTCATGGTTTACACCTAGATATAGCAATTTAAAATAAAATCAAGATATACGAGTATTTAAACTCTTCGAATTGTATATTTAACCCATAGTCTGATTATACGATACTATCTTGAATGATTGAGTTTTATTTCATTTTCTGAAATTCTGTTTCAATCACCTAATTAATAACTGAGATTCACACAATGTTTCTTTTTTTGCGTATATCACTTATTCAATTTTTGTCAAAATACCATTTCATAATGACTGGTAATTCGAAACTGTACTTTTGTTAATCTCAACTTTACCAGCATACTGGTTTCTAACATAAGTTATTTCTATTGCTCAATAACACTACTAAATGACTATATAGTAGTGTTTATTGTGTAGTAGTCCTTCTTATCTTTGTAATAAATGTAAAGCTCATTCGTTCACATTATATTTCTATTTAGAATTCTATTGATCGTATTTTTATTCTGTTTTTGTCTGTAACATTGCTGTTCACGTTGACTTCTTGATGTAAAATAAATACTTTCATTATGTCCGGTGTTATATTTATTTGTAGACTAAAAACTTTGGGTTTGGTTTATTGGATGGAATTGATCCTAATCCAAATAATGTTGTTGGTGCAGGTATTGTTATAACTAGTAGTCAACAAGTTGGTGTACTACTTCGATTGGAACCGAATACACAATTAAAGGTAGATTTTTAATAATCGAATGTACCCTCCTAACTAATACATTAATTTTTGTTAAAAATAATTATTCACTTATTTGCTAGGTATATACGCAGATACATATTCTTGGCTTTGAGCCGCACTGTAATTTTAAGACCTCATGATACTAGTCGTTTGTACAAACCAAACTAGATGGAAGGGATTTTAAAAATGGAACTTGGGGGATGAATGCCTATTTATACATGCTATCAAAAGAATAGTATTGATTGTTTGTTATGCCGGAGAGATTAGTATAAATGAAAGCAACTAAGCAGACTTTTACCGTGATTAGTTGGGATTCCTCAAATAACTAGTTGCGGCAGTAAATTTATTCATTTTTTAATCGATTAGTTTTATAATAGTAGTTAATCGGTGGAATACTTTTATAATAGATACATAAGTTACATTTTTTAGCTTAACTTGCTATCAGATGTAATTATACTCAAAATGAATTTTCTTTCTGTTTACATTTTTTGGCGGATACTCTACGAACAATAAGTAGTCGGAACACTCATAATCTTCTAGATCGTTAGATTTATTTTGTTGTTACTTGAATATTGGTATACTTGGTATAAAATGTTGAACCTCGGTTTCTTGTTTGTTGATACCCGTCAACATAGTACTTTATATGGTAGTGCAACGTAATGATCAACTATTAATTCTTGAGCATGACACTCTGACAATGTCTTTGTGTTGACGAATAATGATAACATCGAGCTACCTAAAATGACTTACATGAAGCCGGTTTTCAGTCTACTATCGCTTCAACCTTGAGGTGACTAATGCTTCTTGGAATATAGGACACTTAAAATAGTGTAGCAGTTGTAGATGTTGTACTTTTTAGATATTTATATGGTGATTTAAGTTTGTGACTCCATTTAAACTGTTAATTAACCACGTACATAGACATAACTATATATATATGCAGTACTAGCCTTTGTAGTGATATGATTACTGGAACAGATTTGTACTCTGCCTGAAAGAGTTTTTGTGATGAACTCGTGAATATTCGTCCTTTAAAACTGTACATTGATTACTTTATGAACTTTCACTCTTGGTTACTCGGTAACATTGATGTTACTATAAGGTTGGAATTATGTTTATATGTTGGGGTGCTGTCTAATTAATAACCTTTAAAATCATCCTCTTTTCTCATTTATGTTCTTGAAATATTTGAAAATTGTTATTCATGTTTGTGCATAATAAAAAGTCGGCCAGGTCATTCATTAACCTATTTATTATTGTCGAATTCTTTCTTATAACCTTTATATATTGATAGATGATTTGTGCGTCATTTTGCGACAGCATGACAAAAATTTATTCTACATTCATCATACTACTTGTTTTTAAAAACTAATATAATTATGAAATAGGAATTTCGGAGGGATCATTTATTAATGTACTAAAATACTTTATTTTTAGCGAAATTACCCTTAACTATAGGAAATTCTTTGAATAGTCGTTTAAATACAATTTCGTTTTACAATTCTGAACTGAAATTATTGTTTAAAATAACCGAAACACGAGATTCATTCTTTTGTTAATTTGGCGAAAAAATTTGAAGCATTGGTTATTACTGTATATCTATTAAATTACTAGACTACTGTATTGCTGTGCACCTGGTATTATGAGCTTGCTTTAAATCTACTAAATTTTTTTACACGTTTCAATATTTCTTAATGATTGTTAACCATTGTTTACTTTGTTTCTTGCTACTTATATCATGATTGTGTATAAAGGATGGTTTCTTTATTGAGGGATGGGTTTCAGTATAATAATTATTCTAAACAAACTAATAAATGTTTGGCGTAAATATACTGAATGCCCGGAATATCGTGATAGAGGCTATCTTGATTTGTTTGTTGTACTATTGGAACTCAAAACTGCGGATGTTAGAAGGCGTGTGTATCGTTGGAACACTAAGTTATAATCAACTGGACCTCAACTCAAAGTTAATGTTGCCAATCAAAGCTTATTATTGTTCAAGATTTAGTACGATAAGTTATGGACAAAATGGTGTACTCTACGTAGAAATACTATAACCAAGGTTCTTATTGGTGGATCTTTCTCTAGATATCAAATAACGTTACAGTTATAATAGTTACTGATAAATAGTACTTGATAAATAAGTTACATTACTCTGATATAATTTAATACAAATAACTTTCCTTTGTTATTATTACAGAAATAGAAAAAGTAATATTAATACATCGATATTGATTAAATGTGAACTAGATGAAAAGATTAATCAAATAGATCGCAATTTGATTGTTACAATATAAAATACATGTTCATTACTTCTTGTATGTACAATGTAGAGGAAGTTTAATTCAGTTGTATCATTATGAATAGTTTTCATTTCATCAAAGATTTTTATAATACAATTAAGTTTAAATCCCTTTATCAATTGAATGTTTTTCCCTGATCTATGTACACTACCAACTACACATAACTGGTCTTACTAATAACCGCTTTTTTGAATTAATAAATTAAAAATTTTTTTCTCGTTTCCTTCTTATTTTTTTCTTTTAGATGTATTGCCTTACTATTCGCAGTACACGAGAAATCGTCTCATCTCATTTAGCCAAACTCATTGAACAATTGATCTAAATTGAATAGTTGTGTCATCATTGTTACTATTGTTGTTTATATTCAATTAATAATCTGATCAATTTTAATGCGTCTATGATGGACCAATTCAGTGGAACATTCTTTATAATTTATATTGCAATGTGGTTTCATCTTGGCAAAAAAAATAGATTTATAACATTAATAATGTTGATAAGCAATGAGAATTCTTTATCATTCCCATTATATATATATCGTTGTTATTAATGTCGTTGCCGTTGTTGTTTTCTCTTTTGATAAAAACATAAGACAAATATGTTTTCTACTTTGTTCTTAGAATAAAAAACTCACTAGTTTTACATGCGCATGTGTATGTGCATTCCTGATTGAATTGTATTTAATTTACTCATTTCTGTTTTATGCTAGGTTTTCTTTCATCTTTCATCTCTCTATGCCTATACCTCTTCTGTACTGTTTGATTATTTAGTTTAACTTATATCTACCTGTCTACTTAATTACTTGTAGAATATTATTTATTAGTTAGTTTTCAATCTGTTTATGATTATTTTAGTCATTACTTGTTTATTATTTCATGGTATTCTATGATAATAGTAATAATAACAATGTTCTGTTTTGCGTGTTCACCATATTATGACATGTAGTCATCATAATCATCATCGTTATCACCTAATTTCAATGAGGATTATTTTTTGTTACCATCTATTAATCATCTATATTCATTCAGTCACTGATACATGTGTTAATTGGCTTCACCAAATTCATTCATCAATCACTCCATATTCATTGTGATTTATTTTGCATTTCTATAAATACAAAGTTAGACAATTAATTTTTTTTTAAAAACAAAAATTATAATTATTTCCAATTGTTTGCTCTATTATAATTGTCATCGTTTCACTACACTGATGATGATGATAATCATTATTATTATTATTATGGAAATTATCAAACAATGTGATTCTTTTTCTCTCCCTTCTTATTTATCTTTGTTACTGTTGCTTTTATGTTAGGATCCGAAAGTGTTGAAGCATATTATTTATTGTTCGTGATTTTATATATATATATATATATATATATATATATATATATATATATATATATATATATATATATATATATATATATATATATCAAGTTTCACTTAGAATTACGGTTCTCGTTTTGGAATCATTGAAATTGTTGTCAATGCTGTGTATGGAAAAATGAGTGGATAAGTGTGTATAATGTATGTTTGTTCGCCCAGTTGTTGATTACTAGTTCGTTTTCATGACTTTTGTTTTTACTCAATAAAAATATTCACTGTGTAGTTGGGATTAACGTGGTTGTTACGTCATTGATTGATCATATTACATATTCTTAGTATGTTTGTTTCAGTTACCGACATTGAAACGTTTACAAGCATAATCGTCCAGATGATATTGTCGAAACTACCGGAAATCAGTATTAGAAAACAAGTATTGGTTTAATGTGTTTAGAAGATAAGAAGTAGATATGCTTATATTTTTACATGGCTCATGATTTAATAAATTATTATATGCTTACTTTATTCCAAATTTGTTTCCGTACATGTCAGACCACCATCAATTTATTATAATCAACGTAGAGTCTACTGAAAATCTGCATTAGTTTAAGTTTTCGTACTAAAGCACGAGTAAATGAATATCGGTAGAAAGGGAGTAATAGTGGTAACAATGGTGATAAGAAACTAGTCATTGAAAATATGGTTCCTAAGGATTGTCGGAATACTGGAAGTCAAGTTCTAGAATAAGACAGGTGCGCTTGTTCTGTTTTAATCGATTCTGAAACATGCCACCCGGCGTATCCAACCACTGATTGCGGTTACCGCGGCGACCCTAACTAAGCATTCTGAAACTACTAAACAACATTTGCCTGTACAAAAGTCTAATTTTATGAATTGGTACCACGTTTTCGTTTGACCACACTACTATATAGTTGATAAGGAAATTTTCACATTTCAGTTATATAGATATACACATCGCCGTAGGCTGAATTAGTTTCTCGAATTATTTGCGTAACTATTGTCAGTCGTTATTGTGTTTAAAAAGGTATTACAGTTTTCACAGCATCATGGTAAGTCACTGTTAGTTATGGTTTTTTAGGAATCCGAATTCAGTCTATTTAATTGTCAAAACGTTTGTGACATAAGCATACGCTAACTCTATATTACTTCTACAAATTCAAACTTATGAAATTATACACAACTCAAACACTCATTGCGTAATTCGGAATTTATATTTTAATCTTTTTTAAAACAAGACAATCCAATATTGAGATTGAAAATTGTCTTCCATTGACCTATACTTTTGTTTTAGAGACAATTTAATAATTGGCATTCAATTCCTGTAGATCCACAGGATTTCAATTTGTTTTCGACTTTAAATAGTGGTCAAGCTTTCCGGTGGGTATCGCTTTTTTTAGGGGAACTAATGGTATTGATATTATTTGTATTACAGCAAAATAGGGAAGTGGAAAATTTTGTTAAATGGGATGTTATTCTAAAATCCTTAAAAAACTGTTTCGTAAGATTTTGGTAAAATATTTCACTTGAATTTTTTGTGATGTACTTGTCTGTTATCGATATTGTTAGTGATAATATAATTGTCTAGATAAATTAGCTGATATTCAAAACAGCATCCAATCACCTTACTTATAATTTACTACTATTATACTTTCAAAAATACCATATTCCACTTGATCGTCAGAATACATTTTGTGATCTATGTGTATGTAGTTTAGTTCTGAGTTACATTGTTACGAACACATTACAGAAATAATTATCCCATAATCTTTTAATATACAATATTAAGCAAATTAACATGTTCTCACAGAGCATATGGAAACGGTATGTTGTTATCCTATTGTTTATTAATGTTTCCAGTGAAGGATACAAATATTCGGTAGAGATTGAGATTTTCACCGTATTCACGTAAAAAATAATGATTTGTGTAGATAATACGGGTTGATAAAGAGTACAATGTGTTTCCTGTAGTACAGTTGCGGTCTGAGACATTCAGAGTTTTTTAAATAGAGGTTACTAGTTCATATTTTCGCTAGATTTACAAATTGTTGAGTTTCGAAAAACAGTATGCAAGTGATCGTAAAATAAAATCTGGTCTACCACCTTATTATTAAAAGTTTTTCTCGATGGAAAAACGTTTTCCTAGAAAACGTTTTATCCCGTTAAAAATTGAATTTCACTACTCATTTTATAAAAAAACTTATGACTCAAAAATACAGCTGCTGCTGTACTCAACGCGTTGTGAATACCTTGTAACTCGGTGATTGTTATGTTCATTTCTAAAATCAAGAAACTTGAAAGACGTTTATGTTAATACTTGTAAGTGGAAGCCTCGTGTTCATTATCATGCTTTTCTGATATTCGCTGCACCTAATTTTTCATAATAAATGGTTTTGTAGCTACTTTTACGAAGAATATTTTTAGTAGATTATTTCTCAAAATAATGCCTGATATAATTCTTATATATGTAACTGATTGTCTTTTCTTGCGAGTTCTTTCCACTTTATTCCGGTTTTGTCTTCTTTACAATCTATATAATAACTGGAAACTCATTGTTTTTTTAGTTATCTCTCACGTCTAAACGTGATCCGTCTCCCTTAGTTTCGGACAAAAATCCTCTTGATGTATCACAACTAAAGAATATACGGTTTTACTTACACATGATTGTTGTAGTGTGTGGAATTTATAATCTGAGTTTAAATTAAGCCTATGAAACTATATCGTTTCGAAAGATCGACAACCGAATAAATTGGGGTATTAGCATACCTAACTGAATTTACCAAACTTTGTTGATTCAGTTGTTAAGCAAATAAGCATATCAACTGATGCCACATGATACATAGGTTGTGGAGTACGATATCCATTCCAGAATTGTCAGAAGAAAATCTCCATCTTTTATAGTCTTCATAAATAAGTTGGGTGAGACTGTAATTTATGGACAATTCAGTCCGATAGGATATAATCGGTCGTGAATTTTGGTGCGAAATTTATTCATCAGTTTGACTAAATATCGTTTAAGCATTTCAGCTAATGTTAGTTCGTGATGAAAAACCCCAAATGTATTTCCTAACCCTCACTATCAATTGTAAATCTCATTGCTTTATTTAACCCTCATTTAATCTGAGTTGATAGGTGGATATTCTCAAGGTCATTTTAGCGTCGCCTAAAGGTCGTCTATAAATTATATTCTCATCATAAGTTGTAAAAATTTAGGGTTTTCATCATGAACTGACATCAGCTATAATGCCAAAACGCTATTTAGTCAAATGGCTGAGTGAATTTCGCACCAAAATTCGAAACCTGCTATCTTATACCTGATTGAGTTGTCCATAAATTATCGTCTCGCCTAGTTTATTACTATGACTTAGATGGCAGTAAACCGAATTTCGACTTCACTCAAGAATCATTATTTAGTAGTTTATCTAGACAATTGGGATTTGGGTTGATTATTGTATACTGCTTATTTTATTCGTAGGTTAACCTTTTGATGATCATGTCTTCTTAGATAGTGAATGTTAACTGAGCTAAATAATAATTATAATCATAAATCCACATTCGTTACTTGTTCTACAAATCATTAAACAAACTAAAGTAATGTTTGTTTCCCATGGAGTAGACTTACTGTTCAATTTTATACATTTGTTTCTCCATATTATAGCTGGATTTTTAATTCAACTCTGAATGAATGGCATGGAGTAATAAATGGTCACTTATGGAGATTACGTCAAATGGAGGATTCTAACCCAGTTGAATATTATTTTGAGAAAAATTCGGATATAAAATTAAACGACGTTCCTTTTGATTTACGTGATTACTTTAGATTGGATATGAATTTATCTAATCTTGTGAAGGAATGGTCTTTAAAGGATGAATGGTTTGAGAATCGTTTCTCTAAAAATTGTCAAATGGATACAGCTCGTGGTTTACGCTTATTAAGACAAGATCCAGAAGAAACATTATTCTCTTTCATTACATCAGCTAATAATAATTTAACAAGAATAACTAAATTACTCTGTAAATTGTGTAGTGAATATGGTAATCCATTGTACTTGGGAAATGGTGATCTAAGGCATTGGACATTTCCATCACTTGAAATACTTGCACAACCTGGAATGCAGGATAATTTAAAAAAGATTGGTTTTGGTTATCGTTCCAAGTTTATCACGTGGGTGTTCATTATTTACAATTATTTTTGTGCTGACTGCAACCTTTTTATACAATCCTATATATTATGTTTTATCATTAGTATATCGATACACTTTCTGATTGTCTTATAACAAAATATTCACTAAGTAAGCCTTTAGAATCTTGTATCATCGATGTGAGATGTGTCTGGGAAGCATGCAAACTGGATCCTAGCTTGGTCATCCGCTTAACTTCATCCAATTTATGTAGTGAACTCGCCTGATCTATTGTTCTTGTATCTGTATATCCGTCAGTAACTTCTTGTGATCATGATAGGGATAGGCATAGTACTAAGTTTCAAAACGGAATAGACGCTTCTTAAATGTTTTTTGTTCACAGACGTTGCCACCTGCTAGACTGTGATATAAGTAGGACTCAGAAACGTAGGGATAAATACCACTAGCTTTTCTGCCTACGCCCTTTCTAACTAGCATGGAGGAAGTAAATGGTACATTCTGTCGAAACTTTCTACCTTTATATCAGAAGTAAGACCCTCAAGTGTAGGAATCGCTGCTGATGATTTTAATATGTAACCAGTTTGCGTAATGGTCACGACCAAAACTATCCAGCTCAGAGAACAAAACTCCATCAAAATATTATCAGCGTTAAAACATGGATTTCGGCTTATGTCGTGCCCTTATAAAGGCTGATCAGAGGTTTATTAATGTAGTTATCCTGTAGTGTTTCCTTGGTGCCCGTTGCTGACAATCATAACAGTTGATACACTTTTCATAAATGTCTGATTTGTACTCATGAGGAAAAATACATTGTATCTGTCTGAAATGGATTGAAGAATTATTCTATAAGTATCTGAAATCTATTTGTTCATAAATTACTAGCCTTTTCCTGAATATCCACATGTTTGAATTATTTCAGGCTTGCTGCTAACTGGCTTTTGAAAAATGGAGGTCGATCTCGTCTACTTGAACTTCGTTCCATGTCCCATTCTGAAGCTCAGGCATTTCTGCTTCAAATACCTGGGATCGGGAAGAAGGTCACTAAATTTTATTTTGTTCTTCCTTATATTTCAAATACTTTCAATGCTATTATTAACACTGATCTGTTTTCCTGACTGAAGTGTATCTGACTTCATGGTTAAAACAATCAAATGTTCCAACTACTGATTTACTGCAGCAACCTCTAATCAGCATTTAAGACTAGTTATTTTAAACCACTTCAAACACTGAATTATATAGGTATTTCATTTTCATCTCTTCCTATATTAATCATTGTCCATAGATTTCAATTTATCGTTTATCTATAAGTTAATTTTATTACGAACTAGCGTATTAATGGAAGAACCATTTAAAGTATGCGAGTACTAGATGGTTTTGTGATTGTAGTTTAAAATTATTTAGCATGTACCAACTAGTGATCCGGGGTTAAAATTAACCTTCAAATTTCACAGCAAGAAGGATATCTTTTGACTATTGAGTTATAATTCAATGGTACATATATTTAATTTGTTATATATTGAACGTACAATCAGGTAAATATGTCGTGATATTTTTTAAGAAGCTATGTTTTGACACATTTAATCGATACAGGTCACTGAATCGATACGAAGTTAGCTTTCAAAGTTATGTGTAGAATTCTATCAAGCTTACATTTCACTTCCAGATCTCGTTTTTCATGTAAAGCGGAAACCATGGGTTTGCACATAGATAAATCCACTCTTTGTGTTGAGAAAAATGTTTTTCATACTCTTAACTTATCTAACTCTTCCACTCGATTCCAAGATCATACTTGCTGTTCTTAATTTTGTTCACTCTTATTTGTTAACTTTATTCTAATATTATTTCCTTTGATAGTCTGATCTTTTAAATTTCTCTTCATCTTTCCCAATAATTACCTATTAATATTATCACAAATAATACTAAACATATTCATTGAAATGATTAATGTCCAACTTTCTCTTATATTCCTTGATTCCTATTTTTATTCCTACATAGTTAGATGCAGTTTTCAACCAGTTATGTAATTTTGTCTTGAGTTTACGCTGTTGAGTTAATAAGTGATTACTGAAATATATATGGTTACAATGCATTCGGTATTCATTTTATACCTGTATATTAATATTAAGTCATGATTTGGAATTCATTGAAATGAAGTGTTTTATCTCTAAAACTGAATTTTTCATATTCTTGACGTTTGTATTGAAATATTTAGATTAGCCACCTTTAATCAATATACTATGTAGGTGAAATCATCATGTATTGTTATCGATGATAATGTCAGTCTTACTTCTGACATGAATGAACGCTACGTACCACTGACTTTCCACTAGACCTTCGGGAATTCGTCTTGAGTCCTTTAAATATTAAAATTTATATTTTTATCCAACATGAAGTCAATTTTCATTATAGAAAAAAAACACCTATTTAGTGCTCTTTGATTTTTATTGATAAATAACAGGTTATGTCAACTTGTGATGAGAAACTATCTGAAAACTGAAAAATTTTCCGAAACATCTAATTTAAATTCTGACAATCGATGTTTTCTCCGTTAGTTTGCCATCTGATAGCGCATGTCTAATTGAAAATTTCCTTCAGATTTCACTAACTTGACCACAATTTTGACATATGTTGTTTTTAAATGGTCTCCTTTCTACGTAATAGTTTTGCGTTGTGTCGGTTTTAGTATTTTCGAAAGTTATCCTGATTTATTGTACCAATGGTTAACGTTGTTTGGAAGAGCACATAGTCTTTAACTTTGTTATATGTATACTGTAAAGAAGACATTGAAACACAACATTAATACACTTTTGTTATTTATTTTAATTTTCACTGTTATTTATTCATTAATTTTCCTTAAGGTTAACTTTATTCTCCTTTTCTGTTATTGTTGTATTTTCACAGGTTGCAGATTGTATATGTCTTATGTCGTTAGATAAATTAAATGTTGTCCCTATCGATGTTCATATGCATCGTGTTGCACGTGAGAAAGGAATTCCTGAAGCATCCTGTAAAAATATAACTACAAAATCATATGATATTATCTCAAAGTCTCTTAGTGATTTTTGGGGAAATTATTCTGGATGGGCACAAACGGTAAATTTTCATCTACTTCACACAATATTATATAATCTATTCATGTAATTCTCACTTAACAAATTGATATCGGCTGAAGAAAATTAATCACTAAGTAGAGACTACATTTTAAAAGATTATAATAAAGTTATCAAGTCTGATCTATTGAACTAGGACTACACTACCCATAGCAGAATCAGTTTATCTAAATATATGAAGTGTACTGAGTTTTTATGAAACTAAAGCTATTAAACAAAAAGACTGCTCTATTTTTAATTTCTTTTGATAATTATCTATAATATGATTCATTTCAAGATGATCTTATTCAAGTTCATTGATTTATATAATTGTGCTCCTTTGTTGATATCAAAGAGACAAGACTACATATGAATTTCGCTCTTTGCATGTCATTGGACAGTCTTATTATATAATTCCTAAGAGATTAGGACAAAATCATGTCATGTTTAGTGATGCTGTTGAGTTAAGCATCTTGAGATGTTGATAAATTAATTTCACTAAATGTCTCTTTGACCATTGCTGGTTTCACTAAGTTGTTAAAACTCAAATAAGTTAATTAAGCACGTTTAACAGACAGTGATTTTTCATTACGTTAGATTATCCAACAAATAAAGCGATCACTACCAATTTTATTATTGAGAGAATGTTTCAGTGATTTATTATATGGAAGATACAGATGTAATGCTAAAATAAAGTGTTTCAAAGTAAATCTCGACTGATCGTGCTTTGTCGTAACCTTGAGTTCCCGCTCGCGGGATTTAAATCCAAGACATTTTGTCTCACCCGAGAACGCTTAACCTCTAGACCACTGAGCCGGTATGCCTAATTTCAACCAGTCCACTATATTGAGTCCCATACTAGGACCTCCAATGCTTTCAGGTTTTCAGTAGCTGTTTAACATTGATCGATTCATGATCTCAATTAGAACTCAACAAACTCCACAACCCTATGCTGATAATACGCTAGACTTTTATTCCTGTTTTAGACTATGTACATTGTTTTTATAACTAGATAGTTTTGGAACTGCATGTATTTTCAAGACATCAGAATGATACATAATATTAGTACATAATGTTTATTGGTTATGTATTTAATCATACGAAGTAATTTAGCTTCAGATTTAGGCAAACCGTTTACTGAAATTTGTGATTTATCCTGACCAAACTTCTCGCGATACTTACTGAACGTTTTCCCAGTGAAGTGCTCATTTGTTTTGTTATTTTTTGTCTACTGCATCACTGAAAACGTTTTCTTTTATGGTCTTTAATATACATTAGAAAATCTTCATTAAACTTGTCCTACTGGAACAGTGGAAATCAAGATTAATGGTTACATATCTTGTTTTTTAATTGATTCATTCGATTTATGTTAAAATAACAATAAAACGACTGTTTGATCAAATCCCTTAACTACGTCATAACTGGTTATCAATTATTTGTAATTATTTAGATCTCATCATTTTTGGTTTTAAGATTTGCATTTTAATCAGTCACATTTGACATATATTCATTCTAAGCCGATTTTCTCGGTACTGTTGTTAAGTCAAGAGTATTCAAGTAATGATGGATAATGATTTACAATGGAATTCAGGGCGTGCATTTCTTTCTAGTTTGGACCTATATTTAATTGCATTCCAGTGTTTATTTCATTGGTAGTCTCTATCCAACTTTACTTAAATCAATTTACCTAATCAATGGAACTATAACTTATGTAAAATTAGAACGAATATTACTAGATGAAGTTATTTCATTTCATCCTAAATTATTTGTTTTTGTCGCTTTATAAAAGTTTATCAAGGATGCTAATTGTATGAACTATGATTCCATGTATTTCTCATTTACTCCTGATAGTACAATCAATCAAATGGTCAATCAATAAAATTATTGTGAAACATAAATTAACTAGTTATTATATTATTACACAGATTGAAATCATGAGTCAGTTGAAACTAGACCACCATTGAAAACCTGGAAGCACTGGACGGCCGTTTCGTCCTAGTATGGGACTCCTCAGCAGTGCGCATCCACGACCCCGCACCACCCGGGGCTCGAACCCAGGACCTACTGGCTTCGCGCGCGAGCACTTAACCATTAGATCACTGAGCCGGCATCCAACATGATTTCAATCTGTGAAATTTCTAAAATCTCCACAAAACCCATTCTGATAATAATAATAATAATCACCTGCTCACTAGTGACTGACTTCAGGAGACACTTCTGGAGTTCTAGTGAGAAGTCGTTACCAGTGGAGTTCAACCAGGTCTGTTGTGAGATAGGAACTCACTGAGGACAATGGTGTACGGTAGCGCAACTTCGTGGATTGGTTGAAGTTAGACATTAACACCGTTGGATGCCGGCTCAGTGGTCTAATGGTTAAGTGCTCGCGCGCGAAGCCAGTAGGTCCTGGGTTCGAGCCCCGGGTGGTGCGGGGTCGTGGATGCGCACTGCTGAGGAGTCCCATACTAGGACGAAACGGCCGTCAAGTGCTTCCAGGTTTTCAGTGGTGGTCCAGCTTCAACTGACTCATGATTTCAATCTGTGAAATTTCTAAAATCTCCACAAAACCCATTCTGATAATTATTATATTATTAGTTGTACTCATATTTTCTCTAATTTAATATTTCAGATTCTTTTCTATACTCGTATGATGGAATCTAAACCTAATAAGTAAGCTGTTTGTTTAATATGATTTAATTTATTTACTTTCGTTGTGCTATAATGTGGTTAAGATCTGGAATTAAAAAGCAAAATTATATTGCTTTACTCATTCTGATTTTTGTCCAACAAACGATATTCATGTATTAAATTAACATGGACTATGCTCAGTATATTACTCAACATATGATTTGTTATATATATATATACGATTTCCCACTAATTATTAGTCAAAATGGGTGTACAATCAATATATAAATGAGTGTATTTTCGATTACAGTCATCGTCTTGTTCTGAGATTAATAAATCTTCACTTGTATCAGTATTTGTGTTTTTACTTTCGCGTTGTGGGAATAGCGGTAGTTTCTCGTTTTACAAGTAATAAGCGATTCAGACATAACAATTAGCGACGACCAGATATAACAATCGGTGACGTAGTCATAACCGTCGACCACATGTCATAACGGTATCTAAGTTAAAAATTCTGAAATCATTATCACTTAAATATTATTATTCGATTTATTATTCGATTTATTGACATAAATAATTTTTTAGTAGTTTTGAAACCTTAAACGAAACATTTAAATGGTTAGTTTACTATGAAATCTTTGTGAATCCTCTTTCATTGTTCAGACAATTGTCGATACTCAGAAAAATACCGGCTGATATAAATTGATTGACAAAGATCGTTATGCCAATTTGTGGCAGTTTTATCCTTATGTGATTCTAACGTATTGAAAATTTTCGTAATGTAATTTAGAACAACATATATGACTGTATAGTATTGTGTTCAGTTAGACCTTCATCAGGCTTTAATATTTAATAACATATGCATATATTAAAAAATATTAAATCAGTCAATGATCACATTGAAAGAGATTGTATAACTACACATAACGGGTAAAACTTACAAACTGATAATGCGATGACAGGTATACTAATAGTGATAAAAATGATAACAATTTGAATCAGTGCTTCAATATAGAAAATAATTCAAAACATTAGAACATAGACATAAGAATAACAATCGTTAAAATGATTGTGATACTGGAAAATATGTAGTAAAGGCGGTGAATAAAAATCAAGGATGTAAAGAATAAGTAAAATCATTTTTTTATTTCATACTTGATTATGAAAGAAGCAGGGGCTTTTAAATTTCTTAAGAACACATAAACTAAGTTTGTAGGTTTGATTCCCTATAGCTCCTACTATTTGTAGAAGATGAAGTCATTCGCCGTTGTATAACAACGAAGCTATACTTTAGGCCGTATATTAAAATGAGGCTTTAATTGAAAACCGTTGTTCGCTTATATGTGTTGTTCAAATTTATTGCATTTTTTCATTAATAATGTACACAGGATATATCTTTCTGAATACATCAAATTAATCTAGATGGAATTCCCATTTAAGCCATTGTTTCATGCTTTTGACATCTGTGTAGCCAGTTATCAATTCTGCATATACTAGGCGTGATCCTATATTCTATATTGTACCAAAATATAATACTGAATAAAGCCATTAATAATAATAATAATAATAATAATAATAATAATAATAATAATAATAATAATAATAATAATAATAATAATACAAAACTAAGTGTTAACCGCCAAAGCTGTTCACTATACTGTATCGGTATTCCAGAAAATTCTCGTAAACACAAAGAAATAAACCAGATTAACTAATTTTTTTATAAAACAATAAGTTTTCTTATTCTTATATCCACGTCGCTTATTAATTATACTTGGGAAAGCAATAAATTACTTCAAACCTCGATGACGCGAAGTATGAAAAACAAGACTGGTACAAATGAAAATTTATTAACCCCAAAAACACGACGACGACCCTATTCAATGATACACTCACAATATATATATTAATTGTACACCCATTTCAATTATTAATTAGGGTAAAATCACACATATAAAATATACCCAGAGTTATAATTAAATCACATGCTGCATGTTATACTGAGCATAGTCCATGTTAATGTAATACAAGAATATTGTATCTTGAATAAACGCATCAAACTCAATTAAATTAATGCTATACAGAATAAAATATCCCACTGGGAAACAAAACAAATACTACACTGAATAATCATTACAATGAATTAACGGAAGTAATGTAGAACAAAAGCCACAATGAGAATAAGGATGTAATTTTGCCTACTTATTCCGTCATATCACCTCCCGTTCTCTTTTAATGGGTACATAGTAGTAAGGTTTTCGTAGGGGGTTCATTCATGGATTATTGTTTTTCTTCTTACTTACTGGTCGTGTTCCTGGTCGCTGATAGGTTTTTAGTTTGTAAGCTTGATATTCCACTAGTAAATCTTTGGCAAGTTTTCCAAATCTAGAGTAGCTACGATGTTTGTACAATCTCGTCGTTTTGTATGATTACTGTGTCTCTTCCATATGATTTCCTCCACTTTCACTTCACAAATAAATGTCTCATTTACCTATCGTGATCTGGGTTTGTGAAAATCCCTCACCCAATGTGCTTCATCTGAATGAAAATTTCTGGTTTTGGCACAGTGTTGTTCACTGAACTGCGGTCTCCTTATTTCCATTTCCTTCGATCTTAGTATTAGATCTTGTGGCACAATTTGTACTTTTCTCCGAAACATATTTTCTATTGGCGTTGATTCGTTCAATATCACTAGACTCAGTGTTGGCTGGTGATTTAGCAAGAACATTTGTATTATTTCTTTGACCGTCTCTTTCTCTTCTTCTTTGTAATAATCATTTTTAATCAATCAATAAGACGCTCCGTCTTATTCCATAGAAAAGGTCGATCCTAAAAATGCACACCTCGCCTTATTCCACGGATTTCCGTATCTGATGGTAATGTTCCAGCAACTACGGAGCTAACACGAATTCCATAGGTTCCAGGAAAAACTGACATCTCACTTAGCCACTTCTGTAAACGAGGTTGACCCAGATGTTGCTTGGAAAGATATGCAAACTGCTGTGCAAACAGCAGCGACATCTACTGGTGATTTGAACCAAAGGATCACGAAAAAACAGTGGATTTCTACTAAGTTTATTGCACTGATAGATTCTTGTAGACCCAGCCCACCAGGCTCTGAACACGATGAAGAGCATAAACAAATCAGATCTAGATTAACCAAAAGTCTAGGGAACGACCATGAGCAGTGGTGGGCAACGAAAGCAAAAACGATGGAAAAGGCGACGGCAGTACGTAACATAAGACATCTTTTCAGACTAATAAAATAAACTGAAATTAACAATTCAAGTTTGAGACAATCGCAGGAAAAGACGACGCAATTATCTGCTGTCAGCTTAGACGTTTTGAGCGGTGGGCGGAACATTTTAAGGATTGGTTCAGCTGGCCTTCAGCTACTCTACAACTACCCATCATTCCCAGACAGTCTGAACGAAACATTGAAGTAGGTCCCCCGACTCTATCTGAAGTCATCTGGTTTTGCAACCTCAAGTTATGCCCGTCAACGCTGTCCACTTTCTCCATTTCTGTTTAGTTTCATCATAGACTTACTTCTGGAAATAACGTTCTAGTCGACTGAAATCTCAGGAATTGATCTATCAGGAAGTCCACTTACCGACTTTTAATACTCAGATTATTTAGTCCTGTTTGATGAAGACACTGATAAAATGCAGTTATTTAGTATCACTGAGCAACAATGCCAGAATGTTTGGAATGCGTTTCTCCCCCTATAAATGCAAGTTGTTGTTTAAAGACTGGCCTGCGTCAACACCTGAACTAAGGATAGGAAGTGAAGTAGTCGAACGCGTTGACAACTTCACTTATCTTGGAAGTCTGGTCAGTTCCTTTTGAATAGCCCTAGTAATAATGATGTCATCCCAGTAGGCAGAAACCCCTGGTATTACACCTGTTGTAATATCCATAATTTGGAATATCATTGCCTTCACACTGAAGGGCAGTTGTTGGTACTGATACTGATGCATATGGAACTGGTCCTTCAAGTTTGAAGACAGGTTAAATCTTCACTTGCAGACATAAAACTGCTTTCTGCACCGTTCAACACTCCCGCTCCACTGAATATTGAACTATATTTGGACTTAATACGTTTAATAAGAGAGTTTATTTCGCTACTAGTGAATGTCTGAGTTGAAAGTGAAACCTGTGAACAAATGCAGTTTAGTAGCATATTCCATAATGAGAGATGCTATATCCAATCAATCCCAAAAAAATCGAAGTCATGAGGATTTGTGGGGCAACATTTACATCGGGAACTTTTAGACCTGAATAAGACATCATATTCAATTCCACCGGCCAGTTTCGTTAGATCACCGAACGCATTTCTGTCTCCGTGGGACATGTGAAGACCCTAGTGTACGCAAAGTATCACGAAATATCAGAGGAATATCTGACCGCCTGTCAATCCGATAGTTATTCTGTTTATCCAGATCTCAATATATTTCCTTTTTACAGACAGTTGTACACTCAACTTATCAAAAACAATATTAACTTCCTTACGTGGGGCTGATTGGGATCTCTATTCACCGGAAAGTGAAGCACTATAACTCCGATATATTAAGATCTCTACTGATTGTACGTTTCTGTCTCCCCATTAATATTATTACACTATCTTACACTAATCTGTCCGTTGTTGTTCTTTTTTTAACGCTTATTACCTTTCTTTTTTTCCTTCTTCTCTTCAAATTCTTATTGTTTGGTGTGGCGTATATGTATTTGGTGCCCTATTGTACCAATATTTATGTCTTCAAATAAATAAATAAGTATACGTATTGTTGTAAAAAAAATGAACTCTGTGCACTTAAAGTTACCATGCATCGGTTTCTGGTCGTCTCACTAATTTTCGAGTAGAGCTGTATGTTTCAGTAACTTTGTGAATTAATTGTATTTCCTGGTCAACTTTAGTTTTATTTCAGCCGCATAGTAAACTGTAGCTAGTATTATTTGAATATGCCTTAAACCTTTTTCGTGCGCAGTCTGGTGATATAAATCCAAAACTTCATCGACTGGTGACATTTTTTTGCCTTGTTATTTTTATAAGATATATGGATATCCTTCTGTTTAACTCATCATAGATAATCGATACTTTGAAGATATCCTTAGTCAAGTAGAAGTAACTGTTCCTATATCGTTTTCAATAGCATGGTTTCACATATATGCTCGTTGTCAAAAAAAATAGCGGATTTATTAACCATCATTGTATTACTTGTGTAACGTGAAATTAGATTCCTTTATACATCCCTATAAAATTAGGAAGAAATATTCTTCGCTCTTGCTTTACATGCTCATGAAGAAAAAAAAGTAAAATTCAAGGCTCACGGAGATTAAAAATAGACTATTAGTAATTTATGAAAATATTTTAATGTAGTTTATTATGATATTAAAAGTATAGTATGAGAATGTGTGATGAGAACTCGCATTTCCACTTATTTTCGCAGTAGACACTAACAACTAAATGCACATAGTGAAAGGTGTATATATTTGCTTCAAGGCATTTGTAGTACTTATTTTGGTCTTCGTTGATTTTGTTGATTATTTCCGGAAAATGATTTGGTTTTTCGATCATTACATCTTACATATATCACAGTTTTACATATACTCCATTCACGAGGCAAACTACGCCTGTAGCACTTCAACTACTACTACAACTACGGGTCCCAAGCCCGAGTAAAGGAGGAGGGTTAAGCGTGAAGTTGGCAAACTCATCCCATAGAAAAAAATCTTGCTAAAAAAAGCCAATCAAAATAAGCAAATTAAACCACTTAAACTGTTCCCTGAGAGTTTAAGGAAGAATCATGAAGTCTCATAATGAAAGCCGAGATTCTTCGGAGGTCACGATGCAGATGGTTATTCTGGCAACCAAAGCAACAATTTTTTATAGGTACATCGGACGTCCGGACAATGCAAATGAAGAACGGAAGAGCAGCAAAACCTGACAATATACCAACTGAAGCAATAAAGTCAGACATGGAAGTAACTGTAAGGATTCTTCACACTCTATTCAAGAAGAGTTCGGAGAAAGAACAAGTGCCGACAGACTGGAAAAAAGGACACCTCATTATCATATCAACGAAAGGAGATCTGAGCAAATGTGAGAACTATAAAGGAATCACACTACTATCGGTACCAGAAAAACGTTTTCAACAGAGTGTTGCTGAACCGGATGAAAGATACAGTAGACATCCATCTCCGAGATTAACAGGCTGGATTCCTTAAGGATCGGTCGTTCACAGACCGAATCGCCACACTATGGAGCATCGTTGAACAATCAATTGAGTAAAAGTCGTCACCATACATCAACTTCCTTGATTATGGGAAAGCATTTGACAACGTGAATAGGAGATGACTATTTAAACTTCTGCATTATGGTGTACCTGAGAAGATCGTCAATGTCATGCGGAATTCATTTGACGGACTACACTGCAAATTCATGCATGAAGGTCAGCTGACAGATGCATTCCAAGTAAGGACCGGAGTCAGACAAAGCTGCTTTTTATCATCTTACTCTTTCTTTCAGTGGTCGACTGCATTTTGAAGACCTCTACATCTGAGAGGAAACACGGATTACAATGGACAGCTCGGAATCAATTAGATTTGGACCTGGCCCCTCTGTCCCATACACACGAACAACTGCAGATGAAGACAAATAGTGTACAACGAACATCTGCATCAGTAAGCCTCAATATAAACAAAAGAGGAAGCAAGATCCTCATATACAACACCATGAGCACCCACACAATCACACGTGACAGAGAAGCTCAGGAATATGTGGAATCCTTCACGCATCATCGACGAACAAGGAAGATCCGATGCAGACGTAAAGGTGAGGATTGGAAAGGCAAGGACTGCATTCTTACAGTTCAATAGCAAATAGAACTCAAAACAACTGTCAACCAACACCAAAGTGACAATCTTCAATACGAACTTCAAAACAGTTCTACTGTATGAAGCTGAAACTTGGAGAACTGCTACAACCATTATCAAAAAGATGCAAGTATTTATAAACAGTTGTCTACGCATGATACTCAATGTCCGTTGAGCAACAGCTTACGGTGAGAGAGGACAAACCAGCTTCCATCTAAAGGGGAAATTGGGAAAAGATGTTGGAAGTGGATAGAACATACTATGAGGAAGTCACCAAACTGCATTACGAAGCAGTGTCTAACTTGGAATGGTGAGAGTAAATGGAAAAGAGAAAGACTGAAGGACACATTGCGCGGAGAATTGGAAGCAGACATGAAAAGAATGAATAGTATCTGGAAAGAATTGCCCAGGACAGAGTTGAACGGAGTGTGCTAGTGGTTTGTCTATGCTCCTCCACGAAGAGTAACAGGCGTAAGTAAGTGAGCACTTATTGATTAGACCAAGTTTTGTCAAATAATCTTATAAAATGTTTTGTCTAGTTTTTACGTATGCAATTTGGTTGTTCTATTTCAGGAAACTAAAGCAACGAATCAGTCGTGTTGATATCAACATTTAGATTGTTAAACACAGGAGAGTGTAGTTAAATAAATTTCGATTTATTGTTCACCACCTCAGTTACTACTGAACATTTAAATTTGAATGTTATTTAAACTACTTTGTCTTAAAAACTTTATCTATAGATACTGGATTCTAACAAATAAAATTATACCCTGAAGTGATTGATAATTTTTAGATTCATTATTGTTCGCTTAACAAACAAACTTTAAATTGTTTGCTAATCATTTTTTCATCTTCATCTGTGTGGTGTATATATATTTTACATTTTAATCCATTTCGGATAGTTAACCTAGATTTTGAGCGATTTATTCATGGTGCATAAGGTTGGTTCTGGATAGTGATATAGCTTTATTGCGAAGATAATAGTAATGTTAACGATCTGTTCGATTTCGTTACTTGCTTATTTCTACTTGTCCCACCGATTTTCCAGTCTTACTATCGATGGATATTAGTTCGTGCCTATGTACATGGTTACGCCTTGGGCTTTCATTTCATCCGTTCAATTATTTGGTGGAAAGGGGATGTTTCCGACCTATTCTCAATCATTCATCTCAGCTTTTTCCACAAGATTCCTTCAAGAATCGTCTTCCATAGGAGTGTCGTTCCGGTCGATTTAATAAAAATAATCACATCAGTTTGGTTTCCACAGCCTAATGGAGGACTACTAACTCATTCGTTGTTCAACGTTTTTTCTTGTGCGATCAATAACGGCCACCGCTATATCAAAATTAAGAGATAACCTGACGGTGCCATAGGCTTTGATAGCGAACAGAAATGATTGCTATAAAGAGTTGACTCGTATAGACTTCACCTGATGAAGTACGTAGTTTTTTTAGACATCTGGGTTTCCACGTGAGTTTTGTTAAGAACTGTCCCGAAATAGGTAGTCCTCTCAAGTGTTCAGCAGAGAAAAGCATAAATTCTGTGTATTTAGAAAATCGCGAAATCACATTCAGCGCTCTAAAAGACTCATCCTGTACATCTACCGTATGAGCACTGCCAAACACTCCAACCTATGCAGGTGCGTGCATCTTAGGTTGGGATGCGATTGATATAGATTAAGCTACATTGTCCGAGATTGGACCTCAAGTAAAGGAGCATGTTATTGTGCATGGAAGTCACACTTTGTACCAGTTTGAAAAGAATTACTGCGCTACGTGTGAAGAAATGCTTGATGTCGTTAAACTGACACGAGAGTCCGGACATACGTTCTTGACAAATGTTTCATGTTAAGCACCAACCATAAGAAGCTCCATTCGCCACAGAATTTTAAGTACTTGCAAAAGCAAACGGGACATCGAAGTTTTCCTTAGACATCTCAGGTTCCTAATCTTACCAACTAGGTATTTCAATAAGCCGTCCTTTTGTTTCGTTCTAAAGTCTTACTAGCATAGATCAGCGTTGCTGATTACTGTCGATGATCTGGCTGTAGTCGAAAAAATGGGAATGGTGTGATTTTCTATATTTTGTTAAAGTTACACCTGGCGATCAGTGTGTAGCGGTAAATAAATCCCCAAACTAAATAGCTCTGTAAGTTTTCGACATTGGATGCTGACCATATGTTTTGGTGGACTCATCTAGCTGAAGGCGCTCGGTCATGCATCCGGACCAAATCACGTGTGGTAACGCTGTGCTCAACATGTACCGCAATCGCTAGCCAGATTAGATCGGAGAATCCCGATATATTGGTTAAGCTCTCCTTCTGACAAGTACTCTCCCTATGAGTCTCGACAACTGGACTACATTTCGCAGTTTACTTCAGATATCCAACATATTTCTGGAGCAAACAATGTAGTTGCAGACGCCTTGTCTCGAATAAATTCCTTGAACAGTTTCCAAGGAATCGACCTTCTTAAACTCGCCCAGCTTCAAAAAGAAGACACTGATCTTCAGCACGAGTTATCGTCCGCAACCCTTAAACTACGCATCGAACAGATGGAAACAGGTAAGGAAACCTTACTTTGTGACACATCTACAGGTAGGGATCGCCCAATCGTCCCGAAACATTATCGACGCAATGTCTTCAACACATTGCACAAACTTTCTCATCCAGGCGTTCGTGCAACCATCAACCTCATAGCAGAACGGTTTTCTGGCCTGGTATGAATAAAGATGTGAGGCAGTGGGCACGCTCCTGTGTAAGCTGCCAAAAATCTAAGGACATCAGACACAATAAATGTCCCTTAGGCTCATTTAAAACTTCCGATGCTCGTTTCGACCATGTTCATCTGGATTTGGTAGGACGTTTACCAGATTCAAATGGATACTCTTACCGCTTAACCTGTGTGGATCGTTTCACTCGATGACCAGAAGCAGTACCTATCAAAGACATCACTGCTGAAACAGTGGCCCGCACCTTCGTCGAACGATGGATAGCAAACTTCGGCTGCCCTTCAACCATCACTACAGACCGCGGACGTCAGTTTGAGTCTGAACGTTTCCGTCGTCTGACCACACTATTAGGAAGCACTCTCTTCCGAACGACCGCCCACCACCCACAAGCAAACGGGTTGGTAGAACGTTTTCACCGACAACTAAAAGATTCACTATCAGCTACAAACGTTCCACAGTGAACCGACGCTCTTCCACTCGTCTTACTAGGTATCCGCAATGCAGTGAAAGCTGACATTGGATACACTACAGCTCAACTCGTTTATGGAACGACACTTCGACTTCCAGGAGAATTCGTGGATCCTTCATCCTCTTCAATGAGCATGGATCTAACCTTCTACACGAACAGGCTTACAAACGCAATGCGTTCAGTTAAACCTGCTTCCACTCGACCTCAATCAACTGATGTTTTCGTTCAACCTGACTTACGATATAGTACACACGTTTTCGTTCGTCAAGACTCGCATCGACGACCTTGTGAATCAGCATACGAAGGACCTTTCAAAGTTCTTCAACGCGAACCGAAGTACTATATAATCGATAAGAACGGAACCAACGATAGCATCAGCATCGATCGCCTCAAAGCAGCGTATTTAGAAGGAAATCCTATCTACGTGGATTTCCCTTCGGTACAATTGAACGACACGACTCCGACACTTATAATACCTCATTCGACAACCAACACACATGATGATACTTCGACAGTATCCGAAAATAAACTTAAAACGACGCGTTCTGGAAGAAGAGTAAGATTTCCAGAACATTTAAACGACTATTGCACGTAAGGCACTACTCGACATTTTATATTATCTCGATCTTTCTTTTTACGATATATATTATTAAAAAAATTTTTTAAATATGCTTATATATTTTTATTTCCATTTAAAAAAAACAAAAAAACAAATTTTTTCACGCTATTACGTGTTTATGAGTTTTTTTCCTTTTTTTTCCCACCGACATTGTGTTTTTTTACGCACATACGAGTGTATTTCGACGTGCACTTACATTTCCTTTTTTTTCCAGGACGGCTGCAAAAAAACGATGACGTTTATGAAGTTCCGAAATTTTCATTGTACATTTTCTTTTTTTACTATGTTGTACCTCGGTCCCATATTGTAAGTAAAGACGACCAGACGCTGCTAAATTTAGTAAGCTATCAGAAGAGTGTTTACCAACGACAAACTCGTTGGGTTTAAACTTTTGGCTGGTCTCGTCTTAGGGTCATCACTGCCCCTCTAGAGGGGAGTGATCTGTAGCGGTAAATAAATCCCCAAAATAATTAACTCTGTAAGTTTTCGACATTGAATGCTGACCATATGTTTTAGTGGTCTCATCTAGCTGAAGGCGCTCGGTCATGCATCCGAACAAGATCACGTGTGGTAATGCTGTGCTCAACATGTACCGCAATCGCTAGCCAGATTAGATCAGAGAATTCCGATATATTGGTTATCGCCAAATACACTCTTCCGATCTCCTCGACTCTGTCTTTTGATTTCTCTTGGTGTGAACAAAGTATATTAGGTGTTACTGGTAAAAGCGTTGTCAAACACTGAATATCTGTATCATCCTCAATTGGAGTTCTGGAATTCTCTACGTGATAATCAGATGAATCGATTTCTTAGGTGACTTGCTAGAACAAATATACTCAGTAAGCGACAACATATACTAGAATTTGCCTTTACAGAACTACTAGGTAGAAATACTTCCACATGAGCTTGTACGTGTTATGCAGTTGGTTAACTCACGTTGATTGTCCTTGACTTTCACAAGGTCCGGTAACCTGTTCAACATTCAGTGATCTACTTCGCGGATGATTAGGCTCAGTATCAGTGGGATTTCACTGATACCTGAAGCCTAATTATTAGGAAGTCTTTATCAACAGTTACGTGGTACACTTAGCAGCGATCCAAAACAAATTTTGAGCCAAACTGGCCGAATAACATTCGTAAAAATGGACCTTCAATGAGGATGATTAGGATCTGTTTTGACATGCAATGTGGTTGTTGACAGATGAGATACAGCTTGGAAGTGGAACTTGAAGAGCTATTTAAGTTCATGGTTTCGCATTACTGAAATATTTATCGAATTACTGTTGGGGTTAAAGGTTTTTTCTCCGATGAGTATGAATTTTACCAACACAAACTGCACATCTTATCTGAACAAATTGTTGAGGATGATACAGGTATTCAGTGTTTGACAACGCTTCTACCAATAACACCTTCTAATATGCTTTGTTCCCACCGAGAGAAATCAAAAGACAGAGTCGAGGAGATCGGAAGAGTGTATTTGGCAATAACCAATATATCGGGAATCTCTGATCTAATCTGGCTAGTGATTGCGATTGTTGTTGAGCACAGCGTGACAGCACGTGATCTGGTGCGGATGCATGACCGAGCGCCTTCAGCTAGATGAGTCCACTAAAACATATGGTCAGCATCCAATGTCGAAAACCTATAGAGCTATTTAGTTTGAGGATTTATTTACCGCTACAGATCACTCCCCCCCTAGTGGGGCAGTGATGACCCTAAGACGTGGCCAGCCAGAAGTTTAAACCCAACGCGTTTGTCGTTGGTAAACACTCTTCTGATAGCTTACTAAATTTAGCAGCGTCTGGTCGTCTTTCCTTACTATATGGGACCGGAGTACAACATAGTAAAAAAAAAAATGTACAATGAAAGTTTCGTATCCTCATAAACGTCATCGTTCTTTTCCAGCCGTCCTGGAAAAGAAGAAAGAAAATGTAAGTGCATGTCGAAAATACACTCGTATGTGCGTAAAAAAAAGGGAAAATAAACTCATGAAAACGTAACAGCGTTAAAAAAATCGTTTTTTTTTGTTGTTTTTTTTTTTTTAAAAATAGAATTGAAAATATATAAGCCTATTTTAAAAAAAATTTTTTTAATAATATAGAAAATGTCGAGAAGTGCCTTACGTGCAATAGTCATTTAAATGTTCTGGAAATCTTACTCTTCTTCCAGAACGTGTCGTTTTAAGTTTATTTTCGGATACTGTCGAAGTATCATCGTGTGTGTTGGTTGTCGGATGAGGTATTATAAGTATCGGAGTCGTGTCGTTCAATTGTACCGAAGGAAAATCCACGTAGATAGGATTTCCTTCTAAATACGCTGCTTTGAGGCGATCGATGCTGATGCTATCGTTGGTTCCGTTCTTATCGATTATATAGTACTTCGGTTCGCGTTGAAGAACTTTGAAAGGTCCTTCGTATGCTGATTCGAAAGGTCGTCGATGCGAGTCTCGACGAACGAAAACGTGTGTACTATATCGTAACTCAGGTTGAATGAAAACATCAGTTGATTGAGGTCGAGTGGAAGCAGGTTTAACTGAACGCATTGCGTTTGTAAGCCTGTTCGTGTAGGAGGTTAGATCCATGCTCATTGAAGAGGATGAAGGATCCACGAATTCTCCTGGAAGTCGAAGTGTCGTTCCATAAACGAGTTGAGCCGCAGTGTATCCAATGTCAGCTTTCACTGCATTGCGGATACCTAGTAAGACGAGTGGAAGAGCGTCGGTCCACTGTGAAACGTTTGCAGCTGATAGTGAAGCTTTTAGTTGTCGGTGAAAGCGTTCTACCAACCCGTTTGCTTGTGGGTGGTAGGCGGTCGTTCGGAAGCGAGTGCTTTCTAATAGTGTGGTCAGACGACGGAAAAGTTCAGACTCAAACTGACGTCCGCGGTCTGTGGTGATGGTTGAAGGGCAACCGAAGTTTGCTACCCATCGTTCGACGAAGGTTCGGGCCACTGTTTCAGCAGTGATGTCCTTGATAGGTACTGCTTCTGGCCATCGAGTGAAACGATCTACACAGGTCAAGAGGTAAGAGTATCCATTTGAATCTGGTAAAGGTCCTACCAAATCCAGATGAACATGGTCGAAACGAGCATCGGGAGTTTTAAATGAGCCTAAGGGACATTTATTGTGTCTGATGACCTTAGATTTTTGGCAGCTTACACAGGAGCGTGCCCACTCCCTCACGTCTTTATTCATACCAGGCCAGCAAAAGCGTTCTGCTATGAGCTTGATGGTTGCACGAACACCTGGATGAGAAAGTTTGTGCAATGTGTTGAAGACATTGCGTCGATAATGTTTCGGAACGATTGGGCGATCTCTACCTGTAGATGTGTCACAAAGTAAGGTTTCCTTACCTGTTCCCATCTGTTTGATGCGTAGTTTAAGGGTTGTGGACGATAACTCTTGCTGAAGATCAGTGTCTTCTTTTTGAAGCTGGGCGAGTTTAAGAAGGTCGATTCCTTGGAAACTGTTCAAGGAATTTATTCGAGACAAGGCGTCTGCAACTACATTGTTTGCTCCAGAAATATGTTGAATATCTGAAGTAAACTGCGAAATGTAGTCCAGTTGTCGAGACTCACGGGGAGAGTACTTGTCAGAAGGAGAGCTTAACGAGAAAGTGAGCGGTTTATGGTCAGTGAATAGAGTGAATTCGCGGCCTTCGATATAGTGTTGAAAATGCCGTACAGCACAATACATAGCTAGGAGTTCCCTACCGAATGTACTGTACCTCGATTCGGTGTCTAGCAACCGTCTAGAAAAAAATGCCAAGGGTTGCCAGGAGTTGTTAATCCATTGTTGTAAGACTCCTCCGATTGCCGAGTCGGATGCGTCTACTGCGATACTAATGGGTGCTTCAGTGTCCTGATGTGCGAGCATTGTTGCTTTAGCGATCAGTTCCTTAACTGTGGAGAATGCTTTTCGTGCGGTGTCGTCCAAATTAATGGATTTCGCATTTCCACGCAGTTGGTCAGTAAGAGGTTTCATAAGTAATGCGCATTTCGGTATGAAGCGTCTATAGAAACTTACCAGGCCGTTAAACGTGCGTAATTGCTTGACGTTGGTCGGTTCTGGGTAATCCAGAATGGCCGCCACTTTGGTCCTAGGAGGTCGAATGCCTTGAGCATCGATAGTGTGTCCTAGGAAATCTAACGAATCGGTTCCGAATTGGCATTTCTGAACGTTTACAGTAATGCCATGTTTTTGTAATCGTTCGAAAACAAGATCCAGATGCTTGAGATGTGATTCTCTGTCCGGACTTGCGATTAAGCAGTCATCAACATACGCATGTACGAAGTTGAGGCCTCGAAAGACGTCGTCTATGAATCTTTGGAAAGTTTGCGCAGCGTTTCTTAGACCGAACGGCATTCGCAAAAATTCATAGAGTCCGAAAGGAGTTATGATAGCTGTTTTTGGTATGTCGTTTGTAGCCATAGGGATTTGGTTATACGCTTTAACCAAGTCGATTTTCGAAAAGACAGTTGTACCTTTCAAGGTAGCTGTCAAATCGTGAATGTGTGGCAACGGGTAACGATCGGGAATGGTTTTTGCATTCAATCGCCGATAGTCACCAGTCGGACGCCAATCGTTGCTGTCCTTTTTAGGGACCATGTGCAACGGAGATGCATAAGGGCTGTTTGACGGTCGTATGATTCCTAAGTCTATCATATGATCGAATTCGTTTTTCGCTAACCTCAGCTTTTCCGGAGCTAGTCGTCGTGCTTTAGAGAATACAGGTGGTCCTGTAGTCGTGATGTGATGTGTAACATTGCTGGTTACACACGGTAGTTTCGTTTGAGCTTGTTGTATCCCAGGGTACTTGTCGAGTAGTGGTTGATAGAGTGGGTCTATCGAATGCTTAACTGTGACTGGGGATAATCTACAACAAGAAAAAGAAGTTACGCAAACGGATAATTTAGTGTTTCCATCTACTAGCCTCCGTTTGCGCGTGTCGATGATTAGATTATGATGTTGTAGGAGATCCATACCAATGATTGGCATAGAAACATCTGCAACAACGAAAATCCAATGAATGGGTTTGCGTAAACCCACGTTAAGGTAGACGTACCTTTTGCCATACGTGGCGATTGGTTTTCCATTTGCCGCCTGTAAGTTTAGAGTTGATTCGTGGAGCCGGTCGTTAAGATTTGCTGGGAGAACGCTAACTTCTGCGCCAGTGTCGACGAGGTAGCGAACTCTCGTTGTCACATCTGTGACGTACAACAGACGGCTATGTTCGCCGGCTACGGTTGCCATTAACGCGTGCCGGCTTGGAAGTTTCCCGAATTGTTTTTCGAATCAGTCGTTTTCGTGTTGGGAAAATTGCAGGGTTTTCTGCAATTTCTGGAAGATTTCCCATACTGGTTATGATACCAGCACCAGTCAGGGTTATCTGTCTCTCGTGGTCTAGAGACAGATCGTTTACGCGAAATGCTTCTACGTGGACTGCGTGAGCGACTACGGTCGTTACGAAGATTAAGATAACGCGTGAGTGTATGACATAACTCGGTTATGTCATTCTGAGTCGCGTGAGGCTTTTCTTTGACGGAAAATACCTCTGAAGTAGACGATTTCGTTATTTCTAAAATACGATCGGCAGATGCAGCTAGCTCGTCTAAGGCGTTGTTCTGAAATGAGACCAGAACCGCTTGCACCTGTTGAGGAAGTTTAGATAAGAAAAGTTGTTTAAATAGACCTTCGTCGAAAGTCCTTAGGCCTATCACTTCTCTCATTCTTTGCAACATGTCAGTCGCAGAACCGTGTTGCAGGTCGATGTTATTGAAGAGTTGATCTAACCTTTGTCGATCGGTTAGGTCTCCTCGTTTAAGAATCGAACGTTTAAGGATTTCGTAAGGTTCGGAAACATCACTAGTAAACATACTAGGTGTTACGTACCTGTTGAATTCGCGCGGTAGTGCCTTGACTACTGCGAGGAATTGTGCACGTGTGTCGATCACGCCGTGCTCGGAGAAATCAGCTTCTGCGTAGCAGAACCAGGCTTCGATATTGTCGGGCCAGAAAGGCATGAGTTGAAACGAAGGCGGGGACAAAGTCTTAAGCTTGAGTACTTTGGGTGTCTGTTCAGCCATGATGAAAATATGAAGTACGATAACGAACGAGGGAAAAATATATATATATATCCCAGGAAAAACACGAAAAAAAAAAATCACAATGTTTAAAAAAAAGGTAATAATATATAAAAATCCCAAAAAGGAACAGACTCACAGTTGCAGTTAGGTGTACCAGATCACGTCGGGCTCACCAATGAGGATGATACAGGTATTCAGTGTTTGACAACGCTTCTACCAATAACACCTTCTAATATGCTTTGTTCCCACCGAGAGAAATCAAAAGACAGAGTCGAGGAGATCGGAAGAGTGTATTTGGCAATAACCAATATATCGGGAATCTCTGATCTAATCTGGCTAGTGATTGCGATTGTTGTTGAGCACAGCGTGACAGCACGTGATCTGGTGCGGATGCATGACCGAGCGCCTTCAGCTAGATGAGTCCACTAAAACATATGGTCAGCATCCAATGTCGAAAACCTATTGAGCTATTTAGTTTGGGGATTTATTTACCGCTACATTGTAAAGCTATTTTTATGCATATATGCCAACCAGTAGACTGATCTGGCCATACTATCGTTACTTCTATTTAGTAGTAAATAACTTCCTTATTATATCAGAGTTAATGTCTGGAATTAGGTATTCGGATGGAAGGATAGCTAAGGTTATTGCCTTATTTCGGAAAAATATGCAGGCGTTTTTATCATAAACTCTTGGCTGCTTATAAATCAACCTTCAGTTCTACTGACGTGATGTTCCAATGCTTTTTGAACCAGGACTCAAATAATTTGTAACAGTGTAATATAAAAATTATATACAAGGATTTTCGTACAGGTGTTCAATCCAATTCTTTTCGAAGATCATTGGAAAACTATGAGTTGGATGATTGAACATTTTGAGACCTATAAAGTTACGTTACGTATGTTAACAGTTGTTTGAACATATTAGTTTTGTAAACAAGACTACTGGCGTTTGGTTTCGTTCTTGATGATGAGAGTTCTGGTTTTGCCCTTGTTCGCCCTTTTTTATTCATTCGTTGATGCTGTTGAGTTACCACTGACTCCGAAGACTTGTCAAGAAGTTTGCATCACTAAATTTGATGTAAGTATATTTTAGCTAGATCATATGTCCGTGGATGCAGTTATATAAGGTTCACATTGTTATTTTCGACAATTTTCTCACTTATCTTAACAATCAGGTGTTTGTTCACTATCAGAGTTCAAGTTTTTGTTCGGTCTATTTCTTACTTGTTGTTACAGCTTCAAGAATACTACACGATTGTCCATTGTTTGAGACACTAACTATGTTGTCCTAAACTGCTGCATTTTTGCCTTGATTAATCGTTCAGGGTTTCAGAACAACTAGTAATAACACCGAAAATCATAGGCTGGCCGATAATATTTTGTATTTGAGTCGTACGGTCATGACCTTGGTATTCTATATTCTTGTTGCAATATGCAAACTGAATGAGTTTTAAAGGTGAGATTGTAATTTACGGATTACGTTTGAACTGCGCTAAAATAACCATAAAATGTTCACTAAATTATTTAAGTTAAATGAGGGTTATGGATTAGTGTGAGGAATTAGGATTAGAATATACAGTTGTATGGAAGAGTTACGCACTAGATTTAACGTTTTCATCAGGAACTACCATAAGCTATGGTGCGAAAATGGTATTTAGCCAAATGAGTAAGTGAATTTTGCCTCAAAATTCAAGATCTTCTATCTTAGATTTAATTGGTTCGTCCATAAATTATAGCCTTGCCGAAATTCGAACTCATGTCTCTTCAAATTTCGGTTCTAAGATTGTCTTCACCTGGGGAATTCAAAATGCTTTTGAGTTTATTCCTTTTACGAGTTATCATCAAATTTATTGTCTCTGAATGTCAGGAGTGAGCATCTGCGTTTTTTTCGCTTTAAATCAAACTAAAGTATTCATTCATTGAACATAATCAAATTCACGTTAGTTTCTGTTGCCACCCAACGTACATTCCTGTAGAGAATTATTCTATAATGGTTGGAGACTCTGGTTGACATAGCTCAGAACCAATCAGAATGGCGTGAGCGTATACACTCTTTGTCTACCCTTAAACTGAGAGTAAGATTGCTTTTTTTCTTTCTTCCTGCACTATATCCTTAAAATCAATCTTTTATATATTACTACCATTGAAGCAACTACTATGGATTTGGTGTTCATATTGTGCTAATGAGTTATGAAAGTTAGACCTATGCATATATGTGCCTGGTCCTACATTGTAGCTGACTTATTTGACTGACTATTCTGTAGCTTAGTTACTGGGATCTAGCTTGGGAGTAAGTTTCTCAACTGAGTTCCGATTCGGCGTAACTATATTGCTTCAAACAGAAAATGCCTTGCAGATGTGTGAGCTTCAAATACTTCTGAATTATTTTAGGTAGTTTCCAACTAGTTTATTGAAGAGTTGTTTCATTCTCGTTTTTCATGATTTAATAATAACTTTGTCTACATGTAATATAGCAACTTGGACTGCCATGCATATGAAAAGCGTCAATTTTTTAACGGATTGAACCTCCTCCACTTCACAAATAGCATGTGGGCATCTCTTTAGTTACCATTCCATAGAATTTCTAGTTTGATAACCGTTTTACAAAATAGTTTAGTTTTGCTTTCATTCTGGTCATCATATTCCGACGGAGAAGCAAACTGACGGTCGCACAATAAAATGGCACTCGTGACTGCTGAAAAAATTTGCCTGTCGTTACGTTTTGGAGGGTAGGCGATTTATTAGTGTAAATAGTCACCAGTTAGTGTCACTCATTTTTACTGCTTGCCACTATTCGATTTTTTCATAGCTGAGCTATCTGCTCTTTCAAGCTTGCTTAGTGTCATGGCTTTGATAATCGTTCGATTCAGATGAAACTTTTAACTATTAATGACTTTCTAGCGTTCCTTCATAAAATGACTTAGTAAAGTAATTTTGGTGCAAGTAGAGCTGTCTGTAATATCATTAACAAAGGCCAGTTCACCTTCAGGGATTTCGAACTGGTTTAAAATTAAGTTGTTTGACTACATTAGTTATTAATAGCATTACGAGTACCTAGCTCTAAAACTTACTTATGATCACCATTAATTACATACCACGATATGTTAGTCTAGATGGATCTACAGCGATTTCAAAATTGTCCGGTCATTTCTCATGTGCCATGCTTCCAACTGCAAATCGGTAGTTCGCTTTTCTCTTTTCTTCTTAGCAAATATTTTCTTGTTATCGTACGGAAATACTCAAATATGACTTGTTTGTAGGGGGCTGAAGAAGATGCGTGTTCCAGAGGTTGTGTCCTGTCAAACTTGAATTCATTGTTGTCAACATTTACTTGTGAAGAATCTTGTGATGATGTATACAAGTCGGATACAAAGTTGGTTGCTGCTTGCAAAGTAGGTTGTTCTGCAACTCCAAGTCACACATCTGTTGGGCTCCTGCCAGTTCAAAAGTAATGTGAAAATTAATTATGAACTAGTCCTTTCAGCTTCTTTAGCACATTCTTCGACAGGATTCGTAATTTATTCGGAGCTGTGAATAACGGTATGATTTTTTAAATTACTTACTCAATGTTTGTACATATTCTTACTCCCTAGTATTTTTTCCAAGAGTTTTGTTCCGGACGCTTAGGCTACCAAACTCAGTTTTCTACTTCTGTGAAATAAATATATTTTGATATTTTGAAGTGACATACCATTCACTTCGAATTGGGAGTCTTTCAGATTAAAAGTAATGAATATCGAATGACAGGATCCTTTTGTTAAAATGCAAATATTGAGTTCACATGAGATTACATTGCAGAAAGATAAATACAATTTAGTGATCAAATAAAGATTTCCATAATTGTATAGATGCTGGTGTTTATCTCAGCCGTAGATAAAGTGTATCTAGAGCGCACACCAACTTGACCAGCTGTAAACGTGTGATGATATCTCTTTAACCCTGCCACTATTAATTTCCATGCATTTATTACGTTAATTTCTTCCACTGACGTTTTGAAGCGTTTTTTCTTTTTCTTTAGGTTCGGGAGCCAGTGTGGATACCAAAGCTAATAAGGTAGAGGGCGACACTGATTCAGATTCCGGTAATCATGTGATCATATCACGCATCCGCATTTTCCATAACTTCGCTCCCAGTAAGTTTTAAGCAATGTTTGTTATCAGCTTCAGCTTTAGATTTTACTATGCTTTTAACTTCTTTTCACCATTATTCGGACATGCCGACTGGTTGTCTACGTTTTTAAGCTAACACCATCATTCCGACCTTTTCAACCCCCTAAAACGGTTAAGATAAAATTTGTGTAAGGGATTTATGCACAACTATGATATAAGTTGAAATTAGTTATTCCTAAATTACCTATTCCTGCTTTTCGACAGTCGATAACCTACCCAGAGTACTTGGTCAGTATGTACCAATTGGATGGAAGCGGTTGTTATATTTCATTATCTGAACACTGCATTCCATTTTGTCAAAGAACATGTGTCATATCGCTTGTCAGTATAAGACAGATCAAAGAAGTGTAGAAATTTGTTATTTACTCAAATATTGTTAAAGTTAGCTATCTCCTGTGAACTGGTCGGGGAAATAACGTTAAGGTCAGTTTAATATCGCTCGATCTATTATGTAATCACCCTCATTAGATCGGTAGACGTTTTATGTGTTTGTTTACATTGTACTTAAGCAAATGTAGTTATAACATGGAACAAACCACCTGATAATTAAACCAAAAAAGACCATTAGCGAGATATCGGACTGTAAGCTATTAGTTTCAATTTAGGTATGCTATATTGTGTTGTTTTGAACTTTGACATCAGCGAGTTTATTAGTGTCAAGTTTCGTGTATCATGCATCATACGTTCGATTTCTTAATGTGTTTAATATGTTTTTCCGAGCAAATTTCCCACCTATAGATGCAGTTCTTTGGGCAGATTTATACAAATATAATATTTTTGTTTAATAGTCAGAAGAAATGTATGCGACACAATGTTTTTGAGAAGCGCTTGTACTTTTTTCATTTCTTAGATGACGCACATGAAAATCCACTGGATTCACCATTCAATATAAAACCACTCTTTAGTTTGCGTGAAATTATTCCACAAGATGATGATGCTTATTTCAAAGCTGTAAAAAATAATGATAAGAATGTTATTCGTATACATGCTGTCGGTGATGATGGTGAATCAACCTTTTATGAACACCAACCTACATTTGTTAGAAAAGCTACTTACTTCTTCCGTCATATTATGTTTCGCCCACTTTTATTACCATTGCTTATCGCATTGTTGATTGTGATATTATTATTAATGGTGAAGTTAACTATTCACGCTTGTCGTGTTCGTGAACATCGGCACATAGAGGTAAGTCATGTATACCTTGACAGTGAATTGATGTACGAGATAGCCAGTTTGTTTAATCAAGGATATCAGAAAGTTATGCAAAATTTGCGTTCGATAATTTTGTTGGTCTACGGTAAAAGTGTAGCTCATTTTGGTTAACAAAATAAGGCACTAATAAAAACTTCAAATCAGCGTATTATAATAAAATTAATGATGAACTTTGAGCTTTGTCCCATACGATTGTAAGAGGATTTATTTACCGACCTTCATCATAATACTAGATTCTAAGTATGTAGATTACTTCTACATCATGTTGGTGTGACATTCAAGAGCGAAATATTCATTATGCAGCCGCAACAAACTATAAGGTACCTCAATTTAACTTGTCTTCGAAGGTAAATAATTTCAAATTATTTTGTATTTCTTATTGAACAATCTATCATTGACAAGGCTAGATCAGAAGTCAAAATACAAAGATTTGTAGGCGTACCAAAAAAGCAAAGCAATTAGAAATAATAGCTTAATATTTTCAAACTTCAAGGGAGTTTACAGAATGTTCTTAACCAATTAGTGAATATCCAATCCGACAAACTGAACAATCGCCAAGAATTTGATCAAATGTTCAAAAGTATTTGAAACAAGGCGACTACGCTGTCGACTTTTTAAGTTCTGTTATAAGTGTTTTAATTAAAAGTTAACTGGGATGTATTACAAATAGAATGTTCATGTAGTCATATTTTCCTAACCAAATAGGAATCATATAGTCATGGTTTTTGATTATACGATTATTGCATACCAGTAGCTTACGTCGATTCTGATCAGTTGTAACGCTTGGATAATTCGTTCAAATAGTTTATTCAGAAAATCGTGTATATCTAAGTTATGGAGGTGCCAATAACTTGCCCACTAGCATTTATGAAGGTTTATATTGTGTCATGTTTTCATTAATTACATCGAAGTGGTCATAACTGAAGCCATAGTAGTTAATATTCGATGTAGTTGTACAATATTCACTTGTTTCCTACTATAATTTGTTGTAGTACAGTTTTGTAGGACATGAGAATAATGTTATAGTATGTGTAAGATTAACTTTCAAAACGTTCCATGCCAGTTTCAACTTCTGGTACCGTCATGACGTGTTAGTTATGAAATGTTAGTTATCAAACTCTAGAGTTTTATACTTGTGAATCAATTTTCCGAACGTGAAATATCTTTCGACTTTGTTACCAGTCGTTATTATTTCGGTCACAATATCGTGTTGATAGTGCTGTCGTCTAGCAACTTTATCTCTTGATGTGGTGTAAAAACTGTTAAGTCGATCATATAATCGTAAAGCATCAGTCTCTATGACTTGAACATGTCTTAACCACTCAATCTCGGTGGCTTGTATACCGAGCACTGTTTGGTGACCCAGTGACTTTGTATCAAAAACAATTCACCAACAGTTTTGGATTCATCATTTAAAGATTAAAGGTAGTCCATTTGACAACAACTAGACTAGATTATCATTACTACGTGAATAAAGTCTACATTTTCCAGTTTATTAATTTCAGTAGTTATCTTTGATGACTCAGCATCGAAGTCAGTGTCCATTTACTGGTGTTTTATTTTTTGTCCAACATAATTACAAATCCACTTTCAGCAAAATGAAATTTATCTTGACTGCGTTTGGATGTAAAGTATTCTCGTGCTATTATTTTATGATTCTCTCTCATTTTCTACAATCGTTACTCTATTTTCTTTGGGGCATTAGTATTTCATTGCCCAGATTTTTATGTTAAGTCAGTAATAACCGTAGATAAAATTCGTTTTTTATTTACCTTCGGTCGAAATCTCTTTGTAGTGTTAACTTTTGTTGTCAAGAATCCATCATTTTTCTCTAAATCTTTTTGCTGGATGTCAGCGTGAGATTACTATGACTCCTTGTATCTAAATTCGCTGACATAAAGTTCGTTATCCTATGGAAAAATAAATTTGTGGATACATTAAAAAAGTCACTTGAGTTTTATTATATTTATCAATCAATCTCCCACTTATTTTCACTGGTTTTTATAGATCCTAGTGAGTGTTTTGCATTCTGAAATGATCTATTAAGAAATATCTTATTTTCAATTCATTTGTATTAATTTGTAGGTATCGTTACCATGGTTTGACTTGATAATTTCGAATAAATTGAGCACTGGGTAGATTGTTATAAATAAATAATATATTTGTATTAATTGTTCGAATCTTCTCATTGATAATTTGAACTACAATTGATTAGTCTCTCCACTCTGTTGTATAAAGCAGTGGCTATCCGGACTCAGTAGCTGAGTGGAAAACGCAGTGGCATTTTTAGTGAGCAGCACCGAGTTCAAGTCCCGGAGTGAACAACTTTGGAATGCAGGTACATCTAGTTGAAGAGTCCTACACCGGACGAGACGTGCTTACTGGATTCGTTTGCTAGCCATCACCCATCTATGCTTATATTTTATTTTTAACACAGTTGCATATGATTACCATATATTTGTAAGTACATGACGTGTTTTCTTTCTTTCTAGTATACTCGTTTACCAACGTATGTTGAAGCAATGAATGTGAAGGTCCCGTTGTACGAAGATGTGATAAAATGTGAGAAATCATCCGAAAAAGGCCCGATTGATGCCTAATATCTGCAAATTATTTGAGAATATTTTCGTTTTTTCAATATTTGTGATAAACACATTATTCTGTTATCATCACCGTAACACTCACTTGCTCATGAATGCACTGGAGTAAATACTCAAGTTCTCATGTTTTGTCATTATCCCCTTATTTTGACCGATTTTCTGTTGTGTTGCTTTGGTCTATGCTATTGTGTTTGTCACTCCTCAAACACTAAGTTAAACAATGAACTGGAACACGTTTTTTTGTGGCACTATTTTATAAACCAAATCACTTCTTATTTGTCTTGTTGCTCTCATATTGATAACTGTCATCACCACTGGATCTTTTTTTGTGATCGCGTTATTTTCATAGACTACTCCTTGTTATTGTTGCTTCAATAAATACCTTGTCAAAATATTGTATTTTCCATTTGAGACGGTAGCGATTGAGATGTGATTTGTTTCTGTTTTCATTTTGTACCATGTTCATCCGTGATTATATTCGTTTGACTTACGAACTTATAGTACATTCGAGGCGAAAGTAATTTAAATGGATAGATCAGTAATTTTTGGTGACAGAAGTTTTTCAGTAGATTTGTTTGTTTCATATACTTTAGTTTTAGTATGAAGTGAAGACTTATTGTGGCTAAATAGATGGAATTATTAATAATTTGTTTTGTTTCTTTCGCTACCTGCATTTATATATACAAATAACTAATCATCAGCTGTATCAGCGCAGAATATTATCAATATGGTTACAAGTTAAATATTCTAAAATCTAATTATGAATATATATATTAGGTTGTAAATAAACGTTTTTTGTAAGTGCACTTAAACTGACCCTCAATCTAATATCAAAGTTTCGGGTTCATTGACTGTGAGTTTTGTCAATTTATACCAATTATTGAAGTGTAAACGGATATATTGTTCAAATCAGAAATGGTTGTTTCTTCCGATATACTAATGATCAGTTTTGTAGAACATATTCTCTATTTATAAACCGCTTAAAACTACTGTTAAGCCTGGAAGTCTGTTAGAGTAAATCAATCTATTGAAGAATCTGTTAGTTTTTTGTTAAGTGCATAATTAATGAGTAGTGTTATATGATTCTTTGAACTCGGAGTTATTAATCTACATTGTTTGAGAAAGCTCGTTAATATGTTATGTGTTGTGATTTATTGTATGTTTTTTGATTTTATCCGTAAGGGATAGTGTTAAATTTTTCACTTGAATCCAAAAAATGACAGGTATTGTTAGTTCGTGACTGTAGGTAATATAGCTATGAATTGGTAGCAGTGATGAATATGAAAGAGTGGTAGTTGATAAACACTAGGCACCGGTCTAGTGCTATTTGATTTTAACTGAAACTCTAGCTGATCTTAGTCTGTTGTTGAGACTAGCCTCAGTTTGAAAAAAGCTTTCTGCCTTAGCAACGATTCTTAATACTCGTTTAGTACCATATCTATTACTTTATAATGTGAGTTAATTTAATTAAACCAGTTTCAGTGGAAACCAACAGAATACCAACACAAATCCAATGCATGTCTGACAGTTGTCTTATACCACCTATGAGGCATTGCAGTCAATCTATGTGAAGAATCTACTTAACTACCTTACCTCATATTGTTGAATTAATAAGAATCATTTTTTATGTCATTCTTCGTGTTCTAGTTCGTTTCTTACTTAGAATAACACTGATCTGATCATAGTTGAAAAATTAAATAGTAATTTGGGAAACCATGATGCCATGGAATTACTTTCTAGTTGTGATTTTTCTAGGTTGAAAAATCAAAAAAGAATTGTAGAAGAAATTAATTTCTTACAGTAATATTATACATAGGAAAGAATGAGAGTGTCGATCTTCACAACTTAGGGCTTAACACCAGACGCAATTAAAGAGATAGTTTTATATTCTTTACAAAACAAGTTCTTTGTAAAGCAGACAATAATGAATGGTAGTGTATTAGAAAGAAGATCGGAAGTTTTAAATAAAAGAACAACGTGATTGGTATGAGTACAAACAACTTTTTAAAAGTCATGTTTTTGTGGATAAACATTTCGTAAATCGCACGCATATTATATAGTTTCATGAAATATAAACCTCGAAAGTGGTGGCTTTATGATTGCTAATTTTGCTCAGCTATTTCGACGCATGGTAGTATTTAAATATTTAATCTAGCAACCACAAATAAACTGGTAGGAAAAACATTGGTCTTATCACTATACGCCATTCATTTGTGATGTGCATAGTGTGATACTCGTAAATCATTTATGATTGACGATTTCAAATGCATCTCTATGGCCTACTCCATCAAGCTATTTTTGATTATTTAAGTTCATAGAAACGCATTCTTACTAATGAGTTAGGATTCGATTTTATTTTTACATTACTTGTTACCTAGAAGTAAACTAGTAGGCTAAATTTTATAAATTGATATAACAAGTTTATTGACTCATCTTTGAACCATGTGTTTTTGTTTGACACCCGGTCATGTACTGTCTGTCAGTGGTAATGCAAAAGTAAATGGTATGTAATGATTGAAAGTCGACTAGTTTAACCACCACATCACTCTGCTGGTAGTTTGGATTGGAAGATGTGTATAGATTAACAATATATTTAAATTATAGGTAATTATTATACGTACAATCGGTTAAATGACTATAAGTATATTAACCATTGTATATTCTATCCAGATCAGTTGTACTATCACACCCTTTTGAATCAGCATGTAAATGCAGAAATTCCTTAATGAAATTCACTTGATCCATAAAACGGCATCTAACTGTAATCTTTAATAGCCATAATGAAAATGTACTTGCTGACACCTGTTACCACTCGTGGAAGAGCATAGGCCACCCACCAACATTCTCCGTGCAACTGTCCTAAGAAATCCTTTCTAGTTGCTATTCATTTATTTCATGTCCGCTTCCAGTTCTTGGCGCAATGTGTTCTTTGATCTTCCTCTTTTTTTGTCGTTATTTACGGCTCGTTAGTATATGTGAACATTCTTGTTACTTTAGTTAGCCACTAGTTAATATTATCAATTGTACGAAACTAAAGAATATAGGAGTGTGCTTTTAAAGAGTTTGAAAAAAGTAGTTAGTCGTTTTTTTAACAGTTGGATAATGGCTGATAACAGAATCTAGGAATCGTGTTTTCCGCTATCCATGAATCATTAAGTTTATTTACTTGCATCCTTGTACTGATTTTCATGTTGAAGTTCGAATCTAGTACTTTCGGTTTAAGCACCTAAGGTGTTGTCCACTGAGTTACTGAGCCCATATAGTTACTAGCTTATACAAAGGGTACAAATTTTATTTATAAGAGCTTGTTTTTCTTTATTGTTGAAACGCGAAATAAAAACTCTTACAAATAGGTGGTTATTCATTGCTTTAACTTATTTCTAACTGTAGTTTTTACATTCTTATGGTCTAATAAGTAAAATTAAACACCAGCTACAAAGAAAAGAAGGTAATCGGACAGTTTAGTCAAAGTAATTTTTAATGTAAATAATAAAAAACAAAATCCTTCTTTAAACGTGATTGCAGTAGCCTAATAAAGTTTACATTTGGAGATAAAAACCAATATCTATTGTTTGTTATCATTGTACCTTGGTTCCAACATTGTTTATGTACACAAACACATATAATCTGTGTTTGTAAGTTTTCTCCATTACTATTATTATCATTATTATTATGTGTATTTTTAAATACCATGTCTGTTCAAACATTCGGTTTCCTATTTTATTATGAAAAGCTTTCCATTCATTTGTATTTGTTTCAATTTAAATTGCATCATATGATAACTTTCCCTTGGAAAAGGAAATTAAAGATAATTATTAGTTGAAAAATGTACTGTTAAAGTTTTTCTCTAATTTACAACTATCTTTTAAACAATTAAATTTTTTTATATGATGAATAATTTGTACTGTTTTGTAACATAACATATCTATTGTCCACTTTGTAAGCAAGTAATTATTGGATTGCCCCCAAATGCCTTGGTATGGCCGAGAGTGGTGTGAGCCCGCCCACCCTCTCTAAATGCTCTCACACGGCCACGCATATACAGCCTGTGCCAGGGAAGTTTTACTCACTACCTTCTCGTGGCGTTGGTGTTGTTTACGAAATTGAGAGGACGAAAAGCGAATGTCCAGCGCTTTAATCGGATCACAAACCAATGGTGCACATGGGCTCCAGTATCCTGCGGGAACAAATAGCGTATGAACCAATCGTTGGTCACCGGCTACCATGAGATTGCATCTCCTCACGATGCTCCATTGCCTGTGAGTCAGTCTTTTAGGTTCAAGGCTCGGGGCGTGGCTCCCTAAGAAAACCACCTGTTTCGGTTTGGACACCCGGGCAGTATCCCAGTCCTCGTGTTACGTATGCCTGAACACCGATTACCACGACGTGCAATGCTATCCGGTATTGGAAATGGTTGGAAGAAAGTTAGGGGTGGCCAAACCAAAACGTGGCATCAGTGCTTGAAGTCACTAACTTCTAGTCTGAGTCATATTGGTAGATGCAGACCACTTGGTTGAGGTCCGCGTGACTATCGTAACCAATGGTTGGAGACTCTTGGTGACATGGCTCAGAATCGATCACAATGGCGTCGGTGTATACACTCGGTTTCTTCCCTTAAACTAAGAGATTAAAAGCGCTTCATATCTTTCTTTCTACTAACCAATTCTTTCTTCTTGTACTATATCTCTATATGCAATCTTTCTCTTATATATTACCACCTTTTACCTAACCACTGTTATGAATCTGGTGTTCATCTTGTTGTGCTGAGGCGGTATGGCAACCTGGACCGATGCACATATGTGCATGGTCCTACGTTGTAGCTGACTGACTGACTGACCAGTCCTCACGCAAATCGAATGATTTATGTGGCGCATATATATTTGGTGCCTCCTTGTGCCAATGTTTATGTGTTTAAATAAATAATAATTATTGGATAATTAAATTTGTTGATATTAATTTTTTGACTTGTTATAACTTGTTATAATGTGATCCCTTTCATTTTCATTCCTAACTATTCAGCATTTGAGAATTTTTGCTGTTTTTACTCAATACGCAGTTTAAAATGGTATATTGTATTTGTAAGTTAGCAGTTTGAAATATATATATAATGACTTCTTTTTACTCGGCGCCCGATTTCTGTCAAACTATTCGTTCTAATCTTGACGAATATTCGTATAAAATATATAACCGTAGTTGACATTTTGATATTCATCATCAGAACAAAAATGTACTACTTTCTATCACACTAAAAAAATATGTGATTGTTTTTATTTGATAGTTATACTTCTTATTTAATAAACTCCGTTTATTTTTTCTATATATTTGTGACTGGTGTTAGATTTTTAAGTTTGATTTATTCCCTGTTGGTTATGAGCAGAAATTTGGTCTCTCACTTTAAGTTTTGTTCTTCAAAGGTATCTTCAGTAGTAATGAGTTTTCTGAGATGGATGTCTTAATTACGAAGTTTTCATCAGCGTTTAATTCCAGTTTAAGTGAACATTTTTCATTACTTTATAAGTATTCAGTCAATCTATCCTGATAACCTTATTTCCGACTGTTTTATCTCCACTGGTTTTCCATCATTTTTAACACGTCTTAATAGTGGATTCTTTCATAAGTTTATCACATTAGTGTTTAATTGAATTATGTACAGGAATTGGTCATTGCATGAACCATCAATCTCCAGTTGACTCAAATATTTGAAGTTTGTACTGAATTAAACCATTTTTTCTTCCAAGTTCTTTTAATCACTTAAATATGAGCTATGTTCGGCTGTTATTTAATCTTATTGCACTCGGCTTTCAATAAAAAGATCTCAGGTTCGTATCCTGTTCCCCCTAGTTCTGTTTAAGCAGCTGGTTCATTTCATTAGTACTTATACCGTAAATGTAAATCAGAGCCCAATACATAAATCTGTAATTAATTAATTCGTTAGATGTAACATTCATTCGATCATCATGAAAGCTGTGAATATCATGAAATTACTTTGTGTTATCTCACATTCTAGGTATTTTCATATAGTAGTTGTTCCGTGCATTCTTTGAACAATATTATATAGATATAAGTTAAATTTGGCTAAATAACTTGATATATTTTCAGCTTGTTTTCACTGTACCCTTTTAGTAATGGCTAAAAGTATTTACGAATATGTTCGAAATTTCGAAATTATGGATCCCTGTCTTCCTTCCACATGGATTGTTGTTCGTTTAGATGGACAAGGTTTTCATAAATTTACAACAAAGCATAATTTTATCAAACCAAATGATACACGTGGTTTATCGTTGTCAGTACGTGCAGCAGAACGTGTTATGCAACAACAGAAAGAAATTGTTCTAGCTTATGGTCAATCAGATGAGTTTAGTTTCGTATTTAAAAAATGTACTGAAGTGTTTAATCGACGAGCAAGGTAAGATAATTGTTGTCTTGTTAATTGGTTCTACAAATTTCTATATTCATGTTTGCCTTTGAGTTGTGTGACTAGCCTGTGATAGTTTATTAATTGACTTTACATATATGAATGTGGTCAAATCTATTTCCCAATTAGTTGACCACTGGTATTCGAAAGTATGGCATACTATCCCAGTGTAATTTACAAAAATACTCTAGAATATGTGCTTGCGCTCAATTATGCTGATGAACTATTGGTGATAGCTGGGACGGTAATGCATTTATCAACCAGAGTGTTGAGGATTAACTCAACACCCATACAGCTAAGTACAGAATGAAATTCCAAACTGTATAGATTTTGGTTCTGTCAGAATGTCTGTTTAACTGTAAAACATTGTGCATACATAACTTCGCTTTTTGAAGTATCTTATTGAGAATATTTAAATATAACTTTATACAGTACTTGTCTTATCCAATAGAAATACTGAAGTTTGGCGATATGTTTTGCGTATAGCGAACAATGTTATTCTATTGTTTACTTCATTTATCTTTCAACAGATTTTTCTCTTTTATAAACTACCTACTTACAAAGTCTGTTTTCTAATTGGCTAAGAACTGGCTGAAAATTTGTCGCGGTTGATTTTTTGTTCATTTCTATAGACTATACTCTTACTAAAATATGTCCAAATTAAAATAAAGAATCAACAAGGGTTTAAGAAAAAGTCACATCATATATAGTGTTTATAACATCAAAAGTAAAGTCAATATGACTAGGGTAGATTTTATGATTGGCTTTATCGTATAGATTAGCTGTTTTGTATTTTGCATTTATATCTTCTCACTGTATCCCGCTTCATATAATGTTAATAGATGAATCTGTAGAATTTACTTTATCTACAGATATTTTATTTGAGCATTTTCCGCGATATATAATATTTGAGATGATGGGGATTTTGAATGGGTATAACTGCGAACACATTTTATTAATACAATACGCCCGACCCAAACAGAGATCAGTGGAAGATCAATACAATTACTATTATTATTATTATTATATACTTCTCACATATGTGGAGCGGTTTTTCAGAGGTTAAGGTGCTCGACTTTTAACCACTACGTCTCAGGTTCGAAACCTTCTTTTACTTCAGTCTGGGAAACCAGATAGTATCACTAGCCCTCATACTTAAAGTTTCATTCAAAGTCAAGTACACGAATCTGTATCTGGTAATGAGGTTCTACTGTCTGAACAAAAACATCAAGAACATACAAATGTTTAATTAATTTAAGTATAATCCGACTCACGAAAGTCTATTAGCCAACTATACATTACTGTCGGACCAAAATCTATGCAAAACTTTATTTAAACTAAGTTTAAACCTATCATATAATATTTTATCAGTTTCGGGAACGAACTATATATATATATATATATATATATATATATATATATATATATATATATATATATATATATATATATATATATATATATACACGCGTCCTGACCACTATCCATCTCTGCTTATAATTACCGTAAAAGTATTTACTAAATTTATACTTAGAAACAAGTGACCTTTTTTTGTTTACACATAAAAGGTGATGTAAAAGTATAGTTACTCAATCAATACGTTTCCACCATCGTATGTTATTCAAGGACAAAGTAGTTATTTTTTGTTTCACTAATGCTCATATACAATGACTAAATCTTCCCTTATAAATACTAAAAAATTCTAATTTTAATGACTGAAAGTAACTTTCTTGTCATAGTGTTTGAGAGTTGTGAACTTGATGTCCACTGTAGAGGAGTCCTATACTGCTGTAAATTCATTTCTTCACAAAAAAGCAGCATTATCGTAAAGTGAAGATGTGTGTATTGATTAATAAGTCATACACCCATTCACATACATTCGTCTATAAGAAAACTAATGAGGTTGATAATTACCGTTGTGTAACCAAATTCATTTATCCACCAAATAATTAGAAAGACTAATAATCTTATATTATTACCTACATTTTAAGACGACTCATTTCGTGTGTGTGTGTGCACGTTCAGTGATTATTATCTATATGAGATATTTAAGATCAGAGCTGTGAGTGATGATACTCATAGTGATCAACCTTGATTACTATATCACCAAAGTTTAAAAGTAATGAAGCATAAAAATAAAGAAAATTGCTAAAGCATGACTGATAATAGTAGTATGAATTGTCTTTTCTATTTGATAACAACCTTTTACGAATTCATTGCATGATAATGAGGATTATTATGCTTAAAATGACCTAAATGAAGCTCAGTCAATCAAGCCAGTGATTTTTAATACAGCACGTGATTGTTCATTATTTCAAGTTGCCACATCAGTTTAATAGGACGAAAATGATACATAGCAGCGGAATGGTAGTAATAGTTGAATGCTCTTAACAAGTATGTGTGTGATCAGATTGTTCGAAATGTATTGCCTTGATATATCACAGTTCTGATAATCTTCGTCTTCTAATTACATTATCGAAAGTAATAGAAGCGTTTTTGACTACCGTGTAGAGAATATTTGTAGAAAGGATCGTTTGAAATGGAGGAATATATGTATAAAATGATATTGGAACTTGAAACCTTTGTCACTGCGATCGTTTCCTATCAATCTCACTCGAAATCCTTAACTAAAATGTCTTCGCTTCGTGACATGACTGATAACAGTAGGCAATGACTTCATGAACTGGTTCCACCTCGTGGGAAATTTAAAGAGCTATGAAGAATTCTACTTGGTTTAACCGACCCAATATAAGCTTTGAATTTATCCATAGCATCTGAATGAAGAGTCTTCCTTAGTCTATGTACCTTTTTGCCATCCTTTTTAATGATAGACAATACAATAAGGCCTCACATTCGAATACTGACTTCAGATCATTGGATATCGCTAAAGTCGAACGTCTACCTACGGGTAATTAAAAGCCAGTTGCACCATTTCCTAAACTGTCCTACTCATCATGTTGCCTGAATAAATCATAATTTTCCAGTAAACCCATCTTCAATATACTGATAATTCTAACCTTTAAGTAAAGCTTTTTTTGCCAAGATGTGACATCTCTCCTCAAGTTGGGTAGTTGAAAGAATGAAAGTTATTTATATTTATATTTCCCAGCTGTATATTTACATTGTTTGGAAACATTTTCTCTGAATATCAATTTACCAAAATTCGTGATAAAGATAATTTATATGTGAGCAGTTATCTCCCTTAAAACATTCCATAAATCCGAAACTATAACCCTCTTGTTTGTGATGCAGTACAGTTATCAATGTTTTACGTGCTCAAATATTATCCGTAAACAAGTAATTTGTCATTATTATCTTGTAAGGAAAGAGTGTATAGGGAAGGTATTTTGTGAGTACTCTTGAGGTTAGATAAAGTTTTCTTCATATAAGTATTAAATAAGTTGATTAGTTCCTTAGCTTTCATCAGCTTAACTAATAAGAACGTATGTATGCATTGTGTAATATATAAGATTTCAAAAATATCACTAAACAACAAAGTCGTTTACTGTTTGGCTAGTTATTTTTCCACGATCTTCCAAATGATATTATTCTTTAATGAAGACTACTGTCAAGCTGAACTTACCTCTGCAGATTATCTAACTTTACTATATGTGTATATCATATCGTGACTCACTTGATGGATTCCAAAAGTTTGAATAGAACATCCTAACTGATGAAATTCAACTGGATTGGGACTGAGGCAAATATCACTAATTTCATTAAATAATGCTATCACTTTATTGTAAACTGACCGACTGACAATTTGGCCTATTAGATTCCGGCGCAGTGACTTAATCTTATCACAATTGCAGCTAATCCTTAAAGTTTTGGTGTGTACTGGTGAGGGGTCCTCGGGTAAGGACTAAAATACTGAGCAGTACTCCCAGGTTTTCAGTGATTCCCTAGTTAGTTTCAGACCACGAAAATAATAATTAACAGTCACTTTCTGTCATTTTTAATGTATTAGAGACGGTAGGATGCTTCATTGGGGTTTTAAAAAATAACTTAAACTAATGATTAACATTGGCACAGTTCAAAGCCAGTCTCACTGATGTAAATGCATTGATTAGTTGTTTATCTTTTCATTCAGAACTACCTCTCTGTTCTATATAAGACCAAATGCCTATCATTTATTCGTTTGGTAATTTTCTCTTTGTTTTTATTTTTTAAGGTTCTGTATTTATTATCGTTACATCAACTCCACCTATGCTTTAATTCATTTGTTTTGTGTGTTCTTCATATAAATATATATTTTTTAGCAAAATATCCAGTACAGTTGTTTCTTTGTTCACATCTTCATATGTTTTTGAATGGCCAAAGTATTTTCCTGATACTCCATTACTGTATCCACCAGCGTTTGATTCCCGAGTAATACTTTATCCAACGAATAAAACTCTCAGGGATTATTTAAGTTGGCGTCAGGTTGATTGTAAGTTTACAATGTGTATTTTTTGTATTTGAGCCTTATGAAATGTAATAACTAATTTCATTCGATTTCAGAGTAATAAATTTACGTTTATTAGTATAACCATATTTTATATGAACTACTGTATCTCGTTTTATTTTGATTTGACCAGACATTGTAGAAGATAAAAGAGTTCCAAAGAGAACAGTTAGAGAATCTTGTTAAGATTACAAACCGACCTAAGTTAGACAATTGCTAAATACTAAGAGACCCAGGATAACAGTTTTACCTTAGTATGGGAATCTCCATCAGTGAGGATCCGTAACCCCACAACCGGGAATCGAAACCAAAACCCTTGGTCATATTTTCAATTCAACAACAAAATCTACGAACAAACAAAAGGGACACCAATGGGATCACCAATATCAGGACTGATCGCAGAGGCAGTGGTGCAAAGACTATAAGCCACGATATTACCAGTGATCAAGCCAAAAATTTGGATTCGCTACGTAGACGACACCTTCGTCATTGTCAAAAAGAATGAACTGGAAAACATACAAACTGATCAACACCGTTTTCAATGACATCAAGTTCACAATGGAACAGGAGTCAAACAACCAACTTGCATTCTTAGATATATTGATCACTAGAACCGACACAGGAAAACTGGAAACTCAAGTATATAGGGAACCGACCCATACAGATCAAATTCTCAACTACAACAGCAACAACCTAAGAGCTCACAAAATCAACTGCGTACACACATTGTTCAAGAGCGCGAGGACACACTGGCAGCACGAAAAAATGAAGAGAAATACATGAAGGACATATTTCAAAAGAATGGCTACCCAATAAACTTGATCAAAAAGCACCAAAGGCACACAGCATCAGAACCTAAGTCAAGCACAAAAATCAGAAAAAGGATCACCCTACCGTACATACAAGGAATATCAAAAACCGCAACGAGACTGCTGAAAACCTTCGGGATAGGTGTGGCACACAAACCAACAAAATCACTACAATCAATCCTATCTAAACCAAAAGATGAAATAACAAAGGAAAACAAATCAAACATCATCTACAAAATAAATTGTACCAGCTGCGACAAACACTACATCGGACGAAGCGGACGCCCCCTCCACCTACACCTACATGAACATCAATTAGCAGTCAAACGCCATCATATCTCTTCACTTATATCAATACACATGGATAACTACGGACACTCATTCGATTGGGAAATTACAAAAACACCAGAGAATTTTTAGAAGCCTGGCACTCAGGTCAATCAGCAATCAACAAACATACTGAAATCAATCCAATTTATCAACCAATCAGGAAAATCATGCATAAATATAGGAACGAAAATCAAACCAATGGGAGACACAACCAAAACAAAGAACTAAACAATGATAAATTCAAAGTCAACAAGAACCAATCGACATCGAGGTGCACAGAACAAGCTGTGAAACACATATGGAGAAATTCGAACACTTCACTTCTATCTGAAGTTTGTGCTGATGATGAAAGCTCCACGACCAAACCATCCAGCTCAGATAACAAAACTCCACCAAAATAACTCGATAGCATTCGATCTGCACTAATAAGGACTAGCCAAGCATGACATTGATGACCACCCAGTGATCAACCAATTGTGATCACATCTCAGTCCTACAGGAGGTTGATCACGGCTCGGATAGCTAAGTGGTAACGTCTCTGACTGTGAAACTGGGTGACACGAGATCGAATCCGCCGGGGAGCACCAGTTCCCTCAAGATTACAGGTACACCTTGCTGACGAGTGCCAAGTAGCATGAAACCCGGGTCCAGGGTTTCCTGTTGACTACTTCCAACCACCATCTAAATCTCAATACATAATGCCCGCAGTGTCGAGTCACCTAGACTGGTGGCCACATTGCAACATGATCGATAGCATTTGATCTGCATTAATAAGGACTAGACAAGCATGACATTGATCACCACCTAGTGATCAATCAATTGTGAAATAGCTCTTTCTCCCCCTAATGATTTGGAACCTAGAATCACCAAACTTTCTGGTTAACATTTTACTGTTTGTTTCTCTCACGTAAATTTAATTATATCATTTCACAATTATAAGAAAATTCGTAACAGAAAGGTTAGCATTGTCTATATGTTACTATTTGTAGTGATAAACAAATATACCGGAAACATTGATTTCGCACTTACAGGTTTGGTACATTGTTCAAGTGCATTTTTCACACTAGAGTTCGTGTTACTTGACTGACTAGCGAATCTATTTTTATTAATGGGGAGATGAAAAAAAATCGCACTCATCCATAAAAGTGCAAATAAACCGCAAGTTGATAATGATAAGCTTCTTTTACTGTTGTTATCATTACATACAGATTGTTACAATGATTAAATATATAATCTGTATTAATTTAATTTAAATAATAGTTACAATAGAATTTGTTTTCCGACAACTAATCCAAACAGTCATTAGGCATTTAACGAACACAATTAATAGCATAAATGTTAACATAAACTATTATGATTAATATAGTCAGTCTAACTTATATATATATATATATATATATATATATATATATATATATATATATATATATATATATATATATATATATATATATATATATATATATATATATATATATATCATGAAGTGATCGAAGTTAGATCACCATTGAAAACCTGGAAGCATTGGATAACCGCTTCGTCTTATTATGGGACTCCTCAGTTCAGCAATGCGCATCCCCGACTCCGCGCGCGGGATTCGGACCCATAACCTTCAGCCTTTCACGAAAACACCTAACCTCTATACCACTTAGCCGGGACCCAATGGTGTCAATGTCTAACTCTCAATAGTCTACAGTGTAGGACGACTGTCTTCCATTACCTCACATCGTTAGTGTTATTCAGATTTTATCAATCATTTCGACAAATGGAAATCAGTGGTAATGACTCAATGTTACTGTGAAATGTGTTTGATATCTGATGGTGGGTTGGGATCTATAGGAATTTTTAATCGACACTTGTTTGTAATCTTAATGGGAGTAGAGTACTTTAAGATTTTCTAATTAACATCAAACATAGTTTACTACAATATGAGTCACTTAGATCAGTGATGATCATATTACATCTTAAGTATCATTAAGGACTAGATTGTACGGCATTAGTTACTATTTAGTAATCAAGTAGTGTATTTCATTCATTTCTTAGTTTGTTAAAGAATGTTTTTCAGTCATTATTATGTCATTTAAATGCATTATATCTATTTTGAATGTACTTTGAGATATACACATATATATTCTTTGTCATTTATCAGACCTGCTAATGTACACTAAAACTATCTATTCATATTTATTACTGTTTTTAAAGGATTCATTAAAAGACAAAAAAGAATGTTTACGTAACAAGGTATTTGTGGTATGATAATAATACAATACATTTTTTCTACTACAGTGCTCTGAAATATTTTTCAATGGTCCATTTGAGAGAAAAAATTACTTTTTTTTTATTTTCATTGTGTAAGAGACTCATTATGATCACTACACAATACAAGTGTGTACATATATATGTATTTGTTTCTCAGTTTATAAGAATGAATTTTATCTACTAAAAACTTATGCAAAGAATTCTATACTGTATTCTGACTACTAATTACTAAAGTACATTTTTGTTGGTTTTCCAAAGTAGTGATAATGGTATAGTAAACGAACACTCATGTGAAGAAGGACCAATTTATTGTTTATTGCAAAGTTACAGAGTGATTTCTTAAAATATGAAAATCATACATTAAATACATTATTTGCACATCTTCCTTCAGTTGTCTTTCACACGCTTCATGATTCCTTCAATTCTGTTGTTATTACAATTGCTCTCTGTTTCTCTTCCTGTTCTTTTCAATTCGATCTTCTCAATCTTCTGCTGCCTGGCATTCCACTTCTGATTGGTGTTACATACTACTTATATCTATCAACATAAGTAGCATATACTGGTACTGTTAAGATTGATATTTGTATACCTCGATCGTGGATGAAAACAATGATTATTAATTTTGTTGAAAACAGTGTCAAAATAAAACCAACTCATAAAACTCATTTATCTGAACACTCAGTTTTATTATGAGCTTATAATATTTGCAGCTATTAATGTGACTGAAAAAATTTGTAAATTTTTTAAGCGGATGATCAGTAACTCTCAGACGGCAAAATCATACTTAGTCAATTATATATAAGTGGTATTGAAGGAATTTGTTTGTTGTACCTGTAAGTATGTTACAATGATATGTATTTCTCTTCTGTGATATTCTCTAAAGCTTAAGTGCAATTTGGTAATCAGGCAAATATATTTCTGTAGTCGTTTCCTTAAGATATATTTTCAACCTGTATATCAGAAAGAAGGATTACATATACTTAACTGTTCAGTAATTATCAGGGATTGTATTTGACTTTTTCATTATTGTTTATGAACTTGGACAAACTCCGTCTTTCCATTGCATTATTAGAATACGTCTTTAAAAAGATAATCACCGGTAAAATTTCACTGTAAGTACTACACTATCTTCGTTTGATATTTACTAATTATTTTTTTCGTCATAAAGAACGTTATCTGTCACTTTTACTACATTTTGTGGATGTTTCAGCGGAACTGCCAAATGGCCAGTAGAAAGCCTAAATGTTAAGTGATCGCGGTACTTAACCGAGAACGCTGTATCAAGGTTTTGTTCTAGTTGAAAGTCCTCAACTAGGCATACTGGAAATCTTGAGAGAACTATTTCAGACGCGCACCACCCAGCTACACTGTTTCGTGTGTTACCATCAAGCTTTTTGGGCATCGACTAACCTGTAGGACTGAGGTATTTACATTTGATTGATGACTGAGTAGTATCTCACGTCATGCTTGTCTATTCAGTTATTAAGTAGTTGATTGTTCATAGAATCACACGCATATTTTCGACTATAGATTATTTGGCAGGGATGATTTTATTATTCTTTGAAAAAATCCTCAATTCAGGGTGTTCACATTGATGCTTCGCACATAAATTTATTCATTTACTTATTGTTCTTAATACTTCGATAATTCAGGTAGCATGTTGATACCTGCTTTCGTCTCACAATACGGCAGATATTTTCTATATTTGTCTTGTATTCAACCTTATTCAAACATGAACTATGCAATATGTGAAAATAAATAATGGTACATCTATGTAGTATTATTTAATCTACTAATTATGTAATATAATGTTGTCCCTCAGTGTGTAGCAATTAAGACGAATGTATTTGTAGTGATGAATGGTACAATTAGGCTCAACTTTATTAATTACTTTTCCAAGAGGTTTGAGGCAATATGTTAGTTGGTCTATTGCTCAGTATTTCTGGTCAATGTACTTTGACGAGTTTGAATTTTGGTTTTGCTAATTATAAATAGGTTTTTGTCATATTCATTTCGGAATAATGTTTGTTTCACGAAGTATAGACTGAGTTATGGTAAGCGATTAGATTTCAAAATTAAGTTAGTAGTGATTCAAGTCTAGATTTTGAAGTCCTTTTCTTGTCAATTGACCACAATATTAAGTCGTGTAGTTACATCACATAGTTTATCGTCTTTCGCGAGTCCTGCAGAATATTTAATGGTTGAGATCATTGGTCAGTTGAAGCAAGACTCCCATTGAAAACCTGTAGGCACTGGACGGCCGTTTCGTCTTATTGTGGGACTCCTCAGTAGTGCGCATCCGCGATCCTGCCCCCCTGCGAGATTTGAACCCAGGACCTATCAGTCTCGCACGCGAGCACTTAACCACTATGCCACTGAGCTGGCATCCATCGGTGTTAATGTCTAACTTCAAATAATCCACAAAATTGAAATTACTATAATATTCACAATACCCCTTCTGATATTAAAAAGTAATTACTTACTTACGCCTGTTACTCCCAATGGAGCATAGGCCGCCGATCAGCATTCTCCAACCCACTCTGTCTTGGGCCTACTTTTCTAATTCCATCCAATTCTTATTCATCTTTTTCATGTCTATTTCCATTTCTCGGCGTAATGTGTTCTTTGGTCTTCCTCTTTTCCTTTGGCCTCCGCCTGGAGTCCCTCCGGGGGCTACTGCCGGTCCCAAGCCCGGATAAAGGAGGAGGGTTGGGCATGGGGTTAGCGTCTCCATCCCGTAGAAAACTAACTCGCTAAAAAAACGCTAACCAGAAAGAATTATTATTAAAAAGTAATTAGTTGATTTTATTTATACTGTAATAAATAAGGTCGATTTCTATCGTCTTTTGAATATATGTTTTATTGATAGCGTCAATTAATAGTAATATTATGCACTCATGGGTTTAATATTAATTTCTATAAATATAAGGTCATGTAGTATTGAGTGTTTTTTTTCTCTAATCAACCTTACTTATAATATTACCGTTGTCAATTATAAAAAATATACTTTAGTGTATGACGGTTTATTGCATAGATATCACTAAATTTTTGTCAATATCTCAGATAAGGTGTGTATATCTATATGACCATACTGTTAATTATATTTGTTTTAATTTTGATACTTAATTCTTTGTATCCTTTCATAAAAAAACTAGTGGATTTAGAGTAAACGTTTGCTAGTTATTATAATAATAATATTAGTGTTCAAGGCAGCAAGTAATTACTAAATCTTACATTTATAAGAAGATAAACTTCCTATAACAATTAATTGTAATTAATAGTGTTCATATTTGTGCACCATATTATAAAGTTATTTTTTTATTGAGAGTTTACAAAATAGTAAAGTATGGAGGGAGGTAGACAATAAAGTCTGGATACTAACAAATCCTATAAGTATTATTTTTGAAAAAGTCAGTCAATCATAGTAAGGATACAATGTGGATGGGATTTACACATATCAGTTCAAATGGAATTTAAGAGAATGAAAAACAGAGGAGATGAACGTCTACTTTACAAGCCAAATATAGCCTAGAAATAATAAACGACATCAAAAATGAAATGTTTAGAGTGACACTTAAAAAACCTAGATTTAAAGAAAAATAAAATGAATTGCTCTGCTATAGTATATTTTGAGCCAGATCATCTAAAATTTCTAATGTAACACCGAATAATATATAGTAAACAGTGATTTGGACTGAAAATGGGATGAATGAGTTTCAGAGAGAAAAAAACACATCAGCTGAACAAGCCAGAATATATTTGATTTAATTACCAACCGATGAAATAGGTGGAAGTATAGAAATTGCAGTAAAAATGTAACATTAATTATTTAAATGTAATGTATAAATGTGTTCAACCACTGATCAGTTGTATGGCATGGAATTCATGACAGTATCTAATTTCTTTTCAGACAATAGAAATTTAGTTGATCTGGTTACATCAGTTCCCAACAAATGCCACAAGTTATAACTCTTTCAAACATTACATCCGTTCGCATATAGCACGTGAAACTGAATGTTTTTGTTCGTTCAATAATCATGAAACATGATATCAAAAAATAAACTAAAGTCAAGAATAATCAATAATACCAGTTACTATACGATTTTCATTCTACTTCATGTTTATAATACTACATCGAACATTTTACAAATAAAATTAAGATTTCCTTCTATTTCATTCAGAAATCAATGTTTTTATGTAAACCGAACAACTGTCTAAATAATACAAATTTGTCATTTATGTATTAAAGTCTTCATACTTATTGATAAAATATAGATAATGTGTAGTCATAGATATTCATAAATAATTTATGGTCATATGTTGTTTTTGAGTTCAGTGGTGGTTAAATTATGAAGGTTTACTTTTGGATTCTGTTTAATACACTTTGGCTTATCGGTTGATAGATCAAGTTTGTGTCAACTTGCCTATTCAATGTGAATTGACCTGGAATTCTATAGAGATTCCATATCTTCCTCAATTATTTACAAAGATCGTTGTAACATATGGTATTTTTTATCATTTAACGTTCGATCTATATTGATGGATGAATAGTTGGTGTGTTGTAGTTTATGTTGTAAATAAAGTTGATTTTAAAGTATAAAATGTGACTAACAGGGGAATATATAACGCTCGTTTCGTCCCATTTATGACTCGTCAGCTGAATATATCTGATTTCCAGTGTCGATGTTTATACGGAAACCTGAATTCTGGATCTTAGGATGGAAGTGCATCCAATTGACAAGTAACGAATAAGGTGATACGTTCATCTTAGATTCATTTCCTCTTCACATACCATATGCACTAAAACTGGTGAAATAATGCTAATATAAAAATAATTTTAAAGGTGGTGTAGTCGGTTATCATTGTTTTAGGATGGATACAGACCCAATCATTTGTGCAGTGAATAACATTTTACAAACAGTTAGCCTTAGTAATCAGGCTATTAATAGCCTAAATTCAAATTCGAACGTGGCTACAGCTGGATATTCTAAATGTTCATACATTTGGGAGAGAAAACATATTTGCACTTAGATATATTTAGCAGATATTTTTATAACACTCAAACTCATAATTCTTTTCTTAATGATTAAGGTCATACTCTCAAAATTTGTTATTAGAGAGAAAATTACATTCGTTTTGACGTTAACCTGATAAAATGATCTGGTTTTTCGTTGTCTAACTGTGACACATCATCCTTATTTTTTCTAGATGCTTCAGGGAAGTCTCTATTGGGTGCTGGTAGGACGCGATGTTTTTAGCCCTTTCACGGTTTTTAAGGTCTTCATCAATGAATTTTCGGGTTTTTCCATATATATATATATATATATATATATATATATATATATACCTACAATTTCAAAACATACCAATGCAGAAATGTCAGGAAGCACATAAGTGTGGCATTTTGAAATGTTAGAACGTATAACAACTATTAGACAAAAATGGATTAACTGAAGCATACTTTTTCTCTAATTTTGTCTTTTTACAACAAAACAGATATTAAGTTGTATGACATCGATAACGTTGGATAAAATTAATCTCTTTATCGTGTCTATATTAGGATTAAAAAAACATCATATACGTAGCTAGGCTTAAGTTTTGGTTGAATATATTCCTTGTTCTAATGTTGGGTTGTTGAAATCAATCAGCAGTAAATTTTTGACCATGGTTTTGTGCTAGTTGACAGTCGTCGGAATCACTTATCTGCACTATTGGAAGAAACTGTTGCTCCTTTGTTGGATTTAAACCCTTGTTTCAGCGTCTTAAAGTCAGTTACCACTGCTCCATTAGGGGCATATCTTAAGTCCTGCCCTATGTCAGTTTGTTTAGACCGGTGGTCATACTAAAACCTGGGCAGCACCAAAGACTAAACCAGTATTAAATTGATTGCCATTCAGTGATATATTAAAATGATTCTTATGTATGCTGACAAAAGCGTGGTTGAAGCTCTGTTCAACTGCATTGTTTTGTAATTCATTTGATCGATTTTGTATGTTTTACTAAGACTAATCTCGTTTGACAATGCAATTTCACAGATCTGATATAAAAATTTTTTGGGGAAATGTTATATTCCATGCATATATAACAGCAAAAAAAGCAAGACAGATAGTAAATGAATGAATGAATACATCTTGGACTTTAGTATACTAGCCGAGTAACGTTTTTTTTGTTTAATATAAGGTTTGTATTTTCCTCACATTTATAATTCGTACGTTTTTTTGTTTATTGTGTAATACGGATTTAAAGGAAAGCACACTCTTTTTTTATTCTGTTCCTTAAATTGTTAAAAATTGCGTATCTTATTAACGTAAACCATTCTATTCATAATAAACGATTATACTGTGTACCGAAAATTTAACTGTAATTATTTTCTTTATATTTATCCAAGGTCACGTCAACAATCTATATAATACTTGTTTTTGGAAACTTGTTCAAAATGCTGGTCTAAGTGGAACAGAGGCTGAAGAACGCTTAAGAGTAAGGCTGGGTTTTTTTTCAATTTTTTTATTGATTGTGTTGATTAGATGAATTGATTACTTACTTATCTTATATCACGTTCATATATTTTACTTCTCAAGTACAAGTTTATTATACTCAGCTTGAAGACAAATACATGGTTTGTGTAATAAAAACTAATAATATTAGTCGTTTGTACAATTATGTATAAAAAGTGTTATGCATGCGATCTGATCATTGCAAACTAAACACTTTAACCAGTAGTAGGTTAGCACCTTAAAGTTTCATGTCTACAAATCAATGTATTAATCTTAGTAGTAGCTAATGTGTAATTGATCGAATTGGAATTAGTTTACAGATCTGATTTCTATTAGTGTCCCGTGTGTTGTAATTAAAATTTGTTCAGTAATATGAGATAATAATTTCTTAAAATAACTAGGATACTATATTATTATTATTATTATCATTATTATTATTATTATTATCATTATTATTATTATTATTATTATTATTATTATTATTATTATTATTATTATTATTATTATTATTATTATTATTACAAGGACTGGATTCACATCCAGTTGACATTTATCCAACCCTTGAAAAGAAAGCAATAATAGAGAAAACAATTGTTCTTTCACTTATTAAGTATTTCTTTAAAATGTAATCATGACGTAACTTTAAATCATTCAATAACGATTTACAAAATGTATCTGAAAGTGCTGAAAAAAGAATAAATTGAAATTGACATCAGCAATTTGAAATGAATATAATTCTTGATACTCACTTGAGCAGATTATACTCAACTATTAATAACATTCATATGGCGTAAAATTAATTTTCTTTTTATATAGATTGACTGTGGAATTCAGCTTTTAAGGTTTCAAGGTGTGTGTAATTTACTAGTACTCAATCATAGATATCTTCAAAACTGAGGTATAACGTAGAAATCATCAAGTGAGTAGTGCTAAGGTCTGGTATATGGTAACAGATAGCTGAGATATCGATTGCAAGTGAACTGAGATAAATAATTCACGTTGAACCACTATAAGGAGTTGTTCTGTGAAATTTTTTCATCCTATCTGCGTGTTTACATCAGTGTATTCTTGTTGTGATTGATACATGGTTCTCGATCAAGCGGTTTGATATGTGTGATTGTGTTACATGATCAAATAGATCTGAATTACGACATTAACAATAGTAGTTGGATTCATGAAGTTGTGAAATTACATCATCTTATATCACTGGGATGTATATTTTGCACGCCTGACCTTTCTGTACTCAGATATACAATGGTAACTGACGTTGGAGAAAGTCTAAAGAAAACTAAGGTTAGCCAAATCAAAACATTAGAATAATCGATGGACTGATTACCACTTGAATTGAGCTACGGTTGAGGGTTTATGATTGGTGCAGTTCAATTATCTTAAACAACGATTGAAGACTTTAGATGACGTATTACCGAAATGGTCGTAATCGCATAAAACACATTCACTCTCTCTCTTTACCTTATACTTGATTTTTGATATTATATAGCACCTTTCTCTCACAAACGTTTTTTGTTCTCAAACTAGATTGTTCATGTTTGGCTTTTTTTATCATTATTATTTCGACTACTTTTATTTTCTTTCTGTTGATTTTTACTCTCTCACTGTGCCTTTGGTGTGAAGTTGTGAAACGATGCACAAATATCCATCGGTTCTACTTTGTTTATCATTGACATTTTCGAATATATATATTCGATGACTCATAGATGATAGAATATTATGAAGTCCGGTTTACAAACCTACTGTTTTAAGTTGATTCACATGTTTCAGAGATAAATATATAATAATGTTTTGATAAAATCTTTGATTGAATACGTGAAGTCTCAAGTTATTCATTTTTATAGACTTTATTAGTTAGCGACCGTTGTCATTCGTGTCCTAGCTTTCATGTTAAAACTATAATTTATGAATGACCTTTAAGTAATGCTAAAGTGACCTTGAGAAAACTCGCTTTATAGGGTCTAAAGAGCATTATAAATTATTGTGAAATATTAGGTTTGGTGTCTAGGGTTAGAAGTCAGGGTTAAGGGTAAGAATTAGGGTTTTCATCTTAAACTGACTGTATCTGTAAGACCAATATACTATTTAGTCATATAGATAAATGAATTACACCCTAAAATCCATGATTCGCTATTTTTAATCTGATTGGTTCATCCGCAAACCTTAGTCTCATCACTTTCATTTCAAAACCATTTATTGTTAGTAGTCATTTCAGTAAATTAAACATGCTATCTATTCAAATAGTTGTACACGAAATAGAAAAGGTATTCACTTCATCCAACTTAATGTTTATTAAGTATTGGTCATTGACACTTTCATATAGAAACTTGAAAACAAAGCGAAAATATAAGAGAATTAAACGTTTTTATGGGTAAATATAAAGTATTAAGTTAAATCTTTAAGAAAATGTCATATTTTCACTCTAAAAGACCATAAGGAAGTTGTTTGAATTACCATTGAAGACAGTGAATTTTGAGACTCGACTATTCCTAAATTATTAAAGATTCATATTGTTAAAATTAAAATAAAATGTATTAGCGAATAATATCGTTAGACATTAACACCGTTGGATGCCGGCTCAGTGGTCTAGTGGTTAAGTGCTCGCTCGCGAAGCCAGTAGGTCCTGGGTTCGAGCCCCGCGTGGTGCGGGGTCGTGGATGCACACTGCTGAGGAGTCCCATACTAGGACGAAACGGCCGTCCAGTGCTTCCAGGTTTTCAATGGTGGTCTAGCTTTAACTGACTCATGATTTCAATCTGTGCAAATATCGTTTTCAATTAGATCATCATTAGAATTTTACTCTAATATACATGAATATTTATGTAAAGATATAAAACAAATCAATGCAATTCATTATGAGTCAATGAACATAGTGAAGTAAGTAGATTGCATAACTACACATAATAAGTAAAAATTGCAAATTGATAGTAATAATAATATCACATCAATTTCATACAATAGTTCAACATAGAAAATAGGTCAAGCTTAGATAAACAAACTTTAGAATAATACTCACAAAACACTTAAAATAACGTTATAAGTATGTAAATAATTAGGTAATGAAGAATAGCAACGGAAGTGGAAAATGATAAAATATTTGTTAAGTCACATCTGACTAAGCAGAAGGAAAGATCTCATACAAATTCCTTTTGAACACATAAACTAGGGTCATAGGTTGAAATCCCTATAGCTTCTGGTGAATGTAAGAGACAGAACTGTACACCTTTAGGATACAATGAAGATATACGATAGATAACTCGAAATAATTTGCTTTTATCTACCACATAATCACTGTTAACGAGGTATACTGAAATGGAACTACGTATTGTTATTATTTGGCCCTTTCCAAACCACAGATAGATAAGCAAAGATGGATGATGGCTAGCAGTGGAATCCAGGATGCACATTATATCCTGTTTGGGACTCGTCATCTGGATGTCACTACCTCCCAAGAGTTGGTGTTCACTCTGGGACTCATACTCAGTACTGTTCGCTTCAAACGCCATAGCGTTATCCACTTAGCTATTGAGTCCTGATAGCTACTTGCTTGTGCATTGGGGTGAAGTTTAGATTCACTTAATATTGTTTGCTTGAACCTTCCCATTGATGTTCAGGACTGCAATTTATCAGTCTATTATTGGCATATGTGCATACTGATCAATCGCAGTCCTAAACATTAATGGGAAGATTCAAGCAAACAACACACAAATAGATGTTCACTCGTTTGTTGGTTAATTTTCCCAGTAGCACGCCCAATCTAACTATCTTCGGAGAACCACCAGAATTTGTAAATAGACTCGGAAGAGGGAAACTCAAGTAACTCCATATGAGTTCACACCTGTTTATGTACAGATGAATATATATAGTTATTATTGATAATCATTTTTATTTTTATTCTTTCTGTCACCAATGTTGATGAACTCTTGCTATATCATATCTCACTGCTACACTTTAATACATATATGGTTGTAAGCAGCTAATAAGAATTCAAGAAATATAATGAATTTATATTATCTTAATTGTTGTTCTGGCTTTATTCAATCTAACTGAATTGCTTGCTTATAAATGTTTTTCTCTGAGATTAAAATTAGAAGTATGAACTTCAGTAAATATTTTAGATGTTTTGTTAAAATCTCTTTTAATACTACTTATTTTGTTTCTTTGGTATAAATATCAATTGTAGTTGTGAATCTCTATAACTCATAGTATCGAACCATCATCCATACATGAGTAGAATTAATCGAAAATGTTTTAATTATTTTACATATACTAGGCTATATATAACTTCTATGCTTCTTACAAATATTTATTACAGATTAAAATCATGAGTCAATTGAAGCTGAATCACTATGAAAAACCTGGAAGCACTGGACGGCCGTTTCGTCCTAGTATGGGGATCCTCAGCGGTGCTCATCCACGATTTCACACCCCGTAAGGTTCGAACCCAGGACCTCTCAGTCTCGCGCCAGGCGATTAACCAACCAGACCACTGAGCCGGCATCCAACGGTGTTAGTGTCTAAACTTCAACCAATCCACGAAGTTGCGCCACCGTACACCATTGTCTTCAGTGAGCTGATATCTCACAACAGACCTGGTTGAACTCCACTGGTAACGGCTTCTCACTAGAACTTCAGGAGTATCTCTTGAAGTCAGTCACTAGTGAGCAGATGATCTCGTGGGGTGCGGGATCGTGGATGCGCACTGCTGAGGAGTCCCATACTAGGACGAAACGGCCGTCCAGTGCTTCCAGGTTTTCCATGATGGTCTAGCTTTAATTGACTCATGATTTAAATCTATGAAATTTCTAAAATCTCCACAAACCCGTTCTGAAAATATTTATTATTCAAAAAATATACTTTCTGTAATACAATTGAATTTCCAGCTAGTTTTTTTGCAAATGCAACTATGTATTTATGTTTCATCTACTTTTGAAGTATAAAATTATTAAGAGTTTTCTTTAAGGATCATTAAGA